ACTTATTAACTATGTTATAAGTTTTTAATAACTATTTAATAGCTAAAAGATATTTTAAGAAGTAGTTATATTTATATAAAAAGCTGCTTATCTAAATCTATTAATTATAAAAAAAATAAGTTATCACCTATAAAGTAAATTAAAGGTTCTTTGAAATATATACGTCTTATTCTATATAAAGTTATGGTGTTTTTATTAGAAATTATATAAACACTTCAATAATTCTATTTTCCCTATGTTATAATCAAAATCTATTAGTGGGCATACTAGAAAATACCCCCCTCCCTCGTAGGTACAGGCTCTGTTCGCTCATTAGCTCCGCCAGTATGCGCCATCTGACATCACCGGCTTACCCGGCACAAACTTCCATCAGCTTCCACCTGGGTCACAATGCAGCATCTGCCACAACAACACAACGCCATCTCTACTTCTGCATCACCATCACCACCTTGACTCGTGCAACAAAGCGCCATCACATCAGTTTTTACCCTCAAAATGGACTACGTCCAACAACGAATGAATGAAGAGGCGGCCAAGGGACCAGCCAGGTACGCACCGGTTTCGCGCCCGTTCGCCTGACCACCTCTGACCTCTGCCGTCTCTAGTGACTCCCTCTTCACGCCCCTCAACTTCATCCTCGTCTCCGCCGTCGTCTACGCCGTCTACACGCTCTTCCGCGCCCCCGCCAAGCACGACATCCCCAAGCCCCCTGCCGCCATCGTCTTCCGCACCTACACCCCGCGCACACTGCTACCCTTCGATGGCCAAGACGGCAGCCCCGTCTACATGGCCGTCCGCGGTCGCGTCTTTGACGTGTCGTCCGGCCGCAACTTTTACGGCCCCGGCGGGCCCTATGCCAACTTTGCGGGCCGCGACGCCAGCCGCGGCCTTGCCAGCCACAGCTTCGACGAGGACATGCTGACAAAGGATCTCGACGGCCCCTTGGATCCCTTACAGGACCTGGATGCCGAGCAGATTGAGGCCCTCGAGGGCTGGGAGGCCCGGTTCAGCGAAAAATATGAGGTAGTCGGCCGTTTGGTGTCCGTGACCGACTTTGACGCGGGTAAATAAGACGTGGCAAACTCGGTACCAAAGCATAATACAGAGCTAGACGATGAGCATTGAACCATATACCATGGCTATTGCGGAATTACGGCTCAGCGCTGTGCTGCATGCGCATCAGCATTCCATTCCAGAGGCTGGCGTTATTTCTTCTAAACCCCAGCGGCGCAATCCGCTTCAATTAAACACTGTGATGATATCTGCACAACCAGCGCCTGCATGCTAGGATGTAAGATTGACTTACTGCACTTGCTTTTCATAAACACCATACCAGAAATCCACGTAAACGTCTCGCGCTCTCATCGCCCTCGTAAGCTGCTTGGCATGCTCTATCGATGCAGCGCTCACTTCTCTGCGCTCGCTTTTCTGCACGCGCTGGTCTGCTCCTCAATGTTACAATAGCCGCCCGGCTAGCTCTTTGCTTCGTGCACGTTGGGCTTCAGGGCGTCGATAGACGACACATGCCGCGGAAAGAGTCCCTCCCGGACGGTGATGAATGCGAACGGCACTTGCAACTCGCCGCACTCCGCGACAAAGGTACAGATGTGCTCGCATCAGGTCATTGCGCGTCGAGCTTGAACAGCCTTCCTTCGGGGGAAAAGAGCTCCATTCCCCACTGGCCGGCGTTGCCGGCCGCAGCGAGCCTCCGAATGACCGAGTCAAATATATAAATGATGAAGTCGGCGTTTTCCACGACCGCCGCTCGCCGTATTGGAAACGCTGTCGGAAGATAGGTGGCTACCGAGGCCGAGCTCTGTCTCACGCTTTATTCTGCCGGCTGTCGCCAACAGAAGAAGAAACAGACCCAAGGCTAACCACTGCTTGCAATCGGCTAGTAATTGCTTGGATGATTTTTGGTACAAACCTTGATACGCTCTATCAAAGGCTAAAATACCGTGCCTTCCGATGCATCAATGATAGTCGGAATACGTATTGATCTGCATGGCGTGAAGAGAGGCCACTTATAAGTACTTGAAGGAGCGTCTCGAAGACGTCTCCCGAGCCCATTTCCTCCACACCCCGCACTTTCGGATTTATCGACCAAACTCAATACGATCCCAGAGCCTTAAATCTTCTTTCTTACCCTAAGAACATCGCACGGTGTACTAAGCTCTCTTACTCTTACAAACAGTCCAACCAGTCTTCAATATTGTCGCAAGTTCTCGAGACCAGAGAACTTACAATACACCATGGCTCTCGAAACTGTAGTCGCAGCAGCAACGCGCATAGTCACCACGAGCACGAGCACGTCTCGCATTGACACACAGTACTTGACATTTTCTACAGCTCAATATATGGCGAAGCTGACTCAAAACTCTAGTATACATGTGCTGCCTCCCAGTTACCTCAAGGCACTAGACGAAAACGGTGGCGACCCGTCTGGATGGAAGACTCCGAACTGGACCCTCGAAGAATGTGTCCGCTTCAGCGACACTATCGGAGCGTCATTCTCGGTGCTATCCGTGACAGCTCCAGGACCAGCCATACTCGGGCCTACAGAAAAGGGAAGGAGCCTGGCGCGAGCTCTGAATGAAGAGGTGTGGAGTGTTTGCCAGCAGCGACCGGGGCGGTTTGGCTTTTTTGCCAGCTTACCCGACTTTAATGATATTGAAGGAACCATTTTAGAGATCAAGTCAATCTTTGAGACAGAGAAGAAGGCAAACGGTGTCGTGATCATGACATCGTATGGCGACAAGCTTGTCGGTGACGGAGGCCTTCCGACCAATCTGGGAAGAGCTGGACAAGCATGCGGCCCTGGTATTTGTTCATCCGAGCCATATCAAGATCACGCCCGAGAAGATTGGCGGATTTCTCCCGCAGCCGGTTATTGACTACCCTCTCGCGACCACGCGGGCTGCCATGTCACTTCTTGTCTCGGGAATCATGACGGAGTGTACTCGCATCGAGGTAATCCTGAGCCACGCTGGAGGCACCTTCCCAATGCTCGCAGAGCGTGCCCTCGGCTCTCTTATTGTCCCGGCCATTGCAGAGCAATCCCAAGGGAATCCGATTCAAGCGTACGTGCGAGCATCTCCTAATGATACCAATGTTAATAAAACAAAAATGGACAGGAAATCCGCATCAAAACGTTTTTGGTACGACATTGCGCTCTCTACAGGCGAGGCGCAACTCAAAGCGCTTCTCGCGACGGCGCCTTCTGAACAAATCGTCTACGGAAGTGATTTCCCGTATGCTCCAAAGTTGGGCATCTATGCGGGGTTGCTGCAGTATAGTCGGTTTTCCAGGAGCGCTGAAGGCAGCCGAATCGGGCCCAAGAAACTCAATCAAAATGCGACCGTTTTACTGCGGAACCATTCGTTGGAGGGTTCTTTTTTGCCACAGGCCGTCGGCAAGGAAAATCAGATTTCTGGACCAGAGTTTGGGTTGGAAGATAACGATGACGCAAGGCATGCCAGAGAGCAACTCGACCATGGTTCTGACTCCGGAGAGGGAAATTGAGTCTTGATCTATGACTGCTCAACGCTGACTTTGTGTTGATTGAAACAGGGCAGGAAAGGTGGCATAGTGTCAATGCACTGAATTCTGTATGGAGTGGAGTGCGCCAGATAGTAATCTATCGAGCCCCAACCATAAACGAAGGTTCGGTTGTGATATCACCATACTCGTGAAAATAATTGAGACACGACATATTCTGCATGACGGAAGCGTCGATTTGAGAGGTCAAACTTTGCCGCGCGCGTCAATGCGCATACAGGAAACCGGCACTAAGACTCAAATGTCGTCCGAAAAGACATAACGTAAAGCATTAACTAGATACGAAGCAATTGAGGGACAGGTTTTTATCAGTTGGACGCTACTTTGATTTATGCAGATATGCTCATCTTCTGGTACACATGGGAAGATTAGTGTCGAGACATCTTCGGCATGTTCTAGTGTAGCTTCTGGTTCACAGCCTCTACAAGGAACTGATAAAAGATTAAAGACTTTACATACGTGTGAAGAAAGAAAAAATAGTCAATAAATCAATTACTATCATCAGAAAAGAAAAGAAAGAGGAAAAGTCTTATCTTGAGACCTGTTAAAGCTGTTTAACATTGAGCCTGCTGAGGGCTACTTATGTAATTATCAGATACGCGTCACCGTCACCGTCCCACCCGCTGCTGTGGAGGTTGTGTGGTGGAGGCTCCAAACGGGGCCTGCCAGCTTAGCAACATCGTCATCCCACATCCTGACATCTGCCTCGCGTTTATACGGTGGCCTATTGACATTGGTCGCTTGAATTCGGATATACCTGGTGACTATCACGGGACCGCCATGACGACACCCGCGCCGCCCGAGGATCAGGCTCGCCTCTTGGAGGATGCCCTGGTCGCCGTTCGACAGCAGACGTCGCTCATGCGAAAATGTCTCGACACTCCTGGCAAACTGATGGATGCGCTTAAATGCTGGTAAGTGTCTCCGACTCGCCGTCGCCAACATCTAACTCATCTGCCAGCTCGACTCTTGTCTCGGAATTGCGAACCAGTAGTCTCGGCCCCAAGCAATATTACGAGCTCTACATGGCCGTCTTTGATGCCCTGCGCTATCTCTCCGTCCACCTCCGCGAAAACCACCCCGTCAACCACCTCGCCGATCTCTACGAGCTTGTCCAGTACGCCGGAAACATCATTCCACGCCTCTATCTCATGGTCACCGTTGGCACCGCCTACATGGGCATCGCGGATGCGCCGGTCAAGGAGCTCATGAAGGATATGATGGACATGAGCCGTGGCGTCCAGCACCCAATTCGTGGCCTCTTCCTCCGATACTATCTGTCAGGGCAGGCTAGGGATTACCTTCCCACCACTGATAGCGACGGCCCGGAAGGCAACCTCGGCGACTCTATAAACTTTATCCTCACCAACTTTGTCGAGATGAATAAGCTCTGGGTTCGGCTGCAGCACCAGGGGCATTCCAGAGAAAGAGATCAGCGCATTAGGGAGCGCAAAGAGCTACAGCTCCTTGTGGGCAGTAACATTGTGCGCCTCAGTCAATTGGTTGATCTCGAGACTTACAAGTCAACTATACTCGGACCGCTTCTGGAGCAGGTTGTCCAGTGTCGCGATGTGCTGGCCCAAGAATATCTACTTGAGGTCATCACTCAAGTTTTCCCCGACGAATATCACCTGCACACGCTCGATAAGTTTCTTGGTGCCGTTTCCCGCCTCAATCCTCACGTCAATGTCAAGTCAATTGTCATTGGCCTCATGGACAGACTGTCTGAGTTTGCCGAGCGCGAGACCTCGGCCGAGAAGTCGCCGGAGCAGGGAGATCGCGAGGCCGAGACTCTGGCCAAGCTTCTGGCGAATGCCAAGTTGGAGGGGACTAAGAGCACTGACGAGACTGAAAATGAGGGCGAGACTGGGGGCGAAGTATCCAAGGACAAAGATGCAAATGGCGAAACCGAAACCGAAACACTCAAGCCGGACTCGGCCGAAGAAACAACGACTCAAGCCGACGGCAGCGTACAGCTGTACGAGGTGTTCTTTGCCCAAGTCAAAAATCTTGTCGAGGCGCAACACCTGCCCATCCAAGATACTATTGCTTTACTCGTCTCATTGCAAAATTTGGCCCTCAACAACTACCCCGACCGTCTGGACTTCGTCGATCAGATCCTTGCCTACGCCGCCACCAAGACAAAGGAAAATATGAATAATGCCGACTTGCACTCTGCCCACGCACAGCAGAGTCTTCTGGCTCTTTTGCAAGCGCCACTGGACCGCTATGTTTCAATATTCACTGCCCTATCGCTTCCCACATATGTACCGCTCTTTCAGGCCCAGTCCTATCCTACCCGTCGTGCCGTCGCCGGAAACATTATCCGCACCCTTCTTAAGAGCGAGACTAAGGTTGTGAAGACGGAGCAGCTGGAAAATGTGCTAGAAATCATGGCTGTCCTCATCAAAGAAGGCAATCAGGCTGCGCAAGGCTATCCCGCCACTCAACGCCGTCCTGTCGAGACGGATGAGACGATACAGGAGCAGGGTTGGCTGGCAAGAATGGTCCATCTGCTACACGCTGAGGATAACGATACACAGTTCAAGCTGCTTCAAATGACGAGAAAGGCTTTTGCTGACGGTGGCGACCGCATTCGCACAACGACACCACCGCTCATCACAGCAAGCTTGCGACTCACGCGCAAATTGAAAGCGCGGGAGGGTCTAGATGACAATTGGGAGACGCAAAGCAACGCTCTCTTTAAGTTTATGCATTCCGCGCTGAGCACTTTGTACTCGAGGGTCAACGGATCTGGTGCATCGGAAATGGCACTGCGATTATTTTGTGCCGCGGGCCAGGCCGCCGACATGACGGGTTTCGAGGAGGCCGCGTACGAATTTTATGCGCAGGCGTTCACAGTGTACGAGGAAGCCGTCTCTGATTCCAAGGCACAGTTCCAGGCTGTGTGTGTTATTGCGTCGTCGCTTCACCAGACTCGCAACTTTGGCAAGGAGAACTACGACACCCTCATCACCAAGTGTGCCCAGCATGGTAGCAAGCTGCTGCGCAAGCCGGACCAGTGCCGCGCCGTGTACCTGGCTAGCCATTTGTGGTGGGCCAATGCTATCCCGGCCAACCGAGAAACGGAAGAGTCTGATGTAAGTCCTATGTGGCAGGTTCTTGTAGAATAAACCATGCTGACCAAGCAGCTGTATCGGGACGGCAAGCGAGTGCTTGAATGTTTGCAGCGAGCTCTACGCGTAGCAGACTCGTGCATGGAGACGGCGACGTCGATTGAGCTGTTTGTCGAGATTCTGGACCGCTACGTATACTATTTCGACCAGCAAAATGAATCGGTAAGTCGGCTGCATCTCCAAATACCCCCCCATTCACACCGTGCATGAACTGACGTTGCAGGTTACCACGAAATATCTCAACGGACTGATTGAGCTTATCCACTCGAACCTGAACGGAAACCAGCAAGAGTCTGCCTCTATCGAGACGAGCAAAAAGCATTTCCATCAAACGCTGGAGAATATCAGAAGCAGGCAATACGAGGGGGTGGTGTTGTATCCGAGTTAGATGTACGATTAATCATGTCTGCAGATGCCGAATCATCTCAGATGTACTGCATTGTAATTATCTCAGATATCCCGCATTGTAAATTCACGAGTTCTGTCCATATTATGTGCAATGCCGAACGTCCAATGAGTGCATTGAGCTGCGTCTTGGCGACAGCTCTAACTAGTCCACGCGGCTTCAGGGGCCACTAAGGTTGGGGCGGAGCAGCGTCACCACCAAACCCTCAAGGATAGTCAACGGCCTTCCTGCAACGTTGGTGGCCCATCATTTTTTATCTATCCCTTTAATTCTGTACCTCGTCTTGCCCTTCTTTGCACGCATTTTCTTTGTTTCTTTTGCATCCGGCTGTCCCTCGTTCGGTCCTTACCTACTGTTTCAGAGCGCCCGGCACTTGTCACGCAACGTCGCCCCCGGGCACGATAGATGGCCCTGCGCATCCAACATGCCTTCGGAAAAGGTGCCTTTTTACGACCCCACGCCGCCGACGTACGATGAAGCTCTCGCCGGTAGCAGTCGATGGGTGCCGCCTACCCGCGATGCCGCCGATCAGCGCGGCGCCACACAGACGGAGCAGCAGTCGCTGCTGAGGCAGGCCGGCAATGGCGAGTCCTCCCGCAGGACCGGATATCACCCGCCGACGGTCGAGACAGACGATGAGTCTGATGATGATGGCCTGCTCAGCGACGGCGAATCCGAGGAGGAGCAGGTACGACGCGAGATTGAGGAGATGGACATGGAGGAGCCCGATCGGTCCCTGAGCTCGACGTGGCGCAAGCGATTGCGGATTCCCTCATGGAAGTGGTCCTGGCGACCAAGATTACCGCGTTTACGCATCCAGCTTCCCTCCCGATCGGCCGAAACCGAGACCACAACCGAGGAATCTTCAGCAGCATCTGCATCCCGATTCAACTTTGAAAACTTTCAAATACCCCAGGTCAACACCATGTTCCTGGTTCTTACCTTTGCGCGCATCCTGGCGCTATTCATTATTCTCGGCTTCTTCTGGTTCCTATTTACTAGCGGACTTTTTTCGGGCCTCAACTCGCCCCTCACGAGTGGCATGCGCTTCAACGCGGAGGACTTACGCAACTTTTTACAGCAGCGCGTCGAGCCTATGCGCATGCGGGCTTCTGTCCAGCACTTTTCCAGCTACGCCCACCTTGCCGGCACCGAGGGCGACTACGCCGCCGCTCGCGACGTTTATGCCATGTTCAGCAAGGCCGGTCTCGACCGTGTGACCATGGAGGAATATTTTGTATATATAAACTACCCCCGCCAGGACGGTCGAAATGTGCAGATTTTGGACGACAGCGGCAAGGCCACCTGGACGGCCAAGATAGATGAGGAAGAGCGCCACCACGAGACGGCCGGCCGCCAGACGCTCGCATTTCACGCACACTCGAAATCAGGCGACGTGCGTGGACCCCTGATCTACGTCAATTACGGCTCGAAGGCAGACTACGAAAAACTGAAAAGCGACGGAGTAAAGACGGAGGGTGCGATTGCGATAGTGCGGCATGGAGGTACTGAAAAAAGTACCGCCTTGAAAGTGAAGCTCGCGGAGATGAATGGCTTCGTCGGCGCCCTCGTGTACAATGACCCGAAAGATGACGGCTTTACCCTGGGTGACGTGGCTCCTCAGGGTAGGTTTATGCCTACCGACGGTGTGCACGGCGACTCCGTCAGTCTGATGAACTGGATTCTGGGAGATGTGCTCACCCCACAATGGGAAAGCGAAGAGCAATCGCCGCGCGTCAAGGTAAGCGACGCTGTTGGACTGGTCCAGATCCCCAGTCTGCCGCTGGCCTGGCGAGATGCGCAACCACTACTGCAGAGCCTCAAAGGTCACGGTCAGGCGGTCCCTCCCGACTGGAACGGCGCTGTGCCCGACGTGGAGTGGTGGACGGGTGACTTGAGCTCCCCTACTGTGCGTCTGCAAAACGAGCAGGACGAAGTGGAAAAGAAAAAGATTTGGAACGTGTATGGGAGGATCGAAGGCATGGAGACGGGCTCCAAGTCGATCATCATTGGCAATCACCGCGACTCGATGGGATTCGGCGCGGCCAACCCGCATACGGGCACCGCCGTCATGATTGAGCTAGCGCGAATCTTTGGCGATTTGGTCGACCGAGGTTGGAAGCCGCTGCGCAGCATCGAGTTTATGTCGTGGGACGCGGCCGAATACAACCTCATTGGGTCCACGGAATTCGTCGAGAAGAACCTTGACCGACTAAAACAGGACGCCTACGCGTACATTGATCTTGGCGATGCCGTGACGGGCACGACGTTTTCCGCCGCCGGGTCGCCGCTCCTCGAAAAAGCGCTCATGCACGCACTCGGCCGCGTAATCGATCCTATGGCCAACGAAACGCTCAAGACGCTCTGGGGTCGCGAGAATGCACAGCTCCTCGATCTGAGCACCGGCGCCGACCCGAGCGACTACATTCCGTTTCAGGACATTGCCGGCACCAGCTCCATCCACCTCGGCTTCGCGGGGGAGTCGTACCCGTACCGCTCGAGCTACGACACATTTGAGCTGGTGGACCAAGTTATTGATCCAGAATTCGTGTATCACGGGCTGATGGGGCAGATTGTGGGTTTGCTACTACTTGACCTGTCTGATCGTGCTATTCTTCCGTTTGACACGAAGCGCTACGGCGACAAGCTCAAGATGTGGCTGGACAATCTGGAGAATTGGACCAACAACCGCGCTCGCGGCAAGCTGTCGTTTGAGGAACTCAAGGACGCCGCGGGCATGATTCAGCACAATGCGGAAAAGTTTGGTAATTGGGAGCTCGAGTGGGACTCGGCGGTGCTGGCGAGCAATGGGTGGGAGTCGAACGAGTATGGGGCGGCGCGCACCATGTACAATGACAAGATGGCGCAATTTGAAACGGCGCTTCTGGATCCGGATTTTGGCGGTGGCGTAAGTATCTGTTTCTGTCGTTGCCAGCTCATGCTAACCAGTTTTAGATACCCAATCGTACACAGTTCAAACATGTCGTCTTTGGCCCGCCACTGCTGTCGACCAACGATGAGGCGCTATTCCCCGCCATTCGTGACCTGATTGAAGCTGAGGACTGGTCGGGAGCCAAGGAGGTCATGGCTAAGACGGCAGGCATGCTGCGGCATGCAGGCGCGCTGCTGTCCATGTCGGAGCCTTAGCTTACATGTATTCTACGCTGGCATTCACGGAGTTGGGTATTTAACTAATTGATTTGTTGCAACGCTAACCAACGCCATGCCGTACTGGCAATGCACTAAACTGAGGGGTTTACTATCCCAATCTGGTAAAATCGTGAAGACAGCTAATCTGAAAAAAAAAAAAAATTCGAGCAGCTCAACCTAGAAACTCATGAAATCATAAAATGCAGCTCATCGCCCATCACTTTTTTCTGAGAACAGCTACCATTTCAGCACCTTTTGCGGAAAGAATTCGTCAATCAGGTCCATATAGTAGGGCTTGAGCTCCTCGACGCTCGGGACGTCGTCGCTCTTGCTGTAGAGATCGTACGGATTAAACGCCTGGACGGCGCTAAGCATGGCCCAGTCCTTGTCGCACATGAGGTGGCGGTAGGCGCCCTCGCGGTGCCACGGGTAAAAGGAGTGATAGCGGATCATGGCGAGGGCCTCGTCGGGTAGGCAAGACTGGTCGCGGACGACGTGGTACAGGTACTCGTCGTGGCCCCAGCTCAGCATGACGTTGTCGAGGCCGCAGCCTGGCGCGTAGACGCCGAGCGGCGACGAGTAGACGGGGTGGCGGGCGTCGGGGTTGGCGGGGAAGGTGTCGGCGGCCAGGACGATGCGCGGGTCAAAGGCGCAGCCGACGGGAAAGGTGTCGCCGACAACGTCCCACTGGCCCTGCGTGCCGAGCTCGTCAAAGAAGAGCATCAGCTTGCCGAGGTCGTGGATGAGCCCGGTGACCTGCATCCAGCGCGGCTTGCCGTCGCGGCGAATCGCCTCGGCGGACTGCAGCAGGTGCTCAATCTGCGAGAGGGACGTGTCCGGGTCCGACTCGTCGATGAGCGTGTTGAGCTTCTCCATGGCCTCCCAGATGGTCAGCTCCGGCCGCGGGCGCGAGGCCGAGTGGAAGCGGCTGCGCGCGGCGAGGTTGTAGGCCACCGTCTGCTTGGCGTGCTGCTCGCGGTAAAAGTTTTTGACGCGGTCGCACGCCGTCTCGTACTGCCGAAAGGTGGCCTTGTCCTTGGAGGCGTCAAACTGCGACGCCGAGTCGTACTTGATGGCGTTGACGTCGTCGATGGCGTCGGATGTGTCTTCGAGCGCCTGGCCGGCCTTGGTGACAAAGGGCACGGGAGGGGGAGAATCACAGAGGGCGGTAGGTGCCATGATGGATTAGAAAACGAGGAATTTGAAGAATTGTGTTGTTTTGGCAATGTTTTGGGTTTGAAAAGTTGTTTTTTGTTTGTCTTGTTGGCTGGAAGAAGGGTAGCAAGCTTGGGTCAAAAGGCGAGCAGGGCTTTCTTTATATCGCAAATGGCCATCACCTCGCGGGTAAATGCAAAATTGACATCGAGTGATAATTCTACGTCACTTGTGTGCATGGCGCCGGCGAACATTTACATGGCGGAGATCGACCCATCGTCATGCCCGCGTTTTGCGTGTGGTATGATGGAGATTGATGTAATTCTCGGCGGACATTTCTTAAAGAGGATGTTTGCATAGAGCCTAGCGCCGAAGGTTTCCTGGAGCTAACATTGGGGAGGCCAGTCGACGCCGCCGGCGTGTATTGCCGAAATAGGGAATTTCTTTTTATAACCAACGTTGAAAGACTAGATTGAGCAAGGGGCCACGGAAATTTTTAGCTAGAATATAAGGGTAAACCCCCACGGTCGCTGCGCGGCGGGCCGCCAAGAAACTTGGCGGCCCGGTTCGCGATCAGCTGGCCGGCGCATGGTCCGTTGCTCGTTGTGATTTACTTTTTTCGAGAAACGGTCGGTTAATCTGGAGTTGGCGGGGTAAAGGATGGAAACAACAGGTCATAAGTAGCGAGAGTCAAAAACTTGCCATGTCCAGATCCGTGCATCTGCACATCGGGTTACTTGACATGCTTCACCCCCTCCCCCCCTCTGCCAAAAAGTGTCCGTGGCCGGCGAGAGCTGCCGCATGTTGCGAATGTAGGTGCATCACCAGCTACTCTTTGGATATCATGCTCGATATGTTGCCGCCCGCCGACAGTTGCGACGGGCTTTGATGCCGTGCAGGTGAGGCTCGTGCCTGGAAAGTGGGCAGACGGAAACTGGGGAAATGTCGGCGGCAATTCGGAATGGATTGCAATTTTCATTTCTCCGTGACAATGGCTCTGTAGCGTAATGTGCTCCGAAACCATTCGTAAATTATCACATGTCCCTATTTTTACTTTTATCAAGTGTTGTTCTCACTAATGCCTCCAGTCGATCCGAGGGAACATGGTCTCGACTCAGTGATTCGTGGGCGACCTCTCGGCGACGGTGGACTCGTATGTCAGCCTTTGTACAATGGAGATGGGACTTTTTAGCTAAAAAGTATTTGGTGGCGAAGCTTCAAAGACTTCGTCAAGTTCATAGGCTGGCATAATGCCTGCCACATACGCCTCCTGCGAGTGGTACAAGTGACACATCAATCGGGACCTGCCTGGTGGCAACAGCAGCACGGCAATCCTTTCCGTACTCGTTTAGTACTACATCAAACCTACTCAGTCATTAAAGAAACCTCTATAAGGCGTGACCATGTTAGCTTGAATGCAGTTTGTGCTTGCGAGGCCTCGTAGTCCCGTGAGCGAAGGAACGGCGCCCAATCCGCGTGCGCTGGGCTCTCTGAATTGACTGTTATCACGAAATAAATCGCAGAAATACCTCCGAGTATAATCCTTCAAGTTGAATGTTCACTGCCATAGAAAACCGAAATTAAAGCCGCAACTGATGTGTGGCCTGATTGGTCCCCCATCAGACCTCCCGTCTTCCGTTATCAGCGACCAAAACTGTCATTACCAGAATCACTGCTCAAAACTCTATCTGTAGAAAAGAAGGCTCGGAAGTAGAACAACGAAGATTTCATGAAGAACTACAATACATGGAGAATCATCAACGATGGCGGGGGCTGTGGTAGTGATTATGAGAGGTAGATTGCGAACTGGCCATGATGACAATTAGAGGGCAATTTGATTGTTGAATCTCTTCGAATAAGCTTCGCTTTTGATTGTAGTGTAGTCTTTTCTCTTGTTCTTTTGATCTTGTAGCTGTCGGTTGTGCGAGCCTACTGAACTGATAATCGTCATGAATCTGCTTTGTCGGAGCGGCAACACTGCAGCTTGACGCTGTCGAAACCACCTCAGTTAGCTATATAAAAAGTCATATACTATGCCCGTCTCAGCTCGACCTGATTGAAGCATGCTTGCTGTTTTATTACAAGATAAGCATATGCCTGCCGACGGCCCGTGGTGGAATAGCTGATTGCATCTGCCCTCGCCTCGGCATATCTACTTATGAACCAAAAGCAGAAACTTGCTTTTTGACGTGAGCTTTTCTTCTCACATTCTGATTCTCAAATCATGCCCAAAGAGGCAATCACCGAGCATATGACGAAGCAGCAAAGGAATCAAACAGGGTTGTTAGCGTCATAGGCTCGCCGCCTCGTCTTCCCTAGGGCTTACATTCTGCCGCGCTGATCCGCAGCAATACTGCATCAGCGCTGACGATTTATTTGACACTTCTCATCCGCAACCTTGGACTTGACAACTTTTGACAAGCTGTGAGCCTGTGTTCGATCATGTCTCTCTTCACTGCAGCACTGACCATCTTGTCCGCCTTGCCGCTCGCTACGGCCTGGATCCCGACTGTGAAATCCGTGTACGAATTCGGCAACGTCGCGGATCCGGCGCTGAACCGAGACTCGTGCGGTTCCGTGCGCGTCGACGACCGCATGCTGTGGACGTGCCGCGACACGCAACCCTTTGGCGGCGACGGCAAGCCCTCGCTGCCCGTGTGGTCGAGCAGCGCGGCATGGACCAACTTCAACGGGCTGGCGCTGCCCGACACGCGCATGTACGCGACGAACAACCGAAGCCCGTACTTTGCGCAGCTGGCCAGCGAGTGTCCGGTCAACTCGGCCGGCGGCTGCCCCGACGGCACGCGCTACGCCATCTGGCCCGACCAGCCGCCGGCCATTACGGCGCGCAGCGGCAACGTCTGGGCCGGGTATACGTGGATCGCGCGGCAGCACATCCGGAGCGACTTTAGCAGCGTGGTCAAAGATCCCAAAGTATCGCTGTACAAGTTTGTCTACGACGTCAAGAGCGCGGATCGCAACGCGGTCCCGCGCATGACAATCGTCAACGAGGCCATTTTCCCTCAGGGCAGCTTCCCGTTTGGCACGCACGGCAGCGCCGTCAGGGACGGGCTCGTCTTCCTCTGGGGCAAGGCGTCCAACGGGCGCATCGCCATGGCGCGCGTGCCGATTGGCGCCGTCGAGGACGCGAGCCGCTACGAGTACTACGTCGACGGAAAGTGGACGTCGCAGCGGCCCGGCATCGACAATCGCGGCGTCGAGGTGGCCAACTCGAGCGCTGGCGGGCAGGGCACGTACTTTTTCTCGCCGTTTTGGAAGAAGTGGGTGTGGATTGGGCAGGGCGGACTGAGCATCGCAGCAGATTTCTACATTACGACGGCGGATATCCCAGAAGGGCCGTGGGATGCGCCGCGGAGCTTCTACAGAGGAAAAGATGGCGGCGCGCCGCTGTCGGCGTACACGCTGCAGGCGCATCCTGGCATGCACTTGGCTGGATATCATGATGGAAATGATGTTTTCATCTCGTATACTAAGAATGATGATGTATACACTACGCCACTTATCCGAGTCTTTTTCAACTAGTTACATGGGCCATGATGGACTGCCATGATCGAGCCGTCTAGAAGTTCATGTTGCAGTCCATTGCCAATCTTAATCAGATACGGTTAATTCGAAACCCATGATTATCAAAGAGCTCATCAATACAGTTAATCGAGAGATTTCCGGAAGCAGATCATAGACTTGGACGGGGATACCGCGGGCGTAGGGAGCGGACTCGGTTAACAATTTCTGGTGCGGAATGGCATCATCATATGGCGTGAATGGTACAAGACTCGGTTGTGCTTGCAACTCTTTTGTCTGTGACTGACCTAGGCAACTAGGGTTGAGAATAACTATACAACGAATTAAATCATTCTAAACGGATTAACCCCACAGCGGGGGGACAAAGTAAATGGCCTATAATGAGAATCCTTGAAGTAAGGCTACCTTTTTATTTACTATGTATTAATTCTAGAAAATAGCTTTCAGCATAGAAAAGTTAACTTAGGATAATTTAATAGCTAAATAATGCTTTCTATTTTATATATAAACTCTGTCTATATTCTATTATTTGCATCTCGTTCTGTTTCTCTAGGTGCTGGTGTAGTGCATTATGAGGATGGGCCAGCTTTTTTGTCCCCTCCTTGCCCCATTCCTCCCTGCCACGTCCGCTATAGATCCCGCCACTAGCCTTACCGTGACCCCACATGTCGCAACCGTTGAATTAATTTGTTTCGGCTCATCTTTTTTTTTTTTACCCGACAAGGGGGCTGACCTGCAAGTCAAGGGCTACAAATCAAGAGCACTATCTCGACGCGCAACCTGGCCGATCTCGCATCGACGGTCGATTTGCCGGTCTACGCGCGCAGACATGGCCATGCTTCCGCTCGGCAGGTTCTTGGTCGGCATGCCGTGCTGGCCGTTGCACAAGCAGTTTCGCCGCACCGTTTTCGTCGCCGCCGTCGCCCTCTTCTTCGTCGCCCTGCTTCAGCTTCGCTACCATGGCAGTCCGCTTCGTAAAGCGCCGCCCGAGGTCAAGCCCTACCATGTCAACACCATTGAAGACGACAATGAGCCGCGCACCATGGTCACGTCCAGCGCCTTTCACCCCATTGCATTCCCGCCGGGCCACAACAAGACGCTCGAGGAGCTGTGCGCCAGCTTTCCCCGCCACCTGCTCGCCCGCATCCAGCCTGTGCTCAAGACGGGCTTCAGCGACGAGCCGGGGCGCATGTTGTCGCAGATGGAGAGCTGCAGCGCCTGCTTCCAGCCTGGCGACCTGCTCGTCTTTTCCGACCTCGACGATACGTACCGGGGTCACGAGATCATTGACATTCTTGCGACACTGCCGAAATCCTATCACGAGTTTGAATCATTCAAGCCGTACTTTGAGCAGAAACGCTTACGCGACAGCGGAGAAGCCACCACCAACCCGGATGCGCTCAAGGCAATTGACGGCTGGAAGCTCGATAAGTTCAAGTTTCTTCCTCAAGTGCAACAGGCGTGGCAGATGAAGCCAAACCGGGATTTTTATGTGTTTTATGAGACAGATACGTGAGTGTGCCTGCATAGCTAGAGATATATACGCCGTTGCCACTAACATAGCGCTGCCCTCTCAGTTATGTGTTTTGGGATCCTCTATTACGCTTCCTCGACATCATCGATCCGGATACGCCTCTCTACCTAGGCTCTGCTTCCCCAGGCAGAGGAGACGAATTCGGAAGGATTACACTTTTTGCCAACGGCGGCCCGGGCTATGTGCTGAGCCGCGCGGCGGTAAAACATTTGCTGCAACGCAAAATCGGTCCGACAGGCGCTTACCTCGATCCCCCGTTTGCGGAAAAATATCGCTACCTCATGCATGATGCGGAGTGCTGCGGTGACAGCGCCCTCGGATTTGCCCTCTGGCAGAGCGAGATCCAGATGCAGGCCCTGTATCCCATGTTTGCTCAGCACCCGATACAGCATCTGCCATTCGACGCCATGCGCTGGTGCTCGCCGCTTTTCACCCTGCACAAGACCAGTTTCGACGACATGCGAGCTCTGTTTCAGTGGGAGTTTACTTCCCGATCCAACGATGTAAGTCTGATTCCTCGCGTACACGCGCATCCCAAGGCTGGGATTTTGCTTACAGATGTACAGTACGCCATGCGACATCGAGATCTATGGGAGTTTCAGAAGCCGGGCAGCGAAATGCGGCGCATAAACTGGCGCAACGACGACAGATTCGGGCACAAGGTGGAAAACGTCAGCATCGCCACTGGAGAAGAATGTGAGGAGCACTGTCGGTCGGTCGGCGAATGTTTCATGTGGTCGTGGCGTGGAAACGCCCTCAAGGAGTGCTTCGTGAGCGAGAGCGTAATGCTCTACGGACAAGATGCCCAACCAGAGGAGATTGAGCGCAAAAAGGAAACCGATCCGGAGAAAACTGAACAAGAAGAAGGTGCACCCGAGGAGGTGGAGCGCGTTCCGGTCACGTACATGTCTGGCTGGATCGTGGACAAGGTGAAGGAGTGGAGAACAAATCACGATTGTAATGACACGCTCTGGTTGTCGCACAGCTTTGGCCGCATGTTTTAGCGGTTGCGAGCCAATGTCAACGATGAGACTCACGAGGATACCAGACCAGATGAGATGTATATACGCTGTATTATCATTTAGAATATGGGAACCAAAGGCTATTGAATTGACAATGTCAAGCATAATCGCACGCCAGAGATGCAAGAATCTTGAGCTATCTTTTTCAAGAGCTTGACGACTTAGCCAGGTAGCTTTGTTGTTTACAAGCTGAGTACAGGCTGCGCACGACGATATTATGCCTTCGTTACAATCTACAATGACGGGCTTGTCGGTATACCTGTTGCGCACTCCTTTGAGTCCAAATGAATGTGCTACTTTTCATTATTCACTGACATCAAGGAGACTGTTACTAGGCCGGACGCTGGAATCCCTTGTTCTCGCATACACCTTGTCAACTTGTGCTTGGGACTCGTCTATGTCCTGTGAGCGCTTGATGGGCGAGATGAGCAATTCGGCCGCGGCCTTGTTGCCTCTATAGGACGCCGATGTCGTCCGCTCTCGAAGAAGTCATACGGAAAGGTCCGGACAATGACGGTCCTCTACGAACACCCTCTACGAGCGGAGGGAGAGACCGGGGGGATAACCAAATATTGAAAAAAAAAAAAAAAATCACCAGCTTCGTTTTGTCGGCGGATATATGTTCAGGGCTGCGAATCCTATGCGACGCGTGGGTGCGCGGGTGATGACTCCACGACCAGGGCTGACTCCAACTAATTAACGCCTTAAAATCAGCTGGTGGCGCATCTGTCCACAGCATGACCCTATCACAGTCTTTACAGTTGACAAGGGCTCTCTCTCTTAGAGTCATCACCGGCAACGGCGCCGCTGCCGGTGGCGTCTTGTCTCAGCCATGGCTGGCAACGATTGGGCGAGGAGCGGTGCCTGGAGACGACCGACGAGACCCTCCTCTCGCGTCCATTGGTTCTGGGTCGACGAGGATTATTGCAGGCGAAAGCTGAGCAGGGCCCACGATAAGGCCCACGATGGGCTTGTTGGAGTTTGGATGGTCCGCAAAGCAGGGGAGCATATGAATGGAGAATGGAGCACAGACGAGCAGACTTTTCTTCTTTTTTCGTTTGTGAGAACAGCATGGCAAGGGTGATAGTAGATTGCCAAGACAATTGCCTAATAAATAATCATTTATCAGCAAGTTGGCCAGTGTCTGTCCCCCTGGTTTAAGACTGGCTTGTCTCTCCAGATTGGGAGAGCATGAAGAGACAGTTGCTGAATCTGCCGATTCGACATTGTTTCTTTGCATGGCAAGTCTGCCGATCGTAAATGCACTGATTCGTCCATTTCTGGAAATGTCGTATAGGCGTCTCCGCCAGTGCAGCAATTAAAACAACCGCCAAACAATTTCCTTGTCGCAAGATGGCCCCCCCTCCCCTTCCAAGGCCAGCTCCAGGTGGTCCTTTTCCCCCTAACTTTTAATTGCACCACACGAAGCAACTAGACTCGACGTCGCGTGGGGGCAGTGTGGCACACGCTAAAAGCGCGGCCCCATGTTCCACCAGTGTGGCGGCCAGTGGCTTTTCCAAGATTGCTTCGATACGACCCTGCGACGGAGCCAGAAACGAGGGTGGTGGAGTCCTCGACGCCCAGCCGATCTTTTCTGCATTGTCCTTTTGTGGATGGTCTTTGGTGGTCAAGTGGTGTTATTATAACGCTCAAGAACTAACTCATAATAGTTGGCCAAACCGGATGAACCGAGTGAGGCCGGTTCATCCTTGTCCGAGGAGGCGGGGGCCAAGGTGGCCGCAACTGAATAAACTATGCATACTCTGTTATATGCCACCAACACTAAAACTTTATCTTCTCCACCCACCTTGCGTGACCAGATCTGAGTCTTTCTTCTTCTTCTCTTGCCCGCTCATCTGGAGGAGATCAATATAATCGGGTTGCGCGCCGTCTGTTTCCGAGCCGGCCTACTCTTTCGTGTCCCTTTTTTTGCGAAACTGTCGCAGATTATTCTTTTTTTTCGGGATTGTATCGGATCAGCAACTAGCTTTTTCTCTCCCGCATCACCATCATTATCGTCATCATCATGTTGCAACCACGCGAAATCGAGACGCCGTTCAACAAGTCGCCGCTAGTGCGGGCCGTGACGGCCTTTCTTATGGTCTTTAGCATCCTCGCCGTCGTCACCCGCATTGCCACGCGGCTGCTCACGGCGGGCAGCCTGAAGCACGACGACCACACGGTGATTGCTGCGACAGTAAGCTTTGCGACCGACATTCGAGGCGGGAATTTATTTCAGGCATGGTTTGGTGCTAATACGGGGGGGTATAGGCGCTGGCCGTTGTGCAGTCGATAGTCGTCATTGTGCTAGGCGCCAACGGCTTCGGTCAACATAATTACGCACTCACCGATACGCAGACATCGACCATTCTTAAGGTATGACCACCTGTACACAGAAGGGGGGAAAAAGGCACAGATTGTGTTTCGCTATCCGTTTGTGTGCTGACTGGCTGCCAACTACAGTGCTTGTACGCATCCGGCATCCTGTATATTGTGACTCTTGGTGTCACAAAGATCTCAGCATGCATGACGGTCATGAATGTGGCGCCGCTCGGTCGCAGGCGCGGCATCTTCTTCGTCATGGGCGCTATTGGCGTCTGGGCAGTGGCCTCGGTCGTCGTTGTCATTTTTCAATGCCAAATCTCTTCGCCGTGGAACTTTTACACGGGAAAGTGCGTCGATTTGGTATGGATACAAAGGAAACCACTCATTGTCTACCGAGTCTGACATTATGACAGCCTGCGTTCTGGCTATTTTTCGAGATCCTCAACATTCTTACTGATCTTGCCACAATCGTCGCCATGATGGAGCTGGTTTGGAACATTCAAGCGCAAAAGTCGATGAAGAGCCTAGTCATCTTCATCTTTGGCAGCCGTGTCCTGTAAGCTCAAACTGCCGTCTCGTATCTTGCTCAAGTGCAAAATTAACAAGCTACCAGCATTATCCCAGCTGCCATTTGCCACATCATCTACCTCAAAAGGGCCGTGACCGACTTCAAGTCCACCGGCGATACCTTTGCCTTTTGGCCGCCCGTCATCATCCGGCAGGTGGTGCAGTGCCTTAGCATCGCTACGGCCTGCATCCCCTACCTCAAGCCATTCCTGGACAACCTCGAGTCAGGGCAAATGCGTGCCGGCGACGCCCTCATGTACATGAAGTCCGGCTCCGGCCACAGCGGCAACAAGAGCGGCAACAAGAGCGCCGACCGCAAGAAGACGACGGCCGCCAGCGGCTCGCGCACGGTAGACGGCCCTAGCAGCAGCGCACACAAAGCGAGCAGCTCACGGCCGTCGACGAAGCCCTTTGAGCTGTCCAACATGGCCAACAGCTCCAAAGGGCCAAACGTGACGACAACCATCATGCATGACGACGCACAGCCCTCGTGGGACGGGCAGAGCCAATCCAGCCAAACGGTGCTGGTGCAGCAGTCGTGGCGTGTCGATGTGGAGGCTCGGCCCCAGTCGCAAGCATGAACAGGAATTGTAAAAAAGAAAGAAAGAGTACTTAATTAGAACGCAACTAGCCTGTTTTGTATGTGTAGAGCTCAAAACGAGCACCATTTCAGAAATGATTAATATGATTCATTTACCGCTCAGTCAGCATGATGCGGAAACCTTTCGACGGGCGTTCTGGAACAAGCAAAGAGCGGGAATCACCCGAGGGCTATCTCGGCGAGTCAGTTCCAGGTTTGGCAGTCATCTGAATCAGGAATGGTGGCGCCGTACGCCACGATCCGCCGTACTCACTGCCGGCTAATGTCTAGCACAAAAGTCCTGTGGGTGAAACATGGCGCTCGCTTCTGTACTTCTTTCCCGACGCATGCACGGTCTAACTACCGACGGCCAGCGCAACACAACGTCCCATGCATGGCATAGAGAGAGAGAGAGAGATGAGACGATGAACCTCTGCTATAGCTCATAATTGGCTACCTTTTCTTGCCACTGCAAATAGGGGGCGGGGGAGAGGTAATTTGATTTGAGAATGTTGGGGACACGAGAATGAGCTGTCGCGGTTACGAATATCCTCTCCCTTCTATAGCCTCTCTCTTCACCAATGAGAGCGCGAAATTTCATTGCGAATTTGCGATAAATGGTTCAGTATTACATCCCGCTCTATAGCACCGCCTTCTTGTCCCCTGGAACCTATATCTGTCGCATGATTTCGCATCTCTTACAACACATGGCACCGCCCACACCTGTCTAGGCCGAAAAGTGGCGAGGGGGGGGGACGCCGCCTAGGCCAAGATGCTCTGCTACAGGACGGGCGAGCAGGCCAGAATTGGGGGCCCCTTGGAAGTTGTTCTAGTTATGGAGATGGAAAGCTGGGATTCCGAGAAATGAAGAGGAAGCAGCTGCTGAAGAAAGTCTAGCCCACGCAATAGTCCAACCTTTAGTGTCTTGGGACTATAGACCAATACCCACATGATAACATGGGACCCGTGGTCAACTCGGCAGCTTTTGCAAGCGAATGGAGCAAACTGCACTGGCCAAGTTGGGTTGGCCAAGAAGGCTTTGTTGAGCATGTTGACCGAATTCTCTCTCGGTCCCCTGCTCGGCGGGCTTTCTGATTACCTCGTGAGCTGGTCGGGTTATTTGTCTATTTGCTGGTGAATGACTCGGGTCGCGTGGCACCCTGGTCGAATCGAGCCGCCTGAAAACGGACCAGTCGTCGCAGGAAAGAGGGTTATCAGACAACCTTGACCACTCCCATTGTTCAGCCAGCAAAAGATAATGCGCAACGAGGACCCTCTTTCAAGGTTACAGGTGGTTGGCAAACGACTTGGCCTTTTTTTTTCCCACCCCTAATAAATAATCTGCCCCATCTGCCATGCTAGTTTTGGTATTGGGTCATTACTTATCCCGCTCTTGTTGGTGCGTTTGTATTATATCCTAGGAGTCTAGGACCGCCGCGCCTCGTGGCCACAAGGACATTCTCTCGGTACATCCACCAGGGGCCCCCTCCCCTCTCGACGTTGCATTGAGACGCCGCACTACCCCCGCCTGCAGTTCATCGGCATTGACTGTCTCAAATATCTGGCGAATTTTCTATTTTTTTTTCTGCATCATATAACAGTCTTTGCCGTCTCGGGGTCTTTCCCCCCTCAATCAATCGCCCTTATTTTCTGTCTTGTGTTTCTTTTTAAAAGCGGTTCGCAGAGAAACATAGACTGCTTGTTTGCCCACAATGAGTCGAGTACATATGGAAAACCACGAGCTCAGGGAGATGGGCCCCGATACCAAGGGGTCCCGGACGCATCTCGATGACATCTCGCAGCGCGAGTATGAGGATCGCGCGCAGCTGATTCGCCTGGGCAAAAAGCCCGCCCTCAAGGTAAGTTTCTGCAAATGGGCACATCAATTCAAACAAGAAGAAAAGAAAAGAGAAGAAAGAAAAAAAGATTATTGATTGCTAACATGCAATGAATGAATGGGTAGCGCAACTTTAGCTTCTTGACCATTCTCGGCTTTAGCTGCGCCGTCCTCGTCACCTGGGAGGGCGTGCTCATGAGCTTCGCGCCGGGCCTTGCCAACGGCGGTCCCGGCGGTCTCGTCTACGGCTTCCTGTTTGTCTGGGCCGGCAACATCACCGTCTTCTCGACGCTGTGCGAGCTGGTCTCGATGGCGCCGACGTCGGGCGGCCAGTACCACTGGGTGTCGATGATGGCGCCGCGGAGCTGCGCCAAGTTTCTCAGCTACATCACGGGCTGGCTGACGGTGGCTGGGTGGCAGGGCACGGCGGCGTCGGGCGCGTACCTGGCCGGTAGCATGATGCAGGGCCTCGTCAGCTTCACCCGGCCCCAGTACGACGGGCAGACGTGGCAGGGCACGCTGATTGTCTGGGCCGTGGTGCTCGTCGCCGTCTTCATCAACACCGTCGTCAGCTCGCTGCTGCCCAAGATTGAGGGCATGATTCTCGTGCTGCACATTGTCGGCTTCTTTGGCGTGCTTATTACGCTCCTGACGTTTGGTGCGCAGGGCGATGCGTCGGCCGTCTTTGCCACGTTTCGCAACGAGGGTGGGTGGCCCACGCAGGGTCTTTCCTTCTTTGTCGGCCTCTTGGGACTTATCTTTTCCTTTGCCGGTATGTTCTTTGTTGTGCGCTTTCTGCGGTGTGTACATGGTTGCTAATCTTTATGGTGCAGGTGTCGACTGTTCTTTTCACGTAAGACTTGCCATCCAATGATGCCTGCTGCTTTCGGGCGAGTCTTGGTCAACGCCAACAATCCACTAACACCTTTTCTAGATGTGTGAAGAAGTTCAAAACCCTTCCGTTGCTGTGCCCCGGTCCATCATGGGTAGTATCTTCATTAACGGTCTCATGGGCTTAGCAATGGTTATTTCCATGCTCTTTGCCGCCACCAACATTGATGAAGCCCTCCAGTCGACCAGCGGATACCCCTTCATCGAAATTTTTTTCCAAGCAACGAACTCCAGGGGCGGCACCGCCGTCATGGCCTCGCTGATCATCTTCATGACCATCTCTGCCGTCGTCGGTGTCATTGCCACAACGTCCCGAATGTTCTGGGCTTTTGCCCGTGATCGCGCTCTGCCATTTTGGCGCACATTGTCCAAGGTACGACAGAGGATTATGAACGCTGTATTGAGGCAAAAGAAGACTGACAAAAAGACCAGGTCGACCCTACTACTCAGGTGCCCATCTGGGCCATCGGCGTCACAAGTCTAATCTCCTGCCTCTTGGCCCTCATCAACATTGGCTCCACGGTCGTGTACAATGCACTCGTCTCGTTGTCCATTACCGGCTTGTACTCGTCCTACCTGATTGCCGCCTCTCTGCTGTTATGGCGCCGATGCACCAACGGCTTCTCAATGCCCGACGGGAGCTCCCTTCCTGCTCTCGCGGATGGTGACAATACAGAGGGACTCGTATGGGGGCCATGGCGCGTACCGGGCGTTCTCGGCATTGTCAACAACAGTCTCGCCTGCGCCTACCTGGTCATCATGTGGTTCTTTACCTTTTGGCCACCAGCCCTGGTGTACGAGGCCAAGGACATGAACTTTAGTGTTTTGATGACGGGATTCGTCGTCATCTTTAGCATCGTGTACTACCTTGTTTGGGCAAAGAAGGATTACAAGGGACCTATTCGCGAGATCTAGATCCGGAATTATTCTCAGCCGAGCTGGCTGTTGTGCAACGTGCTCTCAGCAACTCTGGTATGTTGGTGTCAAGCAGGAATGGGATAGTAATGCGCGACTTGGTGCGACCGTTCGCTTTTTTTGGCGTATCAGTTGAACAAGTGGCAGGATACACTTCAGCAACATTGCCGCTTTCAATGTGCGTTGAATGACGCATGTTTCAAACGAGAAGCAGTCTCACGACGCAACTCGTAAGATTCATTTTTACTGTAAATATAGAATAGACGTGTGCATAAGCATTCTTTACCATTACTTTCTTACTACACAGTGCTCTGGTCCCGTCGTAGCAGTCGCTCCAATTCTCTAGAAAGCCTGTCGCACCCGGACCCCTTGAACGCAGGCCTGGGTGCCCACTTCTGTCATGCCAGCTCAGGGCTGCCGAGGTCATCATTACTTTCGTCTCTTGTGCAAATTTCATCCCGATTGAATGTAGATTGCAGAGATTGAGTTTCCCCGGCGCCACTACATCGTGAGCCCCATCAAACTAGAATTTCGAGTAGCGCAATCTGTCAACGGCAACTACCTTAGTTAGTTAATTAGCTGGAGCCGCGTTGATGGTGGCGTCTTGGTGGCTCTCTGCTTGCACCGCTAAGACAGCTAACGCGGTCTAATATACGAAACCGGCACAATTATTAGTCACGCAGCTGTGCGACGTGCGAGTGGTGATGCCCCGCGTGACCTTGTTTCTTTTCCTCAACAAGATACATAGTGTTGATGCAAATGGATTGCCGATGCGAGTCTTTGGGTATTTGACCTTGCTTATGAAAGCTGGGACACGCCTCATCTCCTGAACCCCGCCCATTGTCGCACGTGCTTCTGCCGAACCAACTGCAGCTCCCGCGCCGTAACTAGAGGCAACTCGTCTCGCCAAGTGAAGCATGCCCGCCCAGGATCCTCCCATCGACGACCCCTCGCAGCGCCAGAAGCGATGGACGCCCCGAGTCCGGACGGGCTGTTACACATGTCGGTTCGTTGGCCCCTCTCCCCGCGGCGGTCCTGCAGCCCCTTCCTCGTCGGTTTCTTGGGTTGGCTTCGTAGACATGTCTGACGCCAAATTACAGCACGCGCCGCATCAAATGCGACGAGGCGCAGCCAACTTGCAAAAGATGCCGCATCAGAGGGATCCGGTGCGACTACCCGCTACAGCCGCGGCACCGGCCGCAGGCGAGGCTGTCGCTCACCGTCCTCCAGCCTCCCGAGTGGGCCTTTTCCGAAGCCCTGCGCTATTGTTCGTGTTGCCCCCGTTAACGTTAACCCCGATTCTGGGCTTTGGAAAGCGATTGGCAGCTGACAATGGATGAGCGTACGTCGCAGATCTTACAGTTACTCTCAAGCCGCAGGCGGCAAGCTCTTTCAAGATGACCTCGCCGGAGGACCACTTGAAAAAGTACCGGCCCGACATGCACATTTCGCGGCAAGAGTCGATCCCATCGTTTGTGATGCTCGTTATTCACTCGCATATTACGGATATTTGCCGGGCCAATAAGATACGATGCGAGCCGGGGTCATGGCCAGCCATTAATCACTTGTGGCGCATGTTTTTCGATTACATGGCCAAGGCGATTCAATATCTAAACCAGTGCATCGCTGCCGATTTCCCGCCGCGGTATAACCTCTACAGGATTGTTGATCTGCTAAGCATCGAAGTAAGTTGCCTCAAATCTACAAGAGGATCAAAGTTGACAAGTGCAGCTGGACATGGTAGACTCGACGTTTTGGCAGGCGCACTGTAAAGGGTTTCTGGCACTCGTAGAAGCATATGGGGGTGTAGATGCCGTCATCAAATCCGCCGATAATCCTTCTCCCATATTAGCCTTGCAGTTTGTCTTCATGTACGAGAACGCTGCTTTCCTTTCCTCCCCCGTTCTACTAACTGATGCTGACCGCACTACAGCCACGGACTTGTATGCAACACGGCTGGCCCAGTGGAAGAGCAAATCAACGAATTTGACAGGTTCAAGGAGGCTGAGATCCTGCGCATTTACTCTGACATGTACTTTCGCGTCTTTCCCTGCCCGAGCTGCCTCTTCCTCAGCATTGTCCGTGTCACGCGCCTGCGCGTCCTCGCCGCCAGCCTCGGCCCCTCGTCGCCCGAACTTGTGTCCGCCGCGGAGGAGACATGCGCCGCGGTGTACGGCTTTGCGCCAGACCGCTGGACAGAAGAGTACACATTGCCGTCGGACCCTAAAATCTACACGTTTGCACGCGTCTTTCAGGCCACCACCATTCTCTATGCGCTGCTCTCGCTGCCACACGCCCTCGCGCAGCCGTTTCGCCGCGTGGAAGCCGCACGCGGTCGAAATGCGCGGCGACACTACCGCCGAGTGCTCATAGACTCCATCGAAAAGGCAAGCAAGGTCCGCATGGGCTTGGCGGGCATGTGCTGGCCGCTGGCGGTGCTGGGCGCGGCGCTGCATGACGGCGCGCCCGAGGAGCAGGCGGCGGTGATGGGTTGGCTGCGGGAAATGGAGACGCTATCGACCGTGGCATCAGGGCCGATCTTACTGCAGAAGCTGCTGCCGGCATTTTGGGCGTCGGGGAAACGTGGCTGGGAGGATTGTTTCGATAAGCTTTCGCAGATCGCGGCGTAGAGCCGTTGACTTGAAGAGCGCACAGCAATGTCAGATCTTGGGGAAATTCAAAAAGTATATATATACGCAAGTATTCAAAGATTTGTGCTACTCGTGCGTCTCTTCTTCATTCTGCGTGGCACGCAGAAACCTGCCCAGCTTGGCTTGGGTATATTGCTGGGCGGGCCTCTGCTGCGTCTCGTCACTATCATATCATTGCGGCAGCATCACACTCACGTATCGAAGAGGTTTTCATAGGCCAATGACCTTTGCGTGGCATCCTGGCCCCTCTCTAATGCGACTATAATTTCCTCTCTCAGCAGCGCATCAATCTCGGCGATGCGCTCCCTCGCCTTGACACCCTCCTGGGGGTCCAGGATCTCCCTCAAGACCTCGGTCGCCTCCATCAGATCCCGCTTCTCCTGCCAGAGCCGGTTATATCTCGCGGGGCCCCCGTCGCTCTCGTCAAAGCAGATGCCGTACATGGCGCAGTACGTCTCCGTCTCGCCGGGACAGTCCGTGGCCGCGCCGCGAAACAGCCAGGGGAACATGTGCTCCCACGTGCGGCCGGCAATGTAATCCGACAACTCGGTGTCGACAAGCCAGTCGCGGCAGCGCGCGTACTGACTGCGCGGGTTGCGCCGTACGGCCTCGCGCGACACGGCAAAATGGGAACAGCACGGCCCGGCGAGGATGCGTGGGACTTGCACTGCCGGGCCAAAGTTGGCGTAAAAAGCCTCGCGCATGTACGGCTCCTCCCGCTTGTCAGCCGTCTCGGGCGTCTTGGTGGTGTCGAGCCAGGCCGGGCACGCATTCTGCCAGCTGACGCGCAGGTTGGCATAGCCGCGGGCGCGGGCGCGGTCGAGGTCCAGGCGATCAAGCGCAAAAGGCATTGACTGCTGCAGCACGCCTTCGACGTGCCAGGGTTTCTCCTCGGCGTGGATCATGATGGAGAGGTCCGGGAGGTCGTCATAGTAGTCGTGGAAGTAAGTATGGTAGATGAGGGCCTCGCGGCCTTTGCGCGGGACGGGAGGGCGGTGCGGCGCGGAGGGATCATCGCTAACGTAACGTATGACGCGAAGGTTGGGAATGGTGAGGCGGGATGTCCACGAGATGTCATCGGCTTTGAGGGTTGCGAGCACGAGATGAACGCTGATGTTGCTGGTGATGGTGGTGGTGGTGGTGCCTGCCAAGTCGCTAGCGAGATGAGCGGAGCGCCAATTGGGGAGCTCCTGGGCGGGCAGGGACCGCCATCGGACATGGGCGGCAAGGGAAAAAAAGGTGGCCGCGAATAACGCGGAGAAGACGAGGGAGGCTCTTCGAGGCATGGTGCACCAGCTAGTACGGGTAAATCTGAGCACTCATGGGTGCTTTTCACGATGCAAAGCAGCGTTGGTGTTTTTTTTTTTTTTTTTTTTTTTTTTTGCTTTTTCAATTTTAATTACGAGATGCGCAGAGCAGCGACCGCACGGCTACGTCAGCCGTTCACATGTACGGAACAGGGGTCTTTATCGGCAAGGCTGCAGTCATGGTTCACTTTGTGTGGTGGTCTCGTCGTATCGATAACTGATCAGCGTAAATGTGTCCCATTATAGAAAGCAGGCTGGGTCTAGAGCCGACAAGTCGAAGGTCCAGCTCTCGTTGGCGGTTCAAGGAGATCACCAGGCCACTTGGCTAGAGGTCAATGTTAATGGTAAACTGCAACCTGACACGTTACGCAATCGTGAAAGCCTAGTTGCCGTGAAGATGTACGAAGAATTAAAGACAACTTGCCATAAAATTAAGATCTACATGCGTGTCATTCGAACGATCAAATCGAATGTGAAGTGGCCCGTAGTGATTGATAACGCAGCTCGAGACTTTTGTGCATTCGCATCAAGGTAGGAGAGGCTTGGCTCTCCATTGACCACTACACCATCTTGTACATATTGTATTGACAAGGCTTCTAGGGTAAGCCAAATGTAGCATAGGTATAGATAATAAGAAAACGTTGAAAGAAGCGGGACGGGTGCTCTTGCTCGCACTTATCAGTGCGTTTCGAACACTTCAAAGATCCAAGCCTTCTACGAGGCACAACCCATCGCAATTACTTGAGGAGGTTTTTGTTGGGTTTCTGCAAAAACCAACACCATTGCCATAATGTGAAGCTCTGCTTTCTTGGAAGTGTGGAAGTCCAGATGCTGATAAAGTAGCCGCCACAACGTATAGGGTAGCGCTGTAGGGCTCGGAGCTCCTTGGAGCGGCCCACGGGACGGTTGTTATTACTACACTTGCAGCTAATGAAACAGGAAGAGCCGTCGCTTTATGGTGAGAACTAGAATCGTACAAAAAATCGATTCAGATCTTTAAAATACTTACCACGCTGCCAAGATCGAAGTCACCGGCCAGTCCAACGACGAGACTTCAACCAGCTCGTCAGCATTGGTCAGGGGGCTGCAAACACGTCGATATCCTAAGATTCTTTCAACGGTTCTATTCAAGGCTGAGACTACTAAATCGGGATAACTGAAAACTAATTAACCGTGGCTGTCCAAGTTGCATCGGCGGCGATACCTTCAAAATATAGCCTCTCAGGTCATGGAGCTATATTCAGTCGTATTTCAGCTCAACGGACACCACTCGGCGTATTTCTTCTTTCAACAAGACTTTCACACACAGGTCGGCGTATCACTCCAGACATGAGCGAGGTCTGACCTATACGAGGTCTGCTCTGAATGTCTGCCACTCAGGACATGGTAGCTCCGGCTGCCACTGCCACCACTACTTGCTCACCAGCCTCAACTCGGCGCCAACCCCAACCACTCGAACCACTACATAGAATTTTGCTGTGATCTATAGAAAGTTTGGCCGGCTTATTTCCTGCGCGTATTAACTAAGGGTTAATACGGCGCCTCGACTACACCACACTAGCCATGGCTTCCCGCCACCCCAAGATAAAGTTGCCTCTAGTCGTTCTGGAACTGCCACATGAATAGATAGTACCGCCGCTAGGCAACGGAGTCTAACTCTAGTTCCTAGCGGGTACCTTTTGCCTTCAAATCATATATAAGTAGGCGTTGAATAGTACAATAACAATGACTACAGCCACAACTCGGCGCGCCAACAGCCTTTCTGCACTCAGTCTCTAACCCGCCGCTTTCACCGCCACCCATGAGTCTGTTAGAAGAATTAGCTCTGACCAAACACACAGGTGGCTGGAACTGTGCCACATAACTATCATGGCTTACATCGTAGCAATTTAGACAGAGAAAAAATTCGGCCGCTCGACAAAAAAGCTTGCATGCCTTCATCGTGCCAGATAGGTCTGCGTCTTTCTCCCATGATCTGATCCATAGCTTTTCAGCCCCTTCAACTCACTCTTCTTCCCTAACATTTCCTTTTAACCAACTCCAAAATGCAGCTTACCTTTGCTTTCTTCGCGGGTCTCTCGTCCACCGGTGCCCTGGCGCTGGTTGTGCCAAACTCGACGGCCCTAGCGCTGGCCATGTCCAACTCGACGGCCCTGACACCGGCTGGGCCGAACTCGACGGCTCTGGCGCTGGTCATGCCCAACTCGACAGCCGTGGCACCGGCTGAATCCAACTCGACGGCCTTGGCTCTCGTCATGCTCAACTCGACGGCCGTGGCACCGGCTGTGCCCAGCTCGACGGTCATGGCTCTGGTCATGCCCAACTCGACGACCCTTGGCTTCCCAGGACTTAATCATGTGCAGAGCCGCAACGCAAAGGCGGCCATTGACCAGGTTCGCGCCGAGGCTCTGAACAGACAGGCTTGCCTGGCGGTCATTAGCACCGCTCTCCAGGAGTCTGAACTCCAGATCTACGCCAACCCCGTTGTCCCTGCCTCGATGAACTACCCCCACGACAAGGTTGGAGGTGATCAGGACAGCATTGGTAAGTGTTCCCACCTCGGGCCTAGACTCTAATTCCATGACAGGCGCTGACGAACCTGTATCTAGGCATGTTTCAGCAGCGCGCCGAGTTCTACTCTGATGTTGCTACGGACATGTCTGCTGCTGGAAGCACTCGCCTATTTCTTGCCGACATGAAAGGCATCGCGGGCTGGCAGACAATGGAAGTCTCTGCTCTATGCCAAGCCGTTCAGAAGGCACAGGCAGGAAACCTGTACGGCCAGCGCATTCCCCTTGCTGAGCAGGTCTGCAGCGCTGCTGGATTTTGAGCGCTGCGTTTAATCTGCGGAAATTCAATCCGTACACGTACTGATCTTTAGCTGCCTATATAGAAATTTGGAAATAGTCCATTGTCATTATCTTAATAATTATCGTCTCCATTCTTGTATAATTTGATACTCACCGACATAGTTGTCGGCAGGAATTTTTCGGTGTGACTCGGACATTGTGAAGCTCTTCGATATGTGCAGATGTGAAAGACAAGCTCTTGAACTTATTGCGAGAGAGTCTCTGGACTAAGAGGATATTTTTGCGACCACTTGGAAAGCCAACAGAAGAGCACAGTCAATAATTCGCTGCAGTCAACTAAGAAAGGATCGTCCACAAAAGGATCTGTCGTACCTGCAGGATGCACAGGTGTATCATCGACTCGATCGATTTACACGTGATACCGGAACCTGAATCTCAGTCACTCCCGCGCTTTTTTTTTCTCTTGCCTTTTCCACGTTTTTGTTTGATGATTTGCTGACAGCTTTCCAGTGTAGCGGGGTTCGCACTGTTTGGTGGCATCCAGCCAGGTGCTGTCCAGAGTTTCTCTCACCAACAAAAACAGCCGTCGCAACTAAACTTTCAACTCAGGGATATCACGTGGAGTGTGCCTTGGATGGGCCGCTCATATGGCCATGGACATTACTATTCTACACTTCAACGATGTCGTGAGTGTTGCCCTCTCGAAACGCAATCAGCAGTCAACCCCATGCTGATGCGAACTCCGCGGCTGCACGCAGTATCACATCGCCGACTCCGAACTGGTCGCAAAATTTGCTTCCGTGCTCGCAGACCCTAGTCATGTCACTGGCGATGATAGCTCTTCGAGTGGTCCCGTCTTGCGCGTCTTCAGCGGGGATGCCTTCTCGCCGTCCTTGGAAGCGGCCGTTTTGCGCGGAGACCACATGGCGCCGCTTCTGAACGGTCTGGATATCGACGTAGCCTGCTACGGAAATCACGACTTTGACTTTGGCGAGCATCGGCTTATGGAACTCACCAGCCAGATTACCTTCCCCTGGACCCTTGCCAACGTAGTTGCGCCGACACAAGACGCCGACGGGGGAGGTCGCCTTCTGGCTGGTGCCCACGAATATGTGATCAAGAATGTAGCTGGACAAAAGCTGGGATTCTTTGGTCTCGCTGGCAGGTGAGCAAATGCAATGGTATACCCGCCACCAATTTCAACTGTTCTTTGCTAATACAAGACAAAGTGACTGGCCGTCCAATTGCCAGCATCTGCCCGAATGCACAATTTCAAACCCTGCCGCAGTCGCCAAACGAATAGCTACGCACCTGCGGCTGGCAGAAAAGTGTAGCATCGTAATAGCTGTGACTCACATGCGTCTGATAGAAGATATCGAAACTCTCAAAGAGACGTTATCTGGTCCAGAGAAGATAGATTTGATACTCGGAGGCCATGACCACTATGTTGTGCGCCGGGATCCCTCGGACACCAATCCAAATCCTGAAGTAATTCAATCAGGCATTGATCTCGAAGGAGTTGCAATGACCGAATGCGATGGCAATTTCCGAATCATCAAAAGTGGTACCGACTGGAGAGGGCTTTCTATCCTTCGACTGCGACTTGGTGGCAAGGATAAAGGCGAGCCAGCGATACTCGGCATCTCCTGTGCGTGCAAAGGTTGGCGCCTCGAAATTGTTTCATCTTGGCTAATGCATAATACAGTGCGGCAAATCGAAAATCTGAAAAATCTCTCGAATTATAGCCACATTCCAGCATCTCGGGCGATATTGGACATTCTGCGAACAACTCACAGCAAGATTGAACAGGTCGTCACACAGCCGCTGTTTCACACCACATCACCACTTGACGGAAGAGCACACATAATTCGAAGCCAAGAAACAAACCTAGGGAATATGTTGGCTGATGCCGTAAGAGCGTTCTACGACACTGACATTGGCTTCGTCAATAGCGGCGCCGTACGTTGCGATCGAATCGTAGAGTGCGATAACGGCGCGCCTCTTTGTGTCCGTGACGTCATTGAGATTAGCCCCTTTGATAACGCCTTTGTTGTGAAGCGAGTCAATGGGAAAGTACTATTGCAGGCACTGGAAAATTCTGTTTCAGACGCCCACACGGACGGAAGATTTTTACAGCTCTGTGGTTTGAGCATGAAGCTGGACTGGAGGCGACCGGAAGGCTCCCGAGTCAGCGAGGTAACTTTTTATCCGCGTGGTGAGAAAGCTCGGCCTCTGGGTCTGGATTGCTTGTATACAGTGACTATGGTGGACTTTATCGGCTCTGGTTTTGACGGATATACCTGTTTCCGGGATTGCGAGACCCTGGTCGATGCAGAGGGCGCCATTACGGACACCAATATGCTGCTTGAGATATTCAAAATGAGCAAGGATGATGCAAATGAGTCTGGGATTGCAGACCAGCATGAAGAAGGAATACGGAGGGCAAGGGCGGCGGTGATTTCTGGCTACCATAGCGATGATGGCCTTCCCATTGTCAGCCCCGTCCTAGAGAATCGGATCAGGACTCTGCATGAGGCCAATCCTGAATTCAGATCTGACAATAGAACTAGTAGACGAGAAGTATGATTTTTTTCTCTCTTTGTTGTCAGAATAAGTGTGCATGAATGGGCTTCCGATCCTGGCTACTCTTCATACGTGATGACATGCTTCCACGAGCAATTATGCGACATGGACATACTGCCAAGCGTACGGCAAATTTGACGGTTTTCCGTGTTGAACCCGACATACCAACATGAATCCGCCTTTGCGCACTGCGCTAGGCAATTGAACGCACCGTCGCTTGCCGGCAAGCCGAAAAACAGCGTTGGGCGGCGACGCCAAAGAGCCCTGCAATGGCCCAGAGTGTAAGTGTCACAGAGCAAGCCCTTTCCGTTGAATATGGTGTGAGCATGCTTGCGTAAAAGTCACAAACAATAAATACTGGAGTTTGGAAAAGATTGCTAGCATTGGTTCGAGTTTGAATGATAATGAACGACAGCGGGGTGGAGTAATGCGCAGACGCTGCCGTCAGAGTAATCATCTACGACAGCATGCGTAGCAAATCATTTGATTATGTGAGCGTCAAACTCGACACGGGTGTATGGAACGCTGAAGCATGCCGAGGGTCTGGCTTTTGCGCGGATATTCAAAGCAGGCCACTTGGTGCCAATGGATCAACCGAGGCCTATTCGGGACCTTGTGAACAGATGGATTGGCGGCGAGTTTCAGAAGTAAGCGGCTCATGGGAGACATATATATATAAAGAAGCTCGGATTAGCGGATTGAATTTGACATAATTATATTACTATTTGGTTGTGTCTGAATCAGCTGACGCCTTCACTCGTAGTAGCTTTTCAGCATTCTTGTAAGCAAACAAGTCCAAGTCATCACCTGTAATCAAACCGCTCTTTTCAATCTCATCCAAGAATTCAAACCCCCTTTCATTCGGTGAAAACGGATAGTCGACGCTAAACATGACATGATCAATGGGCATAGTATCAAGCAAACACTTGAGCGGCGTGAGGGTAAACATGCCACTCGTCGTCACCCAGATATTCTCGCGCCAGACCTGGCGCAGGCCGCGCTGCTTGGCCCCCCAGCGCTCCGAGATGCCGACGCAGCGATCGAGCTGAAAGGGCAGCAGCTCGCCCATGTGGCCGATGACGAGCTTGAGCTTGGGGAAGCGGTCAAAGAGCCCGGCCGCAAACAGCCTCAGGACGTGGTGCCCCGTCTCGGCGTGCCAGCCCCAGCCAAAGGCGCTCAGCGCCAGCGCAACGTCGTCGGGGTAGTTGCCCTTGTAGTGGGCGGCCATGCTGTCCGACGCAAAGGTCGGGTGGAGGTAGATGGGCACGTCGAGCTGCTGCGCGCGCTCAAACACGGGCCAGTAGGACTCGGCGTCGTAGAAGACGCCGTCGAGGTGGTTCTCGACCAGCGCGCCGACGAAGCCGAGCTTTGTGACGCAGCGCTCCAGCTCGGTGGCGGCGGCGGCGGGCTCCCGCATGGGCAGCATGGCGAAGCCGGCGAGGCGGGTGGGGTGGCGACGGATGGCGGCAGCGAGGTCATTGTTGACGGCGGTGCAGACGGACGCGGCCACGTTGCCCGGGCCGTGGGATACGACTTGCAGGGAGACGTGGCCGCGGTCCAGGTCGGCGACGCGGGTGTGGTCCAGGTCGGTGAGCTTGTCGAGGATGCGAGGGGGAAAGTTGGCGTAGTGGGCTTTTGCTTGGTCGCTAGAGGTGAGGACGGTGGGGGAAGCAAAGTGCTCCTCGAGGGTGATGAGAGGGCGCATGGTGGCGGGTGTGAGGGTGAGAGGGTGTTGGAGGAGTGGTGATGTCAATGTGGTTGGCGTGGGCGAGTTGCTGCGTTAAATATGAAGCTGACGTTTGGAAACATCTCCACATAAGCGGGATGAGGCTAATTTCGAGGTGAGTTGGCAGGATGGATACAATAGCGGATTTGTCGAGGCGAAATGGCAGGACTGACTACCTGTAACTGGAGATATCGGGTTTATTGTCCGATTTCCTGGAGTTTACCCGGTACGCACATGATGAAGGTCAAATGGCGGCGCCACCATGTATTTCAGGCACATGACTAAAAAAGGATAGAAACTACTCCAGTTCTGATCGCGTTGCTGAATTTCTCCTGTTAAAAGGCATCGTTTGCGGCTCTGTGCATATTGAGCGAGTATTACTGGAGTGAGAAGAGCGAGTCAGATGTCAGTGTGGCTACCGTTGATTTGTCTGTAAATGAAACATGACGCGGCATGTTCTCTCCAGATCACCAGAAAAAAAGAAAAATAATATCTTTGACGCTCTGAAGGAACAAGATCAGAATATCACGACTATCAGCTACAGTCGACGCTGTCGGCTTCTGCCAACACGATGCTGTGCGAGGCAGCAAGGGTTGCTTCAGCTCCAATTGTGCCTTTTGTGCAGCTGCCACAGTACCTCAAGTCGCATTGAGCATTACATTCAGTCCTATGAGTTCTCATGGATTTTTGTAGTAATCGCAGAACAAATATCTTCGAATTGTATCTTCAATGGCTGATTTTCTAATCTTGGCTCATGTCACGCTCCCATTGGTCTTTGACTTTTTGCAGAAGTCCTGGCACCGTGTACATGTCAACCGCTGTGCCGGCCATGGCTTTAGCCACTCTCATGGCGCGATCAAACGCTCCTCGTGTTCGCGAGGCCCTTTCAAAATCTGGACTATGTGGTTGTCCAAACTCCGGCCCGGGCGGTATCGCAAAACTGACATTCATGCTCGGCAAGGCATAGCTGATATTTCCCTGATCGGTGCTTGACCTCACCCAAGTATACTGTCCTGGTGGCGGGAGCGGCGGATCTGGACTGTTGGGCATTTCGTGCCAGTACTTTGCAAAAGAAGACGCAAGCACTCGATTTGGCATATGATCCAGGTAGCCCGGTCGAACTTTAATCTCAACTCGTGCGCCGGTGGCCTCGGCTCCAGCGCGGAAACAGCCTTCGACCTTGCGTTGCAGTTGATCCAGATGCGGCGCTGTGGCGGCTCGGAGGACAGCAGCTCCAGCAGCATGTTCATGAATGAAATTCGGTCTGTCACCACCATGTGTGATTTGTAGTCCGATAAAATCATCTGACCTGGTTTGCTGGCGCATAGCAGATACACCATTGTATGCAATAACCATGGCATCAAGGGCATTCACGCCTTGCCACGGATTCTTGGCCGAATGCGCTGCTTTGCCGTGATATTCCACATCGAGTCTGGTAAACGCAGTAGCTCTGACCATCGGGCTGTTGTTTAGAATCCCTGGGTGCGAGATGAGGGATACATCGGTGTTTTTGTATGCGCCAGCATCCAGTAACCTGATCTTGCCGCCGCCGCCTTCTTCTGCTGGTGTGCCGACTATGACGACCTTGCCCGCCTGACCTTGTTGGTCAAGTATTTCCGCTGTGGCAAGACCAGCAGCGACGGACACCATTGCAATCAGGTTGTGCCCGCAGGCATGGCCCAAGTTTGGAAGTGCGTCTACAGAATTTATTAACATTGGCATCTGCAACGAGGCTGCGCACGCTTACCCATCTCTGCGTTGAAGGAAACAACAGGTCCCGGTCGGCCGGTATCGAAGACGGCTTCCCACGCGGTTGCCATTCCGTACGCTGAGCGAGTGACAGCCCATCCTGTTCTAGAGCTCATAAACTTTGTTAAAACATCGTGCGTCTTGAACTCTTTATAGCCGAGCTCGGGGTTGTCGTGTATGAAGCAGTTTAGCGGCCACAAGGCAGGTTCAAGTTGTTCAATAAAGTGGTCAATTTCAGCAAAGTGTCCCGTCAGAGACTGAAGCTGTGGCGGCGCTTCATCTGGTCTCGGCACAAATACGTAGTCCTCGTCCATGCTGATGAACAAGATGTATGCTCCTTTGGCATTTGAGAGGTCATGAGTTGTCTAGAATAGAAGCATACGGGGAAGCAACGCGCTAATAATTGCCGGGCCCCAGCCCCCAAGGCCCTCAAGCTAGCTGCAATACGAGGCCCGCAGCGGGCAACAGGTCGGAATCTGTTCTCGGAAGAAAACTATTCCGAAGTGCATGTAATTAACAAGTTGAAGTAATGAAGCAATTTTAAAAGAGACCGAGGCCAGCGCGAGCTACTTGAAGAAGGCTATGTCGAATGTGGACTGTAGGATATCTTGATGCTGGAGTTGCGATAGTGCAAGTTGGCGTTGAAACGTCGAGTTGGTGTTTATAGAGTTGATATTGTAAAGTCTCTAATCGATGCCAGTCGTCAGGTCAAACAGTCTATTCAAAAGATGAAACATGCGTGGAAATTATATGCAATACACACGTGCATAAGCTGTAGCTATATGCGAGGTTCTTGTCTGACAATGTCTACTAACCTATCTGACGTCAGGACGCAGCGGGTGACAATTGAGATATTTCATACAGTGGTGTACATTGCACCAAGCAAAAGAAAATTAAGTAATTTACTATTATGCCTGCTGACTCATTTTGTCTGGTCGTTGGTGGCGTTTTGGGGGCGCAAATACAAGTTTGATAGCTGGCTGTCAATGCTGTTCTCAGCTCGGATCTTTTAGCCGACGAGATTTACCGGTATTAATTACGGATATCATCCCATGCCTTCTATTTAGGGCCATTCTAACCTCTTCATCAATTGGAGTTGTTGATCCAAAAAAAAAAATTCCAAAAAAAAAACCACCCTCCATCATGGCCGCCCAAGTTGCTACTGCAAAACACAATGTAGCGACAACATTAAACTACTGGGATGACCCCGGCGATGGATCTAAACCGACCCCTATTTTCATCGGCAAGGGCAGAATCAGCAACAAACGGCCGCACAAGGCCTGGGATTTTGTCGTCTCCGACATCAGCGGCGATGAGGACCAGTACACGCTCGACAGCCATGGATTCCAATACTGCCAGAGCCCAAGCGACGAGACGCTCTTCACCGACGAGCAGCAGATCAAGCAAGGCTACTACGCCGAATGCGAAGCGCTGATTAAAAAGATCACGGGCGCTCGCAGCGTGCACATCTTCAACCACAAGGTGCGCCGGGGCCCGACGCAATGGCACCATCTCGGCCTGCACAACCTGGCTAACCGCGGGCCCGTCACCCGAACGCACGTGGATCAATCGTACGAGGGCGCCAAGCGCAGACTGCGGTGGGAGCTGCCGCAAGAGGCCGACGACATTGTGCGGCGGCGGTACCAAATCATCAACGTGTGGCGGCCGATCCAGGCCATCCGCAAGGATCCCATTGCGGTCGCGGACGCGCGCTCCGTGCCGGACGAGGACCTCGTCGGGGCGGAGATGACTGAGGACGGCTTCGTCGGCGAGTCGTGGGTCGTGCGGCACAACCCGGCCCATCAGTGGTACTACAAGCACGGCATGACGCCGCGCGACGTGCTCCTCATCAAGTGCTTCGACTCGGACGAGGGGGTTGCGCGGCGCGCACTTCACTCCGCCTTTGAGGACCCCCGGTACCAGGACTGCGAGTCTCGTCAGAGCATAGAGGTTCGCTGCCTCGTCTGTTACTGACCCGGGGTATGAGGGGTTGAGTTGATACCCCGCTCCAAAGCACCACATTTTACATGACCGCATTGCACCGGCACTCGTAGACTCTGAGGCTAGTCGCGTCGGTGAGCGGGGTTTGGCTTCTCTATTACGGGCCTATCTTGCGCATTTCATTAATAGTTTGGCTAGCTTTGCATGAAGTACTTGGAATACGAAATGCAGTGCATCTCATTAGTTGCGTCTCACTATTAATAGATGAGGCCTATATATAAGCCCAGTCTCCCCTTCTGTGCACGTTGCGGCTATCGCATCAATTCCACTCTCCTCACATCCACAAGCCCCCCTCCCTCATCTCATTAATACAATATATTACAGCATGGCTCCCGTACTTGATGCTCCGCAGACCGTCGACTGGATGGGCAAAAAGGTGCCCGTCTGGTCCATGCCAACCATCAACTACGGCCTTGTGCTCTCTCAGGACCCGAGCGAGGTCGACAAGCTCGTCAATGCCTGCAAGGAAGAGGGCTACTTTTATCTCGATCTCCAGGGCATCGATGGCCGTCGCATGCTGTTTGACCAGCAGGAGACGCTGAAGCTGATGAAGCGCTTCTTTGATGCTCCTCTCGAGGCCAAAAACGAGTTTGGCCTAATCTCTTCGCATCTTGGGTAATTGAGAATTCAAGTCCACCTCTATTTTTTTTTCCTCATGGCCTTCTTCGACAATGCTAACCTTTTCTCTTTTCCCCAAATATAGATACGAACCTGTAGGCAGCCGCACCGGTGTTGCCGCCGGCTCCAAGGACGGCTACGAGATGCTCAAGGTCTCCCGCGACGAGATTCAGCGCAACAGCCCCAAGATCCCTGCTCCCGTCAAGAACAGCGGCGACCTCCAGATTCTCGAAAACTCCATCGGCAGCTGCAACACCATCACCAAGGTCATCCTGTCGGCTCTCTCTACCGGCATGGGCCTCACCGGCGCGTCTCGATTCGAAAACTCCCACCGCAACGAGAAGCCCTCCACCACCACCGTGCGTCTTGTTCCTTGATTTCCCTCTTCTCCCCCCCCCCTTCCCCTTTCATGTTCATTGTCTGACACACCCTCGCCAACAGCTTTCCATGATGCACTACCTGCCGACCGAGCTCGCCGGCGAGAACCGCGTAGGCCACCAGAAACACACCGACATCAGCACGCTCACGCTGCTCTTCAGCGAGCAGTGGGGTCTCCAGGTTCGTCCTCCCGGTACCTGCGGCGCGCGCGAGATGGGCTTCGTGGCGCCCAAGCCCGGCTGCGCCTTTGTGCACGTCGGCGACTCGCTGCGCTTCGCCAGCGGCATGCAGTTCCAGAGCTGCATCCACCGCGTCGTGCCCTTTGACCCGGCCGAGCACCGCTACTCGATTGCCTACTTTTTGCGCGCAGAGGACGACACCATGTTCATCGACTCCGAGGGTCGCGCCATCACCGCCGGCCAGTGGCACGACGAAAAGTTCAAGGCCTTTACCGATCCCGAGGTCTGGCAGGCCATGGCGCCCAAGTCCATGATCCTCGGCGGCATGAAGGAGGATGGCGAGGATGCGCCCCTCACCGGTCTGGCTCAGGTTGGCCCCGCTCAGGCTACTGTGCCGACCAAGGCCTAGTTAATCAAGTAATCTATTTACATTACAAGTTGTACTCAGTAGACACAAACCAGCTCTGTTTAATCTCAAATGCGGCCGCTTCTAGCCACGGATACAAGTTATTCCATCTCAAACTACCCCGTCTTGATCATCCTGTCTGTGGCAACTTGTTTAGCCAAGCGCCCCCCTTTCTGGCCAAGGCCGCCAAGCTGTCAATGCTCACCCTGTCTCGCGGCATTTAAGAAAATATCTTCAGATCCAGCTGTTGTTTCTCACCCAGCCAAATAGCACGCTCTGTGTGGTCCCGCAGCTCAGAAGCCAACAAAGTTTCTCCCTCTTCCGGCACCGTGTTGGGGTGCACCAGCACAGAGAGCGGTCCGCGCCAGACGGCAAGCCAGGGAATAAATGCGCCAAACTGTGCTGGCGTAAAGACGCTCACTTCAAACATAGCAGTGGGATGGGGGCCGACAGCGCGATCCCAGAATGTGTAAATACGCAGCTCCGGGACTTGGCATCGTCAGCATTTAACCTCGACGTTTTCTGGTTGCTTCTTCTTCACACTATGTGTCTCAAGCCATACTTACACTCGCGGCGGATACGTTCATAAAGCTCACTAGCGTACTGAGCCTGATCCTGGCTCGTCTGGTCATAGTACACGTGAACATCGCTTGTGCGCGTCATTAGCCACAGGCTCTGTACTTGCGGGCAATCAGCTGCTTACAATGCTCCACGCTTCTCTGTATCATACGCCTTGATAAACTGCTGGTAGGTTTCGCTCGGCGTATCTGGGGGCGGGTTGGCAATGCTCTTGCCGTCGGCAGCCTTGGCTGTCGGCAACGGTGTGTCCCGGCTGACCCCGGCAAGTGGCGATGGATACTTTGTGGCAGGCATGCTTGAATATTCGAACTGCTGAATTTGGAAAAGAAGGCCAAGATTTTGCAGAGGCTATCTCTATATTTAGTCTGAACTTGTCGTAGTTTTGGAGGAACCCATCTTGATGTTAGATTACCAACCAAGTGCGGGGAGTGCTTATGGCAAATCAGCGGGACGCTTTCTGCTAACTGCGTTAATATAGCGTCTTGATCGGCCATCCCAGTGTTTCTAGTAGTTTTAACGTTATTATGTTGTACATCTTAGCGGATAGGCATATATGCTTTGATAATCATTCCCGATTATGGCAGCATGAATAACACTCCATTTGTCAAAGGCCAAGATCTGTTCCTTCGCATTCTTCTCAACGTTTACGTTGAAGCAGCCATTCCATCATCATTGCCAGACCACCATGCCTTACAAATTACTTTGCACAGTTTGATTGCCTCTTGAAAAGTCGGCACTTAAACCCGGGGCAAGAAAGCAACCGAGATTCTCTGTGTTCCCCAGATCAGCGCGTGACTGCAGTATCGGGCAGGACGGTTGCCATCGTCTTTCCCGGAAGGTAGCATCATGCTCGCCACCGTCATTGAAGCGCACATCCTTTATACTGACTTCCAGTCTAGGCTTTCGATAGAGCTTTGCCAATTCGCTTTGTGTTCCCTCGAGCTAACTGGTAGTCGCAGGTCGCTAGTCGGAGCCCGCTAGATGGTGCCGTGCCAAGCCAGTATGCGACGCAAACTTTCTCAACAGCGTGTTGAACAAGGAGTTTGTGCTTGCCATGGCCAATCAACGGTCCGACTCTGACGACATATGTTCCCCATGTTTTTTTTAAATCAAGTCAAGCCTTCTTTATGACCTTGTCGATTGACCAAGCCACGAGTCGCTGCATCGTGTTGCCATCTGACTGGCTGCTGATTAGCGTGCTCTATTTTTAGTGTTGTTGTGACGTTACTGTTCATCTCTATTTCCTAAAGAAGAAGGTTATAAGAAGTACGGCCGACAGCTTGAAGGGGAGAAGAAAGCTCAACTGTGGGTTACTATATTTTTCGCTTGTTCAAGTTGAAGCTTGTGGCCGTGTATTGTGCCCTGTACTGCGTGACTTATGCATCAAGTATAAAATCAAGCTGGTCGCGCTCTCGAAATTGTAGAATCAGATTTGCCTGGACTGGCTTTACTTCATACTAGATTCTGTTTGCTCTTTGTGTACTGTCTGTAAACATTTGCGAGCATGAAGCTCTTGGCTTTCCTTCCTTTCGCTGCGGCAGCAGCCACCGTGCCACAGTCCGTATCCTATGACGGCCACAAGGTGTTCCGTGTGCCCGTCACCGATGACGGATCCTTCCTCCGCTCCATCCTGGACAAGCTAGACGTGTCTATCTGGCAGCCTCCCTCCAAAAAGGGCGCTTTTGCCGATATACATGTACCTCCTCACTCCTTGGCGCCGTTTGAGCAAGCGCTCGAGGGCCACGAGGTCATTACCATGCATCAGGACCTTGGCGAGTCTATCCGCAACGAGGGTACTTATCAAGTATATGCGCGTAAGTGTTCATCGAGTTGGTATTCTGCCAATCTTCAGCTAACATGGCTTTGCAAGCCGGCGCGCCCAACAGCACCTGGTTCAACTCATACCATGCCTATAGCGACCATCTCCAGTGGCTCAACGACCTGGCCTCACAGTACTCTAAGAACGCCAAGGTGATTACCTCTGGGAACACCCTGCAAGGCAACCCTATCACGGGACTTCATTTATTTGGCAACTCTGGTGGCGGCAAGAAGCCCGCCGTCGTGTTCCACGGCACTGTTCACGCTCGCGAATGGATTGCCTCCATGGTAAGATGGCATCACTCACCTAGTATCCGTCTAAGCATCGTCACTTACACACCATTCAGGTTGTCGAGTATTTCATCAACGAGCTGCTCAGCAAATACGGTTCTGATAATGCCATTACTTCATTCGTGGATAAATACGATTTCTATTTGTTCCCTATTGTCAACGTAGACGGCAAGTTCCCTTATTCTCGCCTACGCACTTACAGACTTCTAACGAAGAGCAGGATTCAAGTTCACACAGACCACCAACCGCATGTGGCGCAAAAACCGCCAGACGACCTCGGGTAGTAGCTGTCTGGGCCACGACATCAACCGTAATTGGCCGTACAAATGGGATGTTCGCGGCGGCTCCTCCGACAACCCCTGTGCTGAGGACTTCCGTGGGCGGAGCGCCGGCGATGCTCCCGAAACTAAGTCTCTCTCGGGTTTCCTTCAAAAGGTCAAGGACGCACAGGGTTTGAAACTGTACATCGATTACCACTCCTACTCGCAGATCATCATGACTCGTGAGTATACACTCTCCCATCTTCTGATACCCCTACTGAAGTGACTTTGCAGCGTATGGATACTCGTGCAGTGCTCACCCAGCCAATGATGGCGAGCTGCAATCTCTCGCTAAGGGTGCCGTCGACGCCATCTACCGCATACACGGAACTAAGTTCAGATACGGTCCCATCTGCTCGACCATTTACCCGGCCACTGGTAGCAGCGTCGACTATGTTGCCGACGTAGTCAATGCCGACTACACTTTTACTGCAGAGCTGCGCGACACTGGCCGCTATGGCTTCGTGCTGCCCCCGGACCAGATTCGTCCCAGCGGCGAAGAAGCCTTTGCTGGCGTCGTCTACTTGCTCGCGAACATGAAGTAGGTTCATGGGCACCTTGCAGATAAAGTCTCTATATGTGATAAATGCAGTTTATCATCTATCAAGATGCGCCTTTTGCAATAAAATCATATAAACATGAGAATAAAATACATTGAAAAATGTAGAGATAGGATCATTTTATGGGGAGCAGTCCATGGCGTCTTGGGGGCTAGTAGCACTCTGAACAACGTCAAAAACGCCGTCAGGGTTGTTGAGGACCTGGGTCAAGGCCTTGTTGAAGGTAACGAGTAGCCCCTGGATCCATTCAGGCGTCATAAATTCATATCCGGGCCATACCTGGCTGTACGAGCATCGGATGCTGAGCTTGTCTTCGGTCTTGTTCACGCCAGGCCACATCTCGATGAGAATAGGCGTGTCGGAAGATGTCTCCTTCCAGGGAGTAACCTTGTCGTTGGCACGGTTGAAAGCGGGCAAGCCGTTCATATCCACGTCGATGTCAGGAGCAGGGAAAGTCTGCAAGATGACGGAGCTGTCAAACCGGCGCGTGGTGCGGGCAAATTGGATGCTGGGGCAGGGCATTTCGGTAAAGCCAAGAGTATCAGTGTACTGCTTGAACATTCGCGAGCAAATTTCACGATGAGTCAGGTTTTTGTTCTTCTCGAAAGATACGCGCGTAGGAAGTCCGTCCAGCATCAGAGCAAATGCATCCAGAGAGTCAGCCGTGTGGCGACCGTGGAAGACGCTACCAAACTGCACATCATATTTGGGAGCAGCTTCGTCTCCGACAAGCGTTTGGGCCAGAGTCATAGACCAGGCAGCTTGAATGACAGCCATGGGTGTGAATAGTCCCTCGGACTTGGCCTTGGCGAAAAGCTCACCAGTGCTAAACGTGCACTCGAGGCTTTCACTAGCAATGCCGACATTAGTGTTGACGGTAGTGAAGACCGCTCCCTCAGTCTTGAGAACTCTGTCACCTGCCTTGAAAGAAGCGACACCAGCCATACGCTGAGCCCAGAACATGCTAGTACCCAGCCAGTCAGACTTAAGGTGCTCTTCAACAGGCACACGCACGCCTGATTTTCCAGTACTGGAGATGGGCAGGCCGTGGTAAGCCTCAGCGATGTCGCGACGCAGAGCCTGGAGACTCATGCCGTCGTAGATGGCGTGAAACACGGAGAACACCACGACGCAGTGCTTCTTATCCGCCGAGCGGACAAATGAGGTCACAGAACCGAGGCTGTGTAGACCAAAGGTCTCTTCGGCAGACTTCTGAGCGTTGTCCACAGTCCTATGCCACAGGCTGCCTGGTCGCTCGTCATATACAGGGCACTCCATGCGAAGAATGGGGAGCTTGGCATGTGGCGAGTTGGGAGATAAAACACACTGGGCATAGGGAGCGAGAGGGTGCTCAACCTGGACCCAGACGGTTCGGAAAGCATCGCGGCCTTTTAAAGCTTGGATGACGGCAGCTTCGAGGCGATCCGCATCGATGTGTTCTGGAACTAGATAAGGGTAGTGCTCTACCCATGGCTTGCTAACCTTGAGGATGTCTGCCGACTCTTCGATACTTGAAAGCACGCGGGTCTGAAGACCAGTGGCGGGCAGGACCTCAACAATATCTTCACTGGGGATATTGAGTGCTTCGACACACTTTCTTCTGCAGGTATGATCAAAGTGCTTCAACTTAGCAGCAAGGGGGAGAAACAAAATCTCCTCCTCATCCTCAATCTCGATAAGCTCATCGTTCTTGGCGGCGGCAGCTTCTTCTGCCTCTTTGAGTTGATCAAGGTGCAATTCGAGGATCGATTTGACAACACTGGCAAAATTCTGACCAACCAGAACGTCTTTTATCGCTAGTCCTTCCACCGCTTGGCGTCTGAGCTCCTGAAGAAGCTTCATCGATCGCAGACTGTCAAGACCATAAGTCGTGAGAGCGAGTGGAGAGTTGGCAATGTCGGTAGCACCTTCCCCGAGAATAGCCATCAAGATGTGCTCGAGCATGGCTGAAACGCTGTCCGTATCCTTCAAATCGACAGTGCCCTGGTATGTCAAGTTGTCGTTGATGGCCTGCTTCTGGGTAATAGAGTTGCCAAAGTCCTCGACGGCCGCATTTTGAAGTGTCTTGCGGTCGACCTTGCCACTGGACGTGCGTGGCACCTTTGGAACAACAATATATTCGACGGGACGCATCCACGCAGGAAGACCCTCGCTTGCAACCTCTCGGCACTGCGAAATAACAGATTCGTCTGTGACGTCGCCAAAGTTTTCGCGCACAGCGACATAAGCGGCCAAGAAGCTGCCTTTAAGCACAACAGTAGCAACCTCACGAACAGCTTCGACCTTGGCAATGGTAGATTCGATTTCTCCGAGCTCAACACGACGAGTGTTGAGCTTGACCTGTTCCATGTTCAAGCGACCAAGAATCTCGAGCTTGGGCTCGCCCTTAGGATCAAAGACAATACGGCCTTTGTCACCAGTACGGTAGACAGAACCTAGGTCCAGGCCAGTAGTAAAGGCCTTGGCGGTCTCTTCGGGGCGATTCATGTAGCCGTATCCAACCATAGGGCCACCAAAAACAATCTCACCAGTGAGGCCCATGGGGACTTGAATAAGATCATCGGAGGAATTGGCATCGACCAGAACCACAGAAGCGCAGGAGAAGACGGTGCCAGCAATAGAACCACGAGTACCAAGGGCTGCATTCTCAAAGGTTGCACACATGGTAGCCTCGGTAGGTCCGTATATATTGATGACTCTCTTGGGCTTGCTGTTGGGTTCGCGGGGAGCGTCGTAAGCAAAATTGTCGATGGCATATTTCGTAAGAGCTTCGCCACCAGATACGATGGTTGTCAGGGTCGGAAGCGCCTTGGGTCTGAGAAGGGTGGCCATGCTGGCGACAGTAAAAAGCGCTGTGGCGTTGAAGAAGTTGACAGCTCTTTCAATGTCAGAAAGCATGAGGGAGCGCTCGGCCGAGCAGACAGTACCACCGTATCCGAGGGTGACAAAAAGCTCCATCAAAGAGAGGTCAAAGGTCGGCATGGCAAACTGCAGCCAGCGCAGCTCAGGTCCGGCGGGCAGAGGCTCAAAGACTTCGGCGTGACCATGTACACCACAAGTGGCCATGGAGTGTGAAATGAGAACGCCCTTAGGCTTTCCAGTTGAGCCACTAGTGTATAGAATATAGGCCAAGTCCTCCTCTGTGGGTAGATGATGAGAAACAGGAGTTTGGAGATCGACAGTGAAGTTGGAGCGCCAGTTGGTAAATTCGGTGATATCAACCCAGGTAAGCTTTTTGAGAGATTCCGCAGCTTCGGAGTCGTCGTTCAGGCTGACGCTCGGAAACGGCACGCTTCCGACACCAATGACGACGGACGACTTTGTGTCCTCTACGATATCTAGGAGACGTTGCGGAGGCGCATCCATAGGTAGCGAGCAGACTGCAAAACCTGCCTTGAGCATAGCAATGACGGTAATGTAGAACTCAGGGCCCGCTGGCAAGAACAGAGGAATCGCGCGCTGGTTTTTATACGCTGGAGTCCAGTCGATTGTGCGTTCCATGAGTAAAAGCTCTTCTGCCAGCCCCTCTGCATCAGCGTTGAGCTGGAGATATGTCCATTTTCGGACTGTAAATGAATCATCGGCAACGGCTTCGACGGCGATGCGATCGGGGCATTCGAGGACACGACGCTCAAAAGCGCCATGCATTAAGGACGGGTAGTTTTGTTTAATGTGCGAATCGGTTTTGAGAATAGGTGCCTTCCACAGCTTGAGAGGGTAGTTCAGGTTGGACATTTTCGTTTCAGGGGCCTGTGTCGCTGAATCGGCAAGGTACTTGGAGACGAGCTCGAGCATGTGGTAAACCAGCACAGAGTGACCATGCTTGGAATCTATCGAGAGTGTCAAGTCTGCAATACTTCCGTCTTCAAGAGGCTCGACTCTTAAACAGAAAGCCTGGTCCATCGTCAAGGTCAGTTGACGCGATCGGCATCCGAGCGAGGTATACACGCAACTTACACGAGATGCTTTGGCCGCGGGTGCGACGTCGAAGACGATTTCAATTTCGAAATCCAGATTGTTCTCATCTAAGTTCTCGGTAGGGAACGTAGCGACTTCGATGTGGTCTGATGTAAAGACGCGTGGTTTTGAGTTTCCAGGAATGGAGGCTGTGGCGAGCAGGCGCTGAGGATTGGCGTCGTCGATATCAGCATAGTTGGCGATGAATGCGACGGCTTCGAGATCTGTGACGCCAGCAACAAATGCTGCAAATGCTTTCAAAATGGAGGTGGGAGATTTGACAATGGGCGACGCCTTGAGAGTGGAGGATTGGTATTGCCGAGGGACCTGCTTGGCGTCGACTTCGTTGTGAGTAGCCAGGTCATAGTATGGCAGATTGGTGCGAGGGACCTCGGCCGGCCGAACTTGTGTGATGGCCATATTGGAGGCTATCAAGATTATGCAGTTGGGTATTTTGCAGAATAATCATTCGAGTCTGGAGCCTTGAGCAAATTGTGGACAGTTGGCTGTCTAATAAAGGGTCTTTGGACGGGTTGGCGCTGACAGGTGTAATCCCGCCGTAGCACGAATGCCGCTGAGGCAGTCGGCAGTCAGATATCCGCAACGCTCCCGTCCACTTTGGTCCTATCCATGCGGCATAGCTTCCAGAATAGGGAGAATGCTGACCTGCGCCGGGGTTAGGTTGCCGTGCACTGTAAAGCGTAATGGAAGATCGATTCAGGTACCGGACGGACCAAGACCCACAAATGCCGGCAGCTGGACGTAGGGCTGCTCCCGAGCGCTGACTTGTTCATTTCTCCCCAATTGAATTCCAATTAGACTTGCAACGGTTTGTCAGTTTTTCAACACTGGCGCGCGGGATTCGTGGCTCTGTGTGAATCCCTCTTTCACGAAATGCCTCCTCAGCCTCTGATGACATTCCGCATACCGCTCAAAGCGTTTGGCGGCACTGGTTGCCTAGAGAGGCAAGTCAGCGGCGACGGTATTTGCAGCCATATTAGGTCATCTTTACGACGACTCAGCAGCGGTTCTGGCGGCCATATATCGTGCGTCACATAGTATCAGTAGAGCTGGTTTGGCGAGCAGTCTGACATCAGCAATGGTATTAGTGACTGGCAACAAAGCTCCACACCAAGCGCTGTGTAGGTAGCCAACTGGCGAAGCAAGGCAGGGAACCCCCTGGCTAGCAAACCGAGAAACGTGATACGTGTTGGGAAGGCCGAGACCAGGTCTTTGACGCGCTTTCGAGAAAATTTAAAGGACCGGCACAATCCGAGAAAACCGTCTTGGTTTGAGCTGGCTTAGGAGTTGCTACCAAGAAGGGGAGGCCGTTAGACTGGCGTCGCGTTTGCAGCAAGGCCAGTGAGATTGTCACGGTCGCGTTTGCCGACGAGGAGAGATTAGTGTTTTGAAGTACTCAAGTAAATATCTTGTCTTTCCCGTATGTTGTGCATCAGTATATGCGACGATGACATCCGGTGAGCCAGTGGTGTTGACCGTACCGGAGTCCAGATGGAGGAGATTATTTGGCTACATCTATATCGATGAACAGATTTGGTGGGTCTCTCCTGGAAAGTGGCTGTGGCGGAGACGGAGCATTGTTTGACCTGTTCTCCCGCTCGTAGTCCAAGAACCCTACGATCTTGAGATATTCATAAATCTGCTGAATCATGTACGCCATGCGGGATCGATACAGAACAAATCGGTCAATGATTTTCTATTAGATGCGAAGCACTGGACTCATGTCTTCCGACCGCAGATCAACAACCATGCCCAGGCGGAAGTGGCTTTCACATGCTCTATATTCAGCTGTAGGGTTCCTTAGGTAAGCATAACTTGACGATGTTGGCAGGTTAGGACATAAATGGCACAATTGTGCTGTCAATATCTGTAATTCCGAGCGCCAATTAAGTAAGATGGAAAGAAAACCGAGACAGAATCGTGAGAACCGCCCACAGACTCTGATTCTGTAGGTTCATTTCCCTGCGGTTCTTTCGTCGCAGCCTCTATTACCCCAGAGTCCAGCTCCGTTTTCCCCGCGCTTCCCACTCTCCCCACACCATGACAGCCAAGAAAGTGAAAAGTCAGTTCGTATCCATTGTTTTCGAGTGGAAAGTTTTCTGAGCTGAGCAAAAGATTTGCACGGGCATCAACTGCGAATGCGGCCTAGGCTTCCGATAGTTGACTGACGGCGGGGAAACGACAGAGCGAGGGCAAGCCACCATGACTGCTGGTGGAGCCTCACAACTCAATACTACGCACTTGCACAGACCGAGCCCCTCTCTCATGCGAAAACAAACACTAATAGCTGGGATTGTGTATAGTAATAGTAACACGAGCATATTAAATGTATCACTGGCTGAGAGACGATTCTTGTTTTGAACCGAAGCGACCATTTTGCCTAGCGAGTGAATTCAGTGGTGGCTTGCGACCGCACGGCGGCGAAAATGAAATAAAACGTCCGTTCGCTGACCAGTAGCCATGGAGCCATGCAACTAGCCAAGCCTTCGAGCCAGTCATGACAGAGAGAAAGGAACCAGTTGAGGCTTGTAGATCTCCTCTCTCGGCAAAGCGTCCCCTCCCCCAGCTCCAGCACACTAGCCGAGGCATGGGCGTGGGCGAGTCTTTGCTCGAGGCCACCCAGTCACCAACCAGCAAGTTTAGAGTTTTTCCTCACTCCGCATCAAGACTATCGTCGATTGCCCCAGACTGCATATATTTTCTCTCCTCCACCCTCATCCCCCGTCGCGCGACCGTTCTCGACCGCCTCTGCCCGCATCACCAACGTCCGTCGTGTCGAGAGCAAGCGAAATCTTGCTCAATTCATCCATCATGGGCAACCGTCGCGGTATTGCGCGAGTGACGCTGGTTGGCGAGGCCGTCAGCCGGACCATTGTCTCAGCCATGGTCATTGTTGCCATTGTTGTGGGAGCCACCAGCATCTATCCCAAGGGCTTCACGGTCATGTTTGTCACGGTACGCTGACTCGCTGCTGTTTTCTCTCGCCTTCTACGAGCTGACAATCCTCTAGGCCGGTATCGCCGTCGTTGTCGAGGGTGCTCTTCTGCTTCGTGCCCTGTTCTACCTTCTCAAGCCGTCCGCCTACAACTTGACCAATCTGCGCGGCGGCATCCTCATTTCCGTGCAGTGCATCCTCCTCGCCCTGTTCATCATTGCTGCCGTCTTTGCGTTCAGAGACTACTCCAAGGAGCCTGGTTACGAGAGCCGAAACCAGGCCGCCGTTTACGATAGACGCATTGCCTGTGGAGTTCTCATCATGGCGTCCATGTAAGATTAATTCTTTGGGTATCATCTGATATTTGTACTAACTTATTCAGCCTGTTTCAAATCGTTCCCACCATCATCACTATTGCCAGACTGTCTCAGGGCAGTGATGAGGACATGAAGATCAAGAGCAAGGAGAGCGACGAAAAGGCTCACGAGCACTAGGCTTCGCACTGGTAGAGAAACGGAACATAGAACGCCCCAGCATCTAATGGTCACATGCATTGACGATTTCTCGTGATGATAATATGAATTTAATTAATTGAATACTCCCAACGATGCCCTTTCCTGTGACGTGCTTGAATGGGGGCCTGGAGGCCCTTAGGGGGCAATACCTGTCGGCCCACCGACGGGCGATGCCGTCAAACTGCAGCAGCCACAGTCATTGCCCGTTGATTCACACGTGCAAGAGTCGAGAGCTCATCCCAATAAAGTTCGTATTCAGGCATATCTCGTCGATTATGACGCGGAAGAAACTGCTGTTGCTGCTGCTTCAGCACACCCAATTGATGCGCCACTGCGACACGGGATTGGGGACTTTTCAGTGGACGCACCACTGAAGCGCCGCTTCTTCAGCGTCTGCAGGCGCTAAGAATGACGCTCTTTTGTTCCTCGTGCAAATGCACGAGACAATTCGCTGCGTTTCCGTGATTAGCCTTGACATAAACCAGGAGGCGAAAGACTTTACAGATTGTTCCGCCACTATGCGCCGCAGAGCATCGTTACCGGCGTAAATCCGCCAATATGCCGTCATTTTGTTTTCGACGACAGTATCCTGTCACGCCTGTGAGGCATACAACGTAATTCTGGCGCACACTAATTGTGTGTAGCTGTATATCCTTTCTTATTACCAGATGATACTCGCTAGTCAGACTGCTCCGCCAACAATTGGAAGCTGGGGATATTCACTGGGGTCAGAGTACGCATTGTACGCGTAGCCTATTAACTACTACCTCGATCATTGCAGTCACACCTACAACCCATAGCTATTCGATTGGCTTGTCACAGAATGGGCAACGCAGGCGAACAACAAAAGATCCGCGTTAAGGTTAAGAACTCCGAATCAGATCGGATACTTTCGTTTCAAAAGCTATCAAGTAGCCTTATTGACGTAGATCATGACTGTCGAACAGAGGTGATGGCAGGAACCTGGTATCGTTCCGAATATGGCAGTACGTGTGTCGAAGGGTAATGGCTCATATTCCGCTTCCTTTCTAGAGTAGCCACGATCTGGATGCTTAAGTTTATACTCTTTTGAGCCTGTAGAAGTCAGCAATACTGCTGACCAGAATTACACACGTTAACATGGCTCTGGTGAAGTAGTGCACTCTACGACGACATCTCAATGCATCTCACAGTTCCAACAATGGATGCAAGACAGCCCATAGCATGTGTATGTCCAAACATGATCAGCCTACGAGAGAGATGAAGCAATTGCCGCTGAGAAAACTCCAAGTAGGAGTACCATCTAAGGCATATTCGCAGTCTCGTGATGAATCGTTTCCCTGAGCGCGGCGCACAAATCACAGAAAGCCTGCAGCGCCAAGTAACAAGTGCAACAAACATAAGCAGGCTGAACCAGTGGTATCCACCATAAAATCAGCCTTGCCGCGCGAATAAGTGGTACATTGTGACACACGGGGAGTGAGACGGGAATAGCAGCTGGCGGGCTTGGCATTGATGTATGGTTGGGTGCCAGCCAGAAGGAATCCTTCATGTCCGATGACGTACATATTCGGGTTTGTGTACTCGTCAGGCAATGTTGACCTGAAAGGGTCGTGTTTTCCACAAGCGAGTCTAAGCTCTTCGTTTCCTCGACGGTTTCATGTTCCTGAGGGGAACAAGACCTCGCCGATGTTGCAATTCCTTTCAATCAACACAGTCGAAGGATAATCAGCCACATACTAGGGAATGCACTAATAAAAGTGAAAGTGGCACCCAAAACTAGTCTGTACGACCGTTTTAACAAAAAAATTTGGATATTGCCTAGCACCGCCAACGGGCGTACGCCCCTTCTGGCCCAATTCTGGAAGTAGTCGGCCACGGCGGCCCGCTGCGTCTCTTGGCATGTATTCCAAAAGGAGATTGTCTCTGCAAATGACAATACGTTGAAGAAAAGTCTCCGGCCCGATGAATGGACGTTCTCTCCTGTATAGGCTGTACTCCTAGATTTCGGGCCTTGTTCCATCTTTCGTCCCATCTCAGCTCCGACTCTTGTTAAAGATGCTGGGCCAGCTTCGAGGTCCATGCCTCCGACTCATTTCAGTTATCGGTATTCTTGCATCTTGATTCTTCAATGCTCGATTCGTCTATTCTCTTGCCGTCGTATGCACGCTCGCAGCCAAGACCACCCACATTCGAGCCCACTTGTCCGCGCTTCGGACCATCGACCTCTTCCTCTGGGGACCAACCTTTTTCTTCCAAGACTTGATCTTTCTTCTCGCCTTGCGATGGGTCTGTGATCTTAATACCAGCAAATGGCGTCTCTACAAAGTCTATCAACTGTTCGCGGCTTGTGTTAGCTTGGGTCTGTTCGTGCTGGCCACGGCCAGCATGTCGTTCTACTCAATTGCCGGCACCCAATTACACTGGCGTAACGCTGCATTTGTTAGCGGCGAGCCGTCACGTAAAATTTTACTCTCAGGAGCCTGCAGAGCTTCTTTCTGCAGGACTGTTGCTCCATTCCCACGCGCATCGTGCTGCGAATCGTCACGACCGTTACCAAATTCGCCTCGCAAATTTTGAGAGCACGCCTTGGACTCTCTTACACAGGGCTATATAAAAATTGGAACAAGACGTTCTTTCAAATGACAGTATCGAGTTGAGCCACCAACTAACCTTCGGCCAAGGAGACTTTGTCGATCGGCTGTTCAAGTCGCCAGGTTGGAAATTTGTCGTGGTTCTCTTCAGTAGTCTCATGGTGTACGAGATTGTGCTGTTTATTATCCTACCACCAGAGCCAACCTTCATCTTTATGTCCTGGGCCGTTCTAGCGTTGCCCGTCATTGACGTACATGCCTCGTCTGCACTCGGTGTTTTGCACCCCATTTTCGGCGCTGGTATGCATTTTGAATGGAATACTACCACGGCTTTGGCAAATACAGGTCCATTGCCATGGCTGCCAAACGGCACCACACTCCAGGGGTTCGAGGACTGGTACGACGGCAAGGAGCACTATAGCCCTGCCCATGACCCTCTTCACATTTCAAACTTGAAAGACGACTTGTTGCCAGAGCTTCGAGGTGTATAAAAAAACATCAGTATCAGGCATATTTCCCTGATCAAACTGGAAAGCACTCGAAAAGACGTATTTCCGTTTAAGAAGGATGGCTATATTTGGAAAAAGCTGGCGGAAACTTTTCGCGACGAAAGGATTCCTGAGCACGCCCTCGAACGGCTGCACACTAGGCACACTGACCCCAACAGCGAACCGCATGACGGATTCCACCACTTGAACAAAACGCCCAGAGGAAGTATAAGCTTCGACAACGCATTTACGACTGCTTCATATACACGAAAATGCTTTACGGGCACATTATGCGGCGTCACGCCTCTCGTCGCAGATTTCAACGTCGAATTCAAAAACCATCTCTATCAGCCTTGCTTTCCTCAGATCTGCAACGCCTTCAATAAAAGTACTACAATCAACGACACCGACCATATCACATATCCATAAGAGACGTACATGATGCAGTCCATTACTGACAGTTACGACGAGGCACATGAGCAACTACCTGCGATGGGGTACGCACAAGAAAATATTATTACGAAGGAATACCTTCAAGGAGGGGCTCCAAAATTCGGCTATGTCGACCTTCCAGATATAAACTACTACGGCATGGCGGAGGTCGCCATCGAAGACTACATTCGCGACGCATTTGCCAATGCGAAACGCGACAATGAGCGAGTCCTGCTTATTTACACACATCACAAGCACGACGCACCACCCCTTTGAAATACCGAGAGAGGAGAGATATGTTTCATTGTCCGGAGACTCAAACTTGAACGATTTGTCGCATTACTTGAACGCTGTAGGCTACGTTGATCGGTGGATGAATAAGATTCTAGGCATCCTGGACGAGCAACGAGTCGCCAATGAGACATTGGTCGTCGCCGTGCGCGACCACGGCTTGTCCATCGCTGAGAATCACGGCGTGACAGCCTACCTGAACCCTAACGTGGCAAATTTTCATGTTCCCTTGGTGCTTTCCCATCCACAGCTACCAACACTTCACAGCAATGCCGCAGTGCAGTCCCTCCAGATCTTGCCAACCATTTTGGATCTCTTGCTGGAGACAAGGTCGCTGCCGGACGAGGCTTTACAAGCAGCGACCGATCTTTTGGGCCTTTATGAAGGCCAATCTTTGATTCGGCTCACTCATACTGAATCAAGAAAGACTGGTCAGCCTAACTGGCAATTTACCGTCATGAACCCCGGTAAAGCGACGCTAGGTGTGCGAAGTGCTCGTGACCCAGCGTGGCGCCTTGTGGTGCCCCTTGTCGAAGACATGGAGTGGCGCTTCACGAACCTCGAGAACTTTCCCAATGAAACAGAAGAAATTGTTGACTTTGGTTATACTTCATTCCTCGGGACAATTGAAGAGATACACGGAAAAGGCGCGGCTGTATGGGCGGAGGAAGCCGCCTTCCTGGCGCGGTGGTGGGTAGACGAAAATCGAAGACGATATCGCTACACAGAGTAGGCCGCTATAAATGGATACTCTCTTCAAATCTCGAATTTGAATGTTCAAATCATCAATAGACAAGATACTATTCTACCTCTATAATTCACCGTCGGCTTCCCAATCGCCGTGGGAAGGCTCCTGTAGCAGCTTGTTGGCATGGCTCGCCCTCGGATGCGGCGTTACAACGGTGTAGTTGCACGTCGGACAATACGTCTTGTCGTTTTGGGTGGGTGGATACTTGTCCTGGTTGAATGTAGAGTTAAGCATGACGGAGCCGACAATCGATCCAGTCTCCAGACGAATCCAGGTCTCCGCGATGGAGTTGTTCTTCTTGAGCTGGGCGCGGTTAATGCGGATCTGTCGTGCACCCCGAACCCAGTTGCCGTATCCGCCGTAGCCCGAGTGCTGGCCGAAGCACAGATTGACGCCGTTTCCAGTCACTGTCGTGTCGGGCACCAGGCGATCCCACTTGTAGCACCAAGTGTCGCCGTGGTCATGGCCTGAGAAGAGGCCAATCATGCCGGGCGTCGATGCAATGGCGCGCATAAAGGGGACGTCCTGGCCACCATATGCGCAAGAGCCATCATTGGTGCCGTCGGGGCACCATCCCTGTGCCTGCGGCGCGAGAAGATAGTCGTCGTTGATGCCGGGGTTGGTATACGGATCTATGCTGCTTCTGCCATGCTCCTTTTGGATGGCCTGGAACACATAGGGAGGAATATGCACAAAGCCTAGCGACGGGATGACATGACCGAATTGTGCCGTCAGTTCGGTATTCGTTTTTTGGAACCAGTCGACGACACTCTGGTCGACCCAGCCTGGTTGTCCGACGCGGCTGCCGTTGGTGTGCGTCTCCTGAAAGTAAAAGCCGCCGCGAGAGTCAAAGAACCACAGGAGCAGCTCTGGAGCACACTCGGGCTTGCAGCACCTGCGCGAGTACACCGGAAGATAGTAATTGCTCACGCCGGCATTACGGCCTGGAACCATGCGCCCGGTGCGGCAGTTGGGATACGAGTTCTCGCGCGCCCAGATGGAGGCCGCGGAGATGTTAAAATCACTATCGTGATTTCCGTAGGTGGACGCCCACAGCAGGCCACGGTCCACGATGGGCTTCACAATCTGGTCGATGTACACGGAGCCGTTGTGGACAAAGGCATTTTCGCCAGTGATGAGGTCTCCGTTCAGGACCACAAGCTGGGGCGTTTCCTTGTCGAGGACATTGTTTAGGACCTTGACCGAGTTGATGTCCTGCTGCGGACCCCACGAGTCCCATGCATCTGCGGTGCAATACAATCAGCCAGCTGCCACAGAATGCTACAGTCCAGTAAGCATACTCTCGCCAAAATGAAGGTCCTCGAATACACTGATTTGAAAGTTGCCGCGCCTGTCGAAAGTAAGACGACGTTCTGCCATCGACGGTGCCTCCACGGGCGCACCAGCCGCTAGGGCCAGAAGTATGGACAGAAGCGCGAAATGCATCAGTTCCATCTCTAACACACGCCTGAAGCTCTTGAAGCTCTTGAAAAGATTATCTACACTTCTAGACGAGAAATTCTTTTATAAGTTGCGACGCGTTCCCGCACAGGTACCCCTGATCGCCATCAGGCGACGCCTAATGTAGCAAGTCATCTGTCCTATGGAATGGACAGTCGCTCTTCGGGAAGGCGGGCCATTGTCGAAATCAATACAACCACCTATATTCATGCCATTTCGGCAAATATCCAAGCGCAAGGAGAAAGATTTTGCGGATCTTGGTCATAGCGACACGAATTTACCGCAACCAAGGCTTTCACCGAGAGTCAGCACGCACATACTAAAAAAGAATCTTCTTCTTCGTCTTTTCTGTTGTGCAGTCTCATGACAGGAGTGATCCTGGACGAAAATTCACTAGAGGGTTGTATTGCAGCTATGCGACCAGGTCATGAGTTCCATTTGTGTTGAGCGGCATGTGCCAACTGGCATAGATGCCAATATTGGCACACAGCCTATCGTCTAATTAGACTCTACATCAGTCATCAGGTAAATAGTGTGACTCGCTAGGTTTTGATGGCAATACACCAGCGATTTGGATGTCGCGAATTTGAGAGCTCCCCTCTAGACCATATAGTTATTGGCCCGCTTGCGCCGAATCCTCAAGCGACACAGTAAGTTAGCTTTCGTCGTGCATGGGATTCACAAGGGCTGACCTGATACGATAGGATAAAACAAGTTCGAGGATAATTTCCTCTACAGAGTCGCCGACATTTATCGTGACACGCGACTGTATACTCTATCAGTTTGTGCATTGCGCAATTGGACAGACTCGGTGCTATACATTAAGTAGGTAATAAGTTGGCGTGGTGCTTAGCCCTCGTGTCTGCCTTCTTGGTCGTAAGAATCATCATGTGCTCATGCGCTCCCAAATCTTGGCGTTGTGGCCTTGATGACCGGAGGAGCCATCGCAAGCCTTGTGTTGCATTTTCCCTGCGTCTTGCTCCCAAAATCCGATGTAGTGCCTCCCCAAGGCCGGCCTACATTTACTGGTGCTGACCATGGCGTTGGCTTGGCGCGAAGCTATTGAGCAGAACCGGTTCTCGAGGACTAGAAATGCTGCGATTACCCAAGATATCGATATATAATGGAAAACCATGGATCAATATGATGTAGATACCGAGTTATTTGACGATCCAGTTTGATATATTTTAAACCTGAATATGACAAGTCTTGTCTATTTTCTCTTTACTATCGGCGCTGTCGCGGCTCCCTGGCCATCTACGGTCAGACCAGCGCTGTCGATGCGCAATATCACCCGCATGACAATAGACATGCAAGGCAGGGCTCTCTCTGGACCGCAAATTGGTGGTGTAAATTTTCCTGACCCAACTCTGATTTGGGGCGACGGCTCGTAAGCAGTTCTGTCACCGGCACAGCAACTGGTCAACTGACACCGTGTACAGCTGGAAGGCAATGAGCACCTCGTCGGATGGGAAAGGTGTGCCTATTGCGACTTCAGAAGATTCTTTTGACTGGAATTTGACACCAAATGATGCGCTGCCTGACAAAGGCCCCTGGGTTGATCCTAATGACCAGTCTGTGTGGGCGCCGGATCTGAGCCAGAACGCAAGTTGACCGACTTCTCTTCTGCAGCTATCTCCTGCGGTGCTAACTATCAAGTTATAGGATGCTGGAGTTTATGTCATGTACTATGCTGCTCGTAGGTATAGCGGAAGCCACTGCATTGGCGCCGCCACCTCTAATACCGTCATGGGTCCCTATACACCTCAAAATCAACCTTTGGTCTGCGACGATACCAACGGGGGTGTTATTGACCCATCCGGGTATGATGATGGGAACGATCGGTGGCTGGTGTGGAAAGTGGACGGCAACAGCAAGGGTGGCGCAACAACCTGCCAGCCCGGAATTCCTAGTGGCGATTACATTCCTACACCCATCAAAATTCAGAGAATGACTCGTGATGGGCTAACACTGCTCGACGCTCCAAAGACCATACTGGAAAACGAGGGCCGCAGCAATGACGGGGTCGTCGAAGCAGCCAGCCTGTACAAGGTCCCCGGTGGTGACTTTGTTGTGTTTTACAGCGCACACTGCTTCTCTAGCGACGATTACGACATCTAGTATGCTTGGTCTAGCACAGTTGATGGAAAGTATGAGGACCGTAGAATTCTGTTCCGTAGTGCCGATCATATCGGAATCTATGGGCCAGGTCACTGCGACATTGACCCGAATGGTGTCAATATGGTTTTTCATGGCCGTGAGAATCCCAACGATGGCCAGGCTGCTCGTGTTCTCTGTAGCGCAACTTTGCACTTTGATGGGCGCAATATTCAACCTTATTAGTATGGGTATAAACTTCTGGAGTAGTATTCACACAAAGACATATCTCGATACATTGTATCAAACTCTCGTCTCTACAGCTGTGTTGTGGCTGTGTTGGCTGTATTTGACGTCTCGAGCAGAGCGTAACAGCATTTTCGAGTTTGTGACGATCACACCCAATTTCGGATCTATAGTCTCGCTCAATTACAATACTATGCGGTCGTGCGTTTTTCATCCGCTTCAGCAACCAAGTCATAGCTCGCGAACTTGCGTGCGGGTACACGTCTCTGGAACAATATGTCCAATTCTTCATATGTCCGGCCCTGTGACTCGGGTAAGCGGAAAAGGCACCAGACAAAGCAGCTGAAGCTAATCCCGCCAAAGAGAAAGCCAGTTTTGCCGCCCCAATTGGCCTTTTCGCTGTTGAGGAGAATGGGCATGACTACCATGGTGACAACATTAGCCGCAGATTGGACGGCGGTCGAAATGGCAATGGTTTTCTCGCGAAGTCGGGTTGCGGATATCTCAGAGATGATCACGAAGCAGATCGGGCCAACCGAGCTCTGGTAGATGAATGTCCAGATATCCATGAGCGTGGCAAGTGCCCAGATAGCGCCAGTATTATGCCGAGGAATTGCCAAAGCCCCAATGATGAATAGCAGAACAGTCATGATTCCAAGGCCGGCGGTGTAGATTGTCCTTCTGCCAAGTAGGAAATAGTTCATCAGCGGCCACGAGAGAATAGTGCCGACAAAGCCTAGAGCAGTATTGCCAACACCCATGTCAAAGGCTTTGTCACTTGGAAGCCCAGCTTGCTTAAAAAAGTAATTGGCGTAGCCGATGAGAGGGTTGCCACCAATGACCTGGATCAGGTATACCATGACAGAAATCTCGGTTCGAATGAGGTTGGAGCCCTTGAAGCAGTCCCTATACGAGGTCGACTCCTCGCATTCACGCTCTAATCGATCAGTCTGTTCGATCCCTAGCAATATCTTTTCAATATCTGGATTGTGCTTGGCGGAAGTGAGCCTGAGTAGCGACTTGCGTGCGTCGTCTCTGCGGCCGCAGCGGACCAGCCAATACGGACTCTCGGGAGCAAATCCAAGACCGGCGAGCAGCACCACGGGCCAGACCCATTGAACAGCCTATTCGGAGTTAGCGAAAATCTTACAAACCAGAAGAATCTCTTACGAAAGGTGCTCTGTATGCCCACTGGTCCAGACGACTCTCAACACCAGCCGCGCAGCCTTGGCCGATGAATTGACCAATGACAAAGGCCAGATTGACGGAAGCAGTCAGAAAGCCGCGGAGTACGACAGGACATACTTCTGAGGCATACGTAGGAGCAATCACGACGTAAAAGCCGTATGTAAGACCGCCGACAACTTCGCCCGCGCACAGCATAGCCGTGGACGTGGCAAAGAATTGCATGAAGACAAAGCCAATGGACCATACGCAGCACATGGCCAGTGTCAGCCGGCGACCAAAATACTGAAGTGGATTACCGCACGCCAAGGCTCCGAGTACTTGTCCGATCGGATTCCCCATACCGAGGCCCGTCTGCCATGCGGCGGCGACTTCGTACTTGACCGTACCGTCAGACTTGACGATGCGGTCTCCGTATTTAAGCTGAAAGGCGGGTAGGGCATAAAATGAGGTGATGATCTGGCCATCAAAACCAGCCATGACGACGGCGATGCAGAAGAACATAGCCCAAAAGGTAGCCTTGGGGTACATGCGCACCGCAGCCCAGAAACCGAGCTGGTGCTCAGCGACGGTGAGGTCGCGTGTCGCATCGATTTCAGGCGCGACGCCAGCATTGGTTCCCTTGCGCACGACCTCGATGTTTCCATCTGATGGTTTTTCCATGGCGCCTGATGATTGCAGCGTTGGGTTGAACGCCTTGCGGCGTCCGTCGCCGATTTATAAAGACCATGATCGACATGTTGTACGCCAACTAACTCCCTAGGTCCGTCCTTTACCGGGCATAGGAGCACAAAAGAAAACCCCGCTGGCTGATGCTACGTTGTAGTGAAGTTTACGCCCAACATTCCGAACTTTGCCGGTCATTCTAACTATGGGTGGCCGGAAAACGCCAACCCAAATTAGCGAAAGAATGCTACAATACGGCCAACGTCCAAGGCGCTCGGTGTCAGATGGGAAGAAGCTACTTGTGGTGGGCTCCATGATCAGCATACGGTCACCCTAATGATTTCTCGTCGGAAGACGGCCCTGCGCCTGCACTCGTTAATGATGGCAAGGATCGTGCTACTGAAAGTCCTTGGCAAACCCAGCTGGGATGCAATTGCCCATGTTCCACTTAAAGGCGTTGGTGCATAAACCTGATGTCTGTTGCGTCGAAAACGTCCCAGGAGTGGTCGCGACACGAAGCTTGTCACAAGCCGTTGCCAAAATCGCCGGTGCAACTTTTCAAGACAAACATCATCAGCATTGAAGAGCAGCATATCACTGTTTCTCGCTGTGACTACATGGCGAGTCACTACAGCATTGAGCGCCACCCATCAATCACGGTGTGAATCATTACCCCACCAGGCCTTCACGCTCGAAAGAAACCTTGTCGCAAATGCTTCGAATATAAAGAACTTCTCGGCCATACGCACAGCTTCACGGATACCATAAGAAAATTAAAAATGGAAGCAGTGTACTTCTGGCGAGAGTCAGACCCTGAGCTGGGCTGGCTGTCGCAGTGGTATGACTGCCCATTTCGCGACGACGAGAACCCTGAGAGAATTTATCAGACAGCAGAACAGTACGTTCGACTTATAATTCAGCAACTTCATTTAACCAGATAGTTACATGATGTACCAAAAAGCAATTCTGTTTGACGACAACGAAGCCGGTGAGGAGATTCTCGCGGCGGATAGCCCCTGAAAGGTCAAGGCACTAGGCCGCAAGGTTAAGGGCTTCAGCGACAAGAAGTGGACGGCCAACAGAGAGGTGATTGTGCGCAAGGGAAACCTCCTAAAATTCACAAATGCTGTGACAGAGAAGGGTCTTTGCAAGGGCACTACGGAAGACAGCGCTCCGATTGAGGGTTCACTCATGGACATGCTGCTAGCGACGGGAACCAAGGAGCTGGTCGAGGCGAGCCCGACGGATCGCATCTGGGGAGTAGGATACAGCGCGAGGAATGCACCGGCGAACCGAGCGAAATGGGGGAAGAATTTACTTGGCAAGGTGCTCATGGAGGTGAGGGAGGTGCTGCGACAGACCTGAGGCCAGCCTGATGGAGGTGATGGGCGGCTGTGCTGACAGACAGCAATTCGCAACACGAAGTATCTATTCCAAAAGTATTGCTACCAGCTTGTTCCAAATACGTTCAAGATAATATCAACGTAAATTGATTGAGAACAATCCCTGGATGCAGTGGTAATATGTTGATTCTATCCCAAACCATGATGCGCGTAGAGCGGTGTTCTGGTATTACATGACCCATGCCCAATGCAGAGCTCGCTTATATTGTACAGTATTATAACAAGGCCAACTTCCAACCTTTCTGCACTCATTTTTTGCGTAATCACCTGTCGCCCCCCATCCGCCTACGTTCCTCCCACGCCTTAGTACCAATCACGCCCGCTCTTTTGCATCTCAATGAGACGCCATCCTCTGGTCTCGGGATTATTGACATCCTCGGGCACACGCGTGACGCCAATAGCATATGTAACCAGTTGCACCTTATCCTCCATGCCCGCTGCCAGCTCGTTAGTCTTGGCGTTGCGGTACACGTGAACCTCTTGGGTTCGGCAGGTAATGATGAAGACGGGCACCTCGCCAGGGTCGAGCATGCGGGCGCGCAGTATATCGACGTTGCGAATGTCGAGAATGCGGCCGTCCGACTTCATGCCGGCCTGCAAATACTGCTTGGTCAACGCCTCATATACTGAGTACTGAGCCGCCGACAGCCACAGCTTCAGCGTCTCGGTGTCGCCCTTGACATAGGCGTCAAGCACCTCAGGCAGGATATATTCGCGCAGCTCTTGAAGAAAAGCCTCGTTTTGGAAGCTGGGGTCCATTTCGCGGAATTTTTTGACAACCATGGCCGTCTCATTTTCGGCAAACCAGCCACCGATGCGATCGGTGATGCTGCGGGCGGTCGAAACTAGAGGGTTTTCGGACTCTTCGTATTTTCCCTTCATGCTGAAAATACCTTGAACGAACTTGTTTTGGTCACGGAAGTCTCGCCAAGCCTCTTTCCACGCGGCATCCTTGTGCAAAGTGACGCTGGTACCAGCCTCGGGGTCTTCTTGGAGGACTTCCTGGGGCTGTTTTTTGGCGCGAAGCTCTCTACGTCGCCGACGCTCTTCTTTTTCTATCCATCCGCCGTAGCGCGAGGAGCTGCCGTCATCAATGACATCCTTGACGTTTTTATAGGCTTCGGTATCGCGGATGGGTTTGGTGGCCTTGTCCATGGCATCACCGGTGACGTTGGCGGCCTTGCGGACACCCTTCATAACAGGTGTTTCCCAAGTCCAGGAGGCACCTTTGCCAATCGCACCTGCTGTTGACTTGATGGCACTGGCAGCGGTGGACGAAACAGCACCAGTAGACTTCTCGTAAGCTTCGCGTGTTCTGCGAACGGCTTCGCTCTCGCTGAACTGATGGGCGGCGGCGCCAATTTGCTTGGTCGACTCGTTCCATTCCTTAGAAGCCTGGAATTCAGTGTTCATGGTTTCCATGAATACTTGCCAGGGAGTCTTGTCGCCATGAGGTGGGGGAGGGGCATTGGGTTCATTTTCCTTGCCATCTTTGCCCTCTGTTTTGCCGCTCGCTTCCTCGTTCACATCCTCCTTTGTTTCTTCCTTGGCTTCCTCCTTAGCTTCGGATTCCTCTCGGGCGTCCGGGGCCGGTTTGGGCTCCTTTGTCTTTGTCTTGGTTCTCGCGCTCGACTTTTCCTGTAGCCTCGCGCTGGTGTGAATCAGTCGGCCTCCGAACGATCGGATTTCGCACGGAAGTAATTGCGACCGTAGAGGCGTCTGGATTGCGCAAATCGTCTGCGCAGGGAGCGTCTGCGCGACGCGACTCTGGGCAAGCCGCCGGAATGTGGGATTTACCAGGCGTCTAGACAAGGGTTTCTCAGCCTTGCCGGCGCTTCGAATGACGGCATTCATCCTTGAATACTGAGGATGAAATGTTTTAAAGGAGAAAGTCATGGAAGACGCTAGCGATAGCGGGCCATATTTGCTGGAGAGCTAAGTTGAAAGGCCCGGGTAAACCGCGGTATCCCTTACAGTAGTGCCAGATGAAAATCAATCGCTGCCGCAAACTTGCATCGCAATGCTTCAACATATCTGCGTCAACGAAATGCGGCCATTAACGCGGCTTGCCGCTTCGCGGCCTCTATCCCGCGCCAGCACCTTACCAATTCATTCCCAATGGCTTTCCCAGACGACTGCAAGATTAGAAGGACGATCCAGCACCGAGTCTATGCTGCAGAGCATCTACGGCGGAGCTCCCGCTGCGCAGCCACAAGACGCCCTCAGCAACCTGTCCAAAAGTATGGTGTTCGATTCGTTTGCGAGACGACCGGCCGAAAGGGGCGTGATGATGGGCAACGCACAACCCATCAAGGAGGATAGCTATGAGCCCTATCACCTGCATATCTATGCACACAAACATAACACACACGTCACATTCACGCTGCCCAATAAGAACGCAGTGCTCTCGCTGGCGTGCGGCAACGTGGGTTTTAAAAAGAGCCGCCGCGGCACCTTCGACGCGGCTTACTCGCTAGCCAAGTATACCTTGGAGCGACTGGTTTACATGGGATATGCCACCAAGGTCAATCGAGTAGAGCTGTCTCTGCGTGGATTTGGCCAAGGACGAGATGCCACAATTAAGGCTTTGATGAGCCCCGAAGGAGCTTTCATACGCGATAAGATTGTGCGTGTAACGGACGCCACGCGCGTCAAGTACGCCGGCACTCGCAGCCCTCCAAAGAGGCGACTATAAGGGGCGGTTGAGGAGGTGATAGAGACACTTTGAGAACGAGGACAGCAGGAAAATTGATAGCAACAACAAGCGATGTTGCACATATACTGTACTATACATTTGTACCTTACGTTATTTCATATGGCTAGATCATAAATCCATGCCCATTACTACCATGCGCTTAAACTGCAGGTAACTACTAGGCTCATGGTGGGTATTCTCTCCAATGCACCAGACCTCGCGATTCCGCCACGCTACGAACGGGAACCGGGCGTGCTCGATCTCCTTCCGTCTTTCTGTAGCATTGTTGATCGCTCAGTCGCTTCCTCTGCCTCGTCGTCGGAGTCGAGAAGTTCGCCGTCGACAGCCGTGTGATCCGATGCTTCGAGCCAGTCCCTCGGCACGAGACAAGGTAACGCCTTGCCGATGCTGGCCGCTCTGTTGAGCCAGGCCGGTCCAGGGTCTCCGGTAAGAGCTTTACAAATATATGCGGTGAAATGATTGCAGTTCTTGCGCAGTAAATTGTGGTCGAGGCCGAGGAATTGTGCGCAGGCCGCATGAAGGGTCGCGTTGATCTCGTCTTCGGTGGCGAGCGTAAAGCCGTGCAGCAGTTCGCAGCGAAACGAGCCACCCGGAGGCGGTGTCCTGGGTTTGGACCAAAAGACTCCGGAAACGCCACGTTTATTGTGTCCTCCATATGCATATTCGCGCCCGTTGATTACGACGCCCGAATGTAGAAACGACGTGCCAAACGTCCAAAGCATCGACGAGACCCGACCAGCCTATGCTGTCAGCGCGCGTTAGAACAAAACTATGCCAACTTACAGGTAGCAGATCGTAAACATTAATGACTATTTCGGTTTTTTGTAGAGACAGCGTCGACCTGTGGCGGCCGACCGACTGCCTAGGCGTGCGAGACATTGTCGCTCGTCCGAGCGTAGCAGGGCGCGAATGCGGCGATGGCAACGATTGAATGCTTTTTCTGTGGATGGAATTTCAGTCGAAGAGGGTGGCAAATGCACCGCGAGGCTCGAATCGATGCTTGGTGCAATTTGAGGGATGGAGATGGGCAAGATGAACTTGTGTGTCGGACTGTCGTTGGCAGTGACGCAGCGAGTGACGCCACAGGTACCGCATGACTGGCGCCACAGTGGCTGTAAGTTACAGCACAACGGTGAACGATAAGGTGGTGATTGCATTTCGAAAGTCAAGCATGATGCACATTTGTCTATTTTATTTTCAAATAATCAGCAGTCAATCATGTCACGCATCAACGCCCATTGGAGAATACAATGCCGACAGCATCCGACACATGAGCCTACGCTGATACCAGGCGTTCGTGGCGTGAAACGACGAATGGCATCCACCGCCTTATTACGTTGTAGATCTTCTTTTCATATTCCCAATGAGTCAAAAATCTAAGACGTTGATTTCTGACAATCGGTCTGGCGGCCCATCTTACTCAGCTCAAACCGCGCCAGCGCAAATGGCAGCCGATATTATCAGCCAGACACAAGTGAAATTCGCCCAATCGAGAAGAAAATTGCGCCACGTATCATTAGCTAGACGTGGCTTTCATGATTCCTGCAAGGCTACCTTGCCCAGGAGATAACTGTGATAGCTGCTGGGCCCAAAGCTTCAGGCACGTAGCCCAATCCGCCAGTAAGCTGATGGACCAGCGGCCGAGAGTGTTATCGAACTATTCCCATACAGCTTCGGCGTGTGTCTGTTTGTTGAGCAGAATTACAAATAGTATTGATGAAGCGGAGCTCTTGGTGAAGGAATAGAAGGGCGGACACGTATAAAAACGGTGTCATGTATTGAAGAGAATCTCGAGCAGCTTAGGCACTTCTGCAGTTCAATCACACCGCAGCAATGAGATTCTACTTGGCTCTTGTTCTTGGATCAGCCAGGACCTTTCCTGGCTCTGTGCCCTCGAGCATCCCCGAGTTGAAAGCTCGTGCCTGACATTGCTGTCATCATGTCCGTTCCCCAGGCTAGCTTTGAGAGCTATAAGATTGGCGACCTCGAGAGAGATAATGCCACCCTGCACCCCCACTCAGCTGGAGATTACGCACCTCGGTGGGATTACAGCTCGCGACCTATCCTGACGTGAGGCGACAATGACGATGGCGGTCGTGGCTTGACAATCACCAAGGCCGGCAATGACTGGCGCGGCTTCTACATCTAGCACAACAGCTGCGACCGAGTTCCTTGGGAGTACATCTGGATCGAGGCGGGCAGGACGCAGATGGTGTCTTTCCTAGAGCGCTTCGAGGGTCGCATTCAGCGCGGTGTTGGTCAGTATATAATAAATATGCAAGAGGCTCAGCCTCTGGTCTCGTGGCTCGAGATTAGCTGGGACAAGTACAACATTTGACCGGCCGACATTTCGCTGATTCGCGGCTGCGACGGTGCCATTCTGACATGGTCGCTGGACGGCGTCGACAGGTGGAGGAACTTCAAGCAGTGGATTTTGGACGACACCCCATACGGCACGTACGATAAGAAGATGATGGCCAATGGGTAATCAAGGCAAATAGGGGCGTGAATGCTGCCATCGATACGATCCCTCGCAAATGGGGTATGGAGAAGGCTGGCGCCGAGTATATCTATGTTGACGATGATCATGGTGGTCCCATCATCTCGTCAAATAATGCCAGATTAGAGAGCTACTGGCCCGAGGGTCGTGCTGAACTTGCAATTGAGTTTATAGAGCATACAGGTTCTGTACATACATTGCCTTTCTAGAAGGAAATGTAAACTCCATGTACGTCGTGATGGCTCGATTGTTCTTGCTCGTCGTTCAATGAGTGTACACAGAGCTCATAACATGTAGCACAGCACCCTGGACTTGAGACACAAGATATTAACGACGTGAGTACACACCCAATGCAGAATACCATGCATGCATTGAGGGCAAAACAACATTTGCAAACGTACAATGTTGTCAGTGTGGTTGCTAGCTTGCCGGAAAAACCAATTCCCGCCATCGCGCACCATCATGGTGGGGTGAACAAAATTCGCAGTCAATTTATTTAGTTAGCTTCCCAACCCCTCTTGGCCATTGCAGAACTGCTTGATAAACGTAGACGGATTTACTTCCTGTCAACCCCGGGTCTATTGCAGTTGTTCGGCATCGCGCCAGCTCAATAGCCCACCACGTCTCTCCTCGCGAAAGCTCCTTTCTTCTCTTCTCCTGCCATCTTTCCCCCCGGCGCAGCTCGGTCTGCCGCATTTGGACTCTGTCCGCCCACGCAAAAGCGCATTCTTTACGTTTCGGTCCGGTTCTACGCGAAATCGAGAAAGATGGCTCCCAAGAAGCCTGTTCAGGAAGAAAAGATTCCCCTCGGCCGGCCAGGCAACAACCTGAAGAGTGGTATTGTAGGGGCTACTGACTGCAAGCTCGAGACTGCTTGCATCTGTTGGCGTGTTTTACTTTTGCTAACAATAAATAGGTCGGCCTTGCCAACGTCGGCAAATCCACTCTGTTCCAGGCCATTACCAAGTGCAACCTGGGTAACCCTGCTGTATGCTAAGCCCGGCCCGCACCCCGGCCACCCTCCCTATTTAATCCACTGCGGGCTGACACAAAAATTTTCCTCCTGAAGAATTTTCCATATGCAACCATTGATCCTGAAGAAGCCCGCGTCATTGTTCCTGATGAGCGCTTCGACTGGCTTTGCGAAAAGTATAAGCCGAAGTCGGTCGTTCCTGCCAACTTGACCGTCTATGACATTGCTGGTCTGACGCGAGGCTCCTCGACCGGTGCCGGTCTTGGAAACTCGTTTCTGTCGCACATTCGTGCCGTTGATGCCATCTTCCAGGTCGTGCGCAGCTTTGACGATGCCGAGATTATTCACATCGAGGGGGATGTCAACCCTACAAGAGATCTGGACATTATCAGCGAGGAGCTGCGGCTAAAGGATATCGAGTTTGTCGAAAAGGCACTCGAGAACCAGAAGAAGAAGACCCGCATGGGTGGCCAGAGCCTGGAGCAAAAGAAGGCCAAGCTTGAACAGGACATCATCGAAAAGATTTTAGCCTGGCTGCAAGAGGGCAAGGATGTCCGCAAGGGTAATTGGGGACCCAAGGAGGTGAGCTTTACCTTTGTTTCTAGCATGCTGATTTCTTTGCTTGCTTGCTACATGATGACAAAGGGCCTTTGGCCTGAAACTTAACCCAGCTCGTCGAACCCTCACAAAACAACGCAAGAGGTGTACTGAGATAAACTTTGTTCTGAAAGCATGCAAGCATTGAAAGCATTTAATAGCTCGTTTTATTTGTTTACAAGCGGAACTAACAAAAACAGATTGAGGTCATCAACCCCCTCTTCCTCCTCACTGCCAAGCCCGTTGTGTACCTCGTCAATTTGTCAGAAAAGGACTTTGTTCGCAAAAAGAACAAGCACCTGCCCAAGATTGCTGAGTGGATAAAGGAGCACGCTGAGGGTGACCCTATCATCCCCATCTCCGTGTCGTACGAGGAGCGCCTAACGCGCTACGAGACTGAGGCCGAGTCGCTCGAGGAGCAAAAGAAGGTCGGCGCACCGTCGGTGCTGCCCAAGCTCGTCACTCAGATGCGCAAGACGCTGCAGCTTGGCAGCTTCTTCACTTCGGGCACCGACGAGGTCCGCCAATGGACTATCCGCGTCGGCACCAAGGCCCCTCAGGCCGCCGGCGTCATTCACACCGATTTTGAAAAGACATTTATTCAGGCCATTGTGTATAATTTTAGCGTCCTCAAGGAGCTCGGTGACGAGTCCGAGGTCAAGTCCAAGGGCAAGATGATGACCAAGGGCAAGGATTACGTAGTCGAGGACGGTGACATTCTGCTCATCAAAGCTGGTGCCGCGAAGGGTTAGGCTTAGTGAAAATTGACACAAGTCTCTGCGGCGCTTATAGCGTATTTCATTGTGATGGCATATGTTAGCGTATTCTGAGTGAATAACGTATGTGAAGTCATCACGTGCGAATGGTGTGTACCATGTCTGCAAGGTCGTTGGTTGCTGTGAAAATATCACGCAGGCTTGGCATGAATTATGTTATGGAGATTATTCCATGTAATTTAAACTGATGTAGATTTCCATCAAGTAGATTCATGTATGTAAAACCACTAATTAATAGCAACGCCATACTCCGATGGGCACACTGCATATCTTATTATTCGATGTCTTAAAGTCATCTACATCACATGGCGGCGTACTTGACGCCGCGCTTGCCGAGCTCTCGGCGGCCAACCGCGTCCTCCGGCCAGGTCCAGCCACGGGCTCTCGTGGCTTCACGCTTCTCGGCCAGCTGGGGTTGGGGGATCCAGTCGTCGCGCTTGAGGGCCTTGCGGCGGGTGCCCTCGACTGGGGCACCAATCTCCGTCTTGTAGGGAGCGTGGCCGCAGGTGCTATCGCTGGCAATCTGGCACAGACCCCAAAGGGCAAGGCAGGCAGTCAGAGGAGGCGATTCGGGCTGGACTTGGGACAGGTCGCAGTCGTCGGCGGCGGTGTTTAGAGGAATGGAAGCGACATCTAGCTCGCCAAAGTTGGGAACCTCATCTTTGCCGTTGCGGACAAGGACGAGCTCAATCTCCGTAAGAATGAAGCCGTAGCGGCAGCTGTGCTCGCGCATGGCATGGTGAATGGCGGCAAGGCCGCGAAGGTACTCGACGCGCTTGATGTTGCCCTCGACGCGCATTGCAGTGTTGAAGCGGTCAAAGCTGCGCACAATACCGACGACACGAGCAGTAGGCTTGCCACCAAACATGGCGGCGGCCGTGGAAGAGTCCCCAGTCACGTTGCCGACAAACAGTGGTTCATTCATGTTGGCAGGGATGCGATTGGGAACGGAGAGCTGCAATGGTTGGTTGGAAGAGATGGACAGGGCTGAGTTGAGCTTGGGCAGGTAGTACGAAGCATATATGGCGTGGAGCGAAGCCTCCGTCTCGGGGTGGCGGGCGGAGAATGTAGGCTCAGGCAGGAGAGGCGCGGGAACAGGTGTGCTCAAAAGACCGGATGCACCAGGCAGAGCCATGATGGCAGACATGCTAAAAGCGGACCACTGGCGGATGTTGCGAGCGTCCCACCAAAAGTACTTGGTGTTGGGATCGCGAATAGGGTAAGAGACGGTACGAACAAGCGAGGCTGCTGGGCTGGGCGACGTAAGAAAGCTCATAAGTGATAGGGTTGCCGTCGGCTCGGGAGTGGAGGCCATACTCAAGGGCGAGGTAGATCTCGCCGCAAAATGGTAGCTATAATCTTGAGGCATGGAGTAGTCTTCAGGCATGAAGCTCAAGGGGTGGTAGGGAGGGAAACCATAGCCATCTACCACTGTGGCATCCACCGTAGAGTAGGTCGAAGAGCGGCGTGAATCCAAGTCTCTGGGTAGGCACAAGGGCGAGCACAGGACGTCTTGCTCCTTGGCGGGGCGTGAAAATGCCAGGCGAGACATGGCCATGTCGGTGATTGCCTCCGATTTAGTTTGACTGCGAGGGTGCGTGGCGCGCTTCTGCTTCTTCGAGACTTTGCGCTGGGGAGGAGGGGTCATGGTTTGCGACCGAGGAGCCAGGACGACAGGATTACTGACTTGCTGGTCCTGTGGCCGAATCTTGGGCAGCAGGAGAGGACCATGTTGACGAACTGGGGGAGTTGCTCTGGGGGGCGTTGTCATTCTGGTGCAGACAGAGTCGGCGATAGACTCAACCGCAGAGACGACGGAGTAGACGGAAGAAGCCTTAGATGAGGAACGGGCATGGCGAGAATGCTGTGGAATGTCGAGAAAGGACGTGTCAAAGTAGTAGTTTTGGTGGATGCAGAAGTCTTGACGGGGGGTGAGAGGTCGATCCAGCGACGCAGGAGAGTCGGCCAAGGTGAAGTCGAAAGCGACGTCAGATACCAGACTAATAAACGCTGGTCAGTACATGAAGATGACGGCGCGGTCAGAAAGTTGGCCGCTTCAATACGGGATGAAAACATACCTTGACATGATGAATTAAGGTATAATCGGCAAGAGACCTGCTCTTGTTGTTGTTAAGACGGGATGAAGAGTCGTGCAAGACAGAGAAGCAGTAGTACAGATCGAGTTGTAGCCGCCAGCGGCAACCTAGAGCATTGAATGAATGTTGTAGAGGGCAAGGATATAAACAAAGGCAAGAGATGGAGATGAGAGAGTATTATTAATGCAGGAGATCAATCGAGGAGGTGAGCTCGGAAGGGAAAACAATGCCTTAGAAATGGTTGAAAGACGGAAACGAAACGAGGATGAAGGCCTCTTCTTATTGTCGATGAGAACGGTAGGTCGAGAGTGATCTCTAGGCGAGTGGATCGGAAGGATCTCTGGCATATGCATTGCTAGCTGCGAGAGGTCGGCCAGCAAGGACTGGAACCTGAAACACGAAACTTTTGCATGTTGTGTGGGAAGACAAGGCCGCGAGGCGAGAGCGTGTAAGCGTGAGCCGTGTGTATCGTGGACGGAATCTCGTGGCTGGGCGGCGGACGCGCTCAAAGAGGCAAGCAAGCAGAGAACGGTGGAGTGACGCCGAGTCCCAGGGCTCGCAGGATGCCCGAGTAGCAATGCGGTGTAAGATCAAGCAAAAAAATACGAAATCATTGCCACCGTAAACGCTGCTTGGTTATTTTAGGTTGTGGTGCAGTGTGGCCTTGCACTCGGCAACGGCCCTCATCTGGTGCAACATTGGGCTGGATAGGGCTCTGGCGAGGCGCTGCCCACCGCTGATTCGATGGTTGAGACGGAGTGGTCGGCGGTAACCAGAAATGATGCGTCGACTGGGGGCAGGGGCGAAGAAGCATGGACGACGTGACGATGTGACGTGCAGCCAGTCAGCGGTCAGCCAGCGAGACGGGTTGGTGTGTGGCTGCCACTGGCCGGGTGCAGCGCGTAAGGGGCGGCGGGCCTGCCGGTACGTGGGGGGCCAGCCCTGCAGTTGTACTGTAGTTACATGTTACGATGCAAATGCCGATGGAGAAGACTCTAGCTGTAATGGTAGCGGAGTCGGCGATGCGGGCGGGTGGATGCACTGGCTCACGAGCGTGGAATATTCGTGAGCGTGGCGCAGAGAGGTTTACGTGGTGTTGCGTGGTGCATGAGGAGCCAACCGCGCGTGGGTGGTTGCTTGCTCGCGACGCATCAACGCGAGCACGACAACAATACAATGGCAGATGGTACATTGTGTTTTTGACGTGTCCTGTGATTTTGTCCCCCAGTTCTTTCTTGTTGCTTTTGCGTGATCTTCCTTCCCGCCCTTGACAGTTCCTTGGACTTCACACTTATACAATTAGAGTAGGCCATCTCGACCGGCCACATCACACCTCTCATGTGAAGCAGATGGGCGGGGGCTGTGCAGAGCCTCAAATCTTGGTAACCGCCCATCTGCTCGGAAATGACGATGCTATTCTTGCATTCAGACGATGGTGTTTCTGTTCCTGGCCTGAGCCTGGCATCCGGAAGCCCCGCCTTAGGCGCCGGAGTGGTTCTGCTGAATATGACACGGACGGATAGCTGCAGACTATACTATTTGCCTCCTAGGATAAGCTAATATTAAAATCTGTCTGTGGGGGACTGTGCGACTGGTTCGAGCAGCGAGCTGATGTGCCCTGCAATTGGCCACTCGCAGGTTCATCTGTATCTGTATTACATCTGCTGGCGCTTAGAAGCCGTTGGGGTCCTGATTCATCAGGGAGCAACTGTATAGGGCGATGCCAAAATTCCTAGTCATTGTCAAGCTTCCTTATTCGAGAATTGAACTTTCTTTCTTTACTGCCCTCCTCTTCTTTCCCCCCGCTTCCTTCCGTCATCCTTTCCCGACTTCTTCGTGACTCAGCCTCTCAGCTCACCATGAGTTGAAAAATCATGGGCGCGTGGCTTCTCTGCAAGCTGATTCGTCCGCCATCACGCGCCCACGTCTACTGCACGTCTCCAGCCACGTCGTCGCGTTGCAGACAGACAGACGGATACCGTGGTGCAGCGCGACTGTGTACTCTCCCCGCGCAGCGCCACATGTAATTTGTGCAGAATCCATGCAACGCCAGTCGTGGTTCGAACCGTTTCATCCGTACCGAATCTCGGAACGAGTGCTTCTGTTTGTTCATCGTTTCGTCCAGTCGCCGTTTCCAAGACTCATTGGCCCATAATGGTCGAGTGGTGCCATTCACTATTACCACAAATTAGCCTTCAAGTATGAGCCTGATGCCTATTTTGTTTCGAAACACAACCAAGACACAGGCACCGATTGACAGCTGACTTCACTCTGGATAACGAATGACAACCACGGAAAAAAGAAATCGCCGTAGCACTGACTAATAACGCTCACATTGCGACGATTTGGAAGACAGCCACAGCACGCCAAACTGGATCATCATGTTGCTCCTTGCTCGAAGCCCGGACGTGGTGATGTCATGCATTGCTTCTCCGGCTCACAAGGTTCTCCAAATCTATGTCAGAAAATGATTCGCTGCTCCATAGTGGCTAGTATATCTATGAAAAGTAATCCAACAAAAGCGCCTGCTTTCGTCCCATGCGCCAAATAAAATGCTCCGAAATGGTATTAACAAGCTAGCTATTCTTTCTTGGCTACCAAGGGCCGCTAATGTCACTCGCTGTGTTCTGTGCAGTTCATCATGCATCGGTTACTCATTCGCTTCCGTTCCCCATGTTCCGTTAGAAGCTGGCGGCGGTACTTTGCTCTGAATAGCTCTCAGAGCTCTCGTCATCCCGTCCAGTCTCATCCTCTCCTGCAATAGCATGCCGCGTCCATACTCTCGCAGGGCCCGTCTGACCATCGTGTCATGCATGTTCTGCCAGCCAGCCATCTCGGCTGCCACCGTCTGTTGGGTGTACCTTAGTTCACGCGCCATGTAAGAAGCTTCCTCGCGCCATTTCTGGGCCTTCCTCTCCTTCTCTTCCTGGAGACGCTGTCGTGTGTCATCCAGCAAACCCAGAGGCCATCGTGAGGATCTTCCTATGGAACCTTGATTCCTGTCTGCCTCCCTTCTGGCATTGGTAATCTGCGCCACCATCGTCGTTGGCCGCCCAAGCGCAGCGAGCAGGGCTTGCACTGTGGACTGGACGGCAATCAGCGTCGTGTGGAGCATCATGTGTGGGCTTGACTGCGTCGGCTGCATCGCCCTGGCATACATTTCCATTGCAGCAATGTGACCTTGCGGTAGGAAGATCAGTCCAGACACGCTTCGATGCAAAAGAACCAGTGAATCGTACATGTCCGCAGTTACCACGCCGACGCTGTTGACACGTCTCGTACCACTTTTTGTCGCATAATTAACGCTGCGTACAATTTCGCGCGCATGATTGACAAATTGCTCGACTTCTCTTAGATCTTGCACTGGTTCGTATTCCTCTCTGATACGCTCAACACGGGCCTCAATTTTGAGTCTGGTTCTTTCCTCCATGGTGCCAAGCTGCAACTCAGGCACTAAGAAAAACTCCCACAGCATTTCGTGCTTTGAAAGGGTGGGATGATTTAGCATAGTTCGTAGGAACCAGTCCATCTTGGCCTGAATATCCCGCAGCAATGATCGGGACGGTTTCGACGGTAATTGAAACGGTGATCGCGTGTCAGTCACTGTTGGAACCCAAGATGCTGGGTTTTCTTCAGCCAAGAGGCGGCCCAGCTGCTCAAAATCGGATAGCGAGCGCCGACTCGTCGTCACAGTGTAGCTGTCGTGGTCCGTTGGGGCCGCTGACTTGAGCACCAATCGGACTGTGCCGTCTTCAACAAAGAAAGCTCGCACCACGCCGGTGATACGCCCATCTTGTCCAGGAGGCATGCTGAACAGCCCCAGATCGTCAATCTTGTTTCTGACGTCTTCGTCCTTAGCCAGCTCCACAGCTGTCAGGCCTCTGGCCTCCCTTGCGCCGAGGTCTACTCGGGGGTCGGCAAATAGCGATCTGACCATGTCATAACGTCCGTATTTGCTAGCAACCATGAGTGGCGTGAATCGCTTCTCGTTAGTTGCATTGACATCGACGTCACAGCAGTGCAGGATTCTCAGGGCCAGCCTTGGGTCGTTGATGATGTGTAACAGCGTATTTCCCTTTCCGTCAACGTGCTCGTCCACATGCAGCAGCGTACCGTCTCCTTGCGCCATCTTGGCGGCTTGAAGACCTGCCTCTACCATGTTGCAGTAATCGGCATGGTCGTAGGATCGGCAAAGGGCAAACAGGGGTGTCTGACCATTTTTGTCGCGCTGCGTCCACGGGATAAGGTAACCAATTCTGGCAATGAGGGCTGGAGAGTTAAACAGATAGTGGCCTAGGCTGCGGCCCCAAATGTCCTGCTCTTGGACGTATCGAACAAGTTGCGTATGGGAGACGCCAGAACTGATGCAGTCCAGCAGTGTATCAATGATTTCGGAATTGCCGTGCTGCACTGCAGCGCTCAAGAGCGATGTATCTTCGTTATTCATGTCCTCCAACACAGCCTCTAGAGGATAGTATCCGCGCAGTGACAAGAGATATTTGAGAACGGCGAGCTGGCCATTCTGAACAGCCAGCATCAAGACAGAGTCGCCAAATGAATCGCTTGTTTGCGCCAGTCGCTCAACTGAGATATCGCCCTCCAAAGCATTGCCAATTGTCCCAACACTGGTCGAGCGTGAGTGGAACGAAATCTCAGAGTCACTAGAAAAACTTCGCGTATCCATTGAGACTTTCTTGACTCTCGCAACTCTAAAAGTGCCGGAATGGCAGTCGCCGTCGTCGTCGTCGCAATTGCTATCGGTTTGAAAAGGAAAAACATGCCTCAAGCCAGAGCCTTTCGATAATCGATCAGGTGTCGCGAAGCCTGCTGATGACTGTCGTGAAGAGCCATTCGTGACACTCCAATTGAAAGATTGTCGCCGGGAAGACTTGTGCGAAGACGGTTCGCCTTCATCATCGTCTTCGATAGCAGATGTGTTTGGTTCCATAATCTTCTTCAGGTCCGACATCGATCCCTTTTTTGTGGCTTCCCAGAGCGCCTTGTTTTTCCTGCTTGCGCGGCGCAGTCCAGCCGAGTCCATGGACAGATAGGCCAACACAGCCTCAAATGTGCTCAGCGCGTATCCAAGCTCGCCACTATCGACATCGTCGACGAAAATGAAATTCCTTATATAACCAAGACGAGCTTGCAGATTGCGCACGCTTGCCCGAATCACGACATAAAGTAGCATAGAAACCAGCGTGTCGGCATTGACCGTCATGATGGCCTTCTCTGCTGGCTGATCCTCTCCCTCCTCAGGAGCTTCTCCTGTGAGTTGAGATACAGTCTTCATGGTGGACAGAAGAAGCTCTAGCATTTCTTGAGGGCTCATAGCACTCGATATCTTGCGAAATTCTTCGATTGCTGGTCCCAGACGAATGATCAGGTCGTGCTTTGCCTTGGGCCCGCCGACAATGGCAATTCCCAATTGCGAAATATCAATGTATTCCATCTGCCGTATCTTTGCCTCCAGCTCCAAGTCATCCGGGCGTTTAAGGGAGACTAGTCTAGTAAAAAGGAGGTGGTGCACGTTTTCGGTAATATATCGTTCAATCAGCTTCTCAACAAGGGGCCCGGTGAGATCCGTAGTTGCGCCAAGTAGAGACAATTGCTGTTTATCTACTCCTTGAAACAAATCGATGGCTGTCGTGACAGCAGTCTCCAGAGAAGCACGCATAACGTCTTCCTCGTCCTCGGCGTAGAAGTCTTCGGTTACAGGCAAGCTCGCGTTAGACGGGGTATGAGAGCGCACGCTGAAGCTGTTCGATCTTGCCCGCTTCAAGGCCGTGGTGATGGGGCCGTCGGGCACGGGATCGGGAATTTCGGCTGCCGAAGGAGGTGCAGGCAGTGGTTTCTGAAATACTATAGTAAACTCTGTGAATATTTCTTCCAGCCCAAACTGCATTTGTCGTGCAATCATGGGGAAATTATTGAGAAGCTCGTGAAATGTTTTAATATCTTTTTTCTTGGGGTGAGTCGAGTAGTTTGCTGCATCACCATTCGCGAGCTGCTTTGTCTCGATGGTCTGATTCGAGATAGGCAGAACCGCAGGCGATATGACTATCTCTCGCCAATTCCCAACCAAAGGCTTCGATATATAGTATAGTAGCCATTGTCGCGCTTCGAATACGTCCGGGTACCAGGTTGCATCGCTCTGTGTTTGCGCTTGTGCCAGCGTCCTGAAGCCTACGCATTGTGAGCAGAGTTCACCGCAGTCGCGGGGCTCGGCTAACCTTTGTTACTGTATATAGAGGCATCTTTGACAATCACGCTCCTCCCGTTTAGAGTCGAAAATTGTTTCGCTTTGCCTCGGACCTCTCGCAAATTCTGGCCAGCCTCCTTACCGCCAGGCGGAGGGATGCGCAGGACATGGCTGGCTAGAAACTCCTCAGTAGCGACGAAGTCGCTCGTGGCGACGCCGCTCTCCGTCTCACGATGAGTGAGGAGCACATCCGTCTGCGGAACGAGGAGTATGTAGTGATGAACTGGCGTGCACTGTGAGGCGACGGAGCTTTTGAAGAAGGCGGCAAGAAATGGATTTAGGGGTTGCATTCAAGCGATGCTGCCTAGCTTGCTGCGTTGCGCAGGGGGGGGGCAGTCCGATTTATGAGGATGGCGTTGATGTGTCTCAGCGCATTCGGAGGCTTCGCGAATGGTGGTCGTTTGATGAGTACTGCGGAGGTGTTTGCCGTTGCTCGATTGCCTGCGTCTCGATGGCTGCGTCGCGGTCGTAGGGTGTGTGAAGATGAAGTTGTCTTCCCATGTCCAAGGTGACGAAGATGGGGAACTACCTACCTACCTAGCTTAGCTATGGGCCGCTGGAGACAGCGCTACCTCTGGCGACGAGTGGGTGACAATACGCTACTTTGAATACATCTTCTCCCCTTCAATGCTATTAACTTCCTTGCTCTGCTTATTTCCTTGATACTTTCTTGGTTCTCTTACTCTACCTATTCTATTCCTTCTGAGTACATCATTTGCTAGTTACCTGCTCTGATCTTGATATCAGCCACGGATTTTTAGCCGGCCCCTGGGATGGGAATTCAGGCAGGGGCCATGATTTTTCCGACCTACGCCCTACGCAGGAGGGGTGTGTTTTCTGATAATCTGACATATAGTTATGTTTGTTAGCAGATTCTTAAGGCAAATCACAAGGAAGAAATCACGGTTTTTCATACATCAAAAACTTCTCACATCATATCTAATAGGCCTTAATTGCTTATAAAATACCTTAAGAGCATTTTATTTCCGAAAGCTATCCTTATCTTTGTCAGAAAACACCCCTGTCCCCAAGGGGCGGCAACATTCCGCGATTGACACAACCCAGGCTCAATCTGCTCTTTTCGTCTCGTTAAAAGCGGTCGAGAATGCGATCCATTATGCGAGAAGTTTACCACTGGGCCTGCCTAAATCTAAACCGAAAGCGTTCGCATGTGGCAGAATACCATCTAGCTGCGTTTCATTCTTAGCTGCCAGCGAACAACGGTAGGCTGCACTGGTCGCGGAAAGATAGAGGCATGGTCTGTCTTTGGCAGGCTACCGCTTTTATCCAGTCCAGAGCAGTGGATTTCCCGGACTAGCGTTGCGACAACCGTTGCGACAATAGCGCCGACGTTGGGTTAGGCAGACTGTCCCCAATGTACCAACGTCTGGTCGCTCCAAACGGCAGATAGGTACTTTGGCACCGTCGAAAGACGAGACTTTTTTTCAGCGTCAAAAACGCTGCCTGCAAGGTCGCTAGACGAGGTCGCTACTCGACTGAGTTGGCAAAGTATTACTCGTCGCGCGCCGAGGCTCAACTTAGCCAATGCGAGGCACTTGGACGGCGCGAGTGGCTTCGTGCACGATGGCGTGGGTGGATGAATGCACACGCATGGTCTCTCTGATGACTCACTGGATCGGCGGAAGCTTTTCGAGGTCGGAATTCTGCAAAGGGGGGTTCATTCTTGTGGTCAAGAACTCGAATCTGCTTTTGGAACAGTCACGACGTAACTTCAGGCCTAGACGCAAAATCCAGAAATATAGGAACTTGCAGACAATTAGTTGTGCTGTCTCGCCATGAGCAGGTTTCTCCTCAAGTGTGCTATGTCGTAGTTTGAATGGTAGGGCCGTCCTTGTACACGCAGCGTGAAGATTCCAGCTAATGTCGGGATCGCACTCCTTCTGAGCTACGCCGCTCGTCAATGCTTGCTCTATACACTTCTCTCATCTTGTCATGCGCAGCGTCACGTCGAGGCTTATCAGAAAAGGTTACCCAGCGCAACAACAGGCTCACAGGGCGGAAACCAAGACCCAGTCATGCTACAGCTCGGCGAACCTAGCACACAGCTCACTTCATACTTTCTGGCGTTGCTGAGCCGTTCGGCTGTCAGAAACGTGATATCAACCATGGATTTGAAAATGTCCGTTGGAGACGTCCACGGCTAAGGCGGCATTCTGCAAGCTCGGCTCTGACGCAAGGTAACCGAGAACCTCTTCCTTAATCATGGGCACGTAGGACTCAAAAGCCTGACGGGTCGGCCCGAACTTGATGAACTTCTTTTGCTCCATGAACTTATTGTTGGAGCAATCGTATACGACGTCGGAACCAAACACGGCTTTCGTACGGGGCTTGTATGTGTGAGGCCGGTGTGTTTACCATTGAGGATAAAATTGTTGCCGTCACAGAGAGCCGACAGTTTATTGCTAAACAGGGTAGACGTGAGGATGCCTTCGTGCTAGTCAGGTCGGTTAGTTCGGTAAAGAAGATGCGGCGGCAGCCATGAAAAACGACACTCTGCATGAAGGTTGGTAGGATTCGTGCCGTATTGGGCTGCGCTTCCAACAACGGTATCCAGTAAATGACTCGAAGTGGTTCAAATTGTCCTCAAGAATTTGTCTTAAGAATCATGTTGCCTAGAACAATCAGAAGCGCGCTGACGAGCAACTAACCTAGACTATACATCTCCATGGCGTCTTGCGTCTGCGTAAGGCAACACGAGCACCTAGTCCAACATCTCCAGAGCTCCGGAGCCGCGTTCAAACATATTTGTATTTTGTTTACTTTGAGCTCTAACAGTTGAACGCAAAGCCCCGTATTCGGCCACCGCTCAATCCAAAGCATGCTTTCAACGATGGCATTGTTACGGCGTTGTGTATTTCCGGCGATGCATCACTGACAGGGCTTGAGATAGACTGGATTGGATTGGAAAAGACTCAATTCTATGAAAAATGCTATGTGACATACTGTAGGCTGCGGCCTACTACTTCCTGAAACTCCTTGTGCACCGTGTCCCAGTGCTATGTCCACTCCACACAGAAACCCGAGGAACAAGCTGGACAAGCCATTCTTCGAAATAACCCCATTTCATCCACGATCACACTCAAGACATCCAAACGTGGTGCAGAACATGTACTAGAACCAATTCCAAACTCGTCGCCAAAGAGACGGCTTCGAACCCTTATCGTGCTTAGTGGCATCTTTAGTGTCCAGGTCGACTCTACGGCCACCATCGAGATCAATCTCCCAGCTCCTCTTAAGCTTGTCTTCTCTCCAGACAAGCCTGCAAACAACATAAATGACACCGAATAACGGTAGAAGAATGTACGCGTCAACAAAATCAGCCGCGGAGAATGGCGAAAATGTTGTCCAACCCTGAACCAAGGAGAGAAATATGTTGGCTGCAAGACCAAAGTAGGCGACAAAGGGGTACCCTAAGCTTCTGAACGGAAGCTCGATCAGGTCACGTTTCTGTGTTGTCCAAGCACGGCGGAACCGAATATGCATGAAACTGATGCTGCCCCATACCAAAAACGTGCTAACGCCGGAAAGGTTGACAATGTATGAATAGGCCTTCGCGGCACCGGTGGAGATATTCATCATGGAAATGGCACCGACTGCGTTGGTGAGAAGGATAGCCCAGACAGGAACACCCATCTTATTAACTTTGCCGAGAAAGCCCGGAGCCTTGCCGGACTGAGCCATGTACAGAATGGTCCGAGAGCCAATGTAGATGGACGAGTTGATTGCAGAGATGCAAGTGATGAGAATAAAGGCATTGATCAGATGGACACCACCTTCCCACCCAGCGGTTTGAATAGCAATTGTCATAGGGCTCTGCAACGCCTTGGCGCCACCGCCGACCAACCCTTCTGCGTTGGCAGGGCAGGTGATACCGAAGAAGAGCGCAGACCCCATGTAGACAAAAATGATGCGCCAAAAGACCTGTCTGATGGCCTGAGGCACCGCAGTGCCAGGGTTTCTGGTTTCGGTAGCAGCAACAGCCACAGACTCTACACCAGCATAAAAAGTAGAGCAAAAGATGAAGACCTTGGCGACACCACGGAAGCCATTGCCATTGAATGCGCCTGGATCGTTCCAGTAGTGGAAGCCCAAGGCAGATTGTTGACCAACAAGGCCACCAGAGGCATAGACAACGGAAAAGATAAAGTAGGCTGTCAGACCGAGCAGCTTGAGAAGAGCTAGCCAGAATTCTGCCTCGCCAAAGGCCTCAATACCGAGGAGCTGAAAACCGAGGAAAACAGTCCAGAAAATCAGGAAAAAGCCCCAGAGCGGGACCTTTGGCGCCCAATACACTAAGATGCTGCATATGACGTTGTATTCGTTGGCGAGGACGGCCGCCCATATGATGAAGTAATTCCAGCCAACGGCGGTGGAGAACGATTTGTTGACGAGGCGCTCAGCGAGCGAGACAAAAGAACCACCTCCTGGGTAAAGCGTAGTAAGCTCGCCTAAGGACTGCATGATGGCAAAGGCAATGAAGCCTGCAGCCGTTAGCTCACGGAGCACGTTGACCGACGGGACCGGACTGGACTTACCAATCACGCCAAATCCAATGATCAGCGACGCAGGGCCACCACTGTTGAGCGCACCACCAGCGCCTACGAGAAGACCAGGGCCGATAATGCCGGCGAGGGCCATCATGGAAAGATGGCGATTCTTAAGGCCGCGCTTTACGCCCGAATCGGGGTCAATGGCCTGTGAGCTGCTGGCATCGGTGCTATTCCAGCCGGGGACATACTCGGAGTCAATATCGTGGGAGCTGTAGTCTTGACGAGACGCTGCGGCGAGATCATGCTTCTGCAGGCCCTCAGCCGAGAACGATGGTGGATTCGGCATGGCGAGCGGCTCTGTCGCGTCGTGTCGCGAGGGGCGCGACAGAACAGGCAGTGTGATAGTGACAGTAGAGCAAGATTGAAGACTACCGCGTGCAAGGGGGGGAGGAGGAAGAAAAAGTACGAGAGGGGGGGAGGGTATGTAGGGACGACATAGGGTTTGGTCGAGTGACAGCTCGGTGACTGCGCCGCGCATGTGCAGGCTCAGGTATCATGGCACTTGGGAGAAGCAAGACGCTAAACTGCGGATGGCAATTGACGTGGATCTTCCAGTCTGGACTTAGGATTTTTAGCCTTGGCAGATTGGCAGAGAGGAGTAAATAAAGAGCCGCCTTCGATCACGTCACGGAGGAGATCCACAAGAAACCTGTCGGCTGCTGTAGCCTATTTGTCCAGCAATCCATGTAGCTTGTTAGCGTACGAAGTAGGTTAGGATACTCCATTATTGTAGGCGTCCCTTACTCGCCGAGGAACCCCGAAACAATGGGCCTCATGAAGAGGTCGGAGAAGAAGAAAATCATGGCTGTGTGCACTAGCATGCACTCAGTTGCCAACAGCACATGGAGTCGCCATTTCAAATTACGATACACGCTAGGTAGAAATATGTCAGCCAGGCAGATCGTCAGATCGTCAGTAGCGGTCTGAGGTCTCCGAGTCGTGTTCGGTCGTGTTCGTCGTGAGCAACGATTACTTATGAACTAGTATCGAGTGTATTGCGATTCTCGAACCACGATTCATTGCCTAATCGTAAAATCCCAATCTCTTTCAGCTGCAAGCCTCATTATGGTGCCATCGACCCACTAGTTAGCGTCTCGCAACTTCCCGAGTCGCATATTGGCATTGCGGTCCAAGCAATCCCATGTGTAACTATGTAACTTCGACGTTTGTCTCACCATGCGCTGACCTGGACCCTTGAACCAGAATTGCGGATGAATTTCTCCGAGCGCTGCCCAAACTATTTACAGCAAACACGCACATATTAGGAGTTTTAGTCGACACGACAGACACAGTCAAAACGCCACGAACACGCAGAGATTGCTATCGAGATATAATGATGCATGCAGAGACCCTCGTTCTCTACAGTGGGTATCCTCGAATACTATTATACATGTAATACACATTTGCTCATGCAGACGTCTTGATCGCTCCCTCTGGTACATCGTCTGAGGCCTCAAATTTCCGCGGCACGAGACCCTCGGCCATGTTGATTGCTCCCTGCATGTCATTCTTGTTGAAGAGGAAAAGACCCTGGATGGCAGCCGTGCTCGTGTGTCTGTGTGACGGTCCGCCGTCGGGGTTTTGTCCAAATAGGCCCAGCTCATTCAGACGCCCTAGAAAAAGTTCTCTGCTCGAGTGGTCCTCGTCCACATCGCCGTAGAATCGATCCCACATCTCGCTGGCCTGATAGCGGGTCGCCTCGCCGATTCTCGTCATCATATCGACACGACCAGGGCGAATCAAGGCAGGGTCAAGCCGGTCGATGTGGTTGGTCGTTAGAAAAGCAAGTCGCTCCTCACCAGCTGCAATGCCGTCGAGTGCATTCAGCAGACCGGAAAATGTTACACTAGCACCGCTGTAGCCGTCTGCATCGCGCTGTCGTCGGTTTGTGAACGCCGCATCAGCATCTTCCAGCAATAGCAGGGTGCGCTTGGGCAGCTTGGTCAGCAAGTACGCCAGCTTGTCGTCCGTCATGCCCATTTCGCTCAAATTAATCATGGCAACGCCAAAGTCCAGCTCGCCGGCAAGGGACTGGATGAAGGAGCTCTTGCCGCTACCCGGCGGCCCAAACAATAGGTAGCCTCGTCTATAGGGGATGCCACGGTCCACATACCACTGCTGCCGTGACAAGAAGTCTTTTACATCGCCCACGATGCTATCCTTGACCCCTTCGTCCAGTATTACTGATTTGAGTGGTCGTTTCTTTCGCGGTTCTCCCAGAGGCGCCCATTCCATGCCGCGTGCCGAGTAAACCAATGTTTTACCTTCAGTGGCCTTGGCTGCGAGCGTATGCGCCTCGCTAAACACTTGTTCAAAAATGTGTCGATGTGCCCACAACGTCGTCAACTGTACAATCTCGTGCGGCTCCCCCGTATTCATATTGGCCGTGTTGTGTTTTTCACGATTGACCGCAATGAATGCATTGCGAAACTTGATGATGTGTCTGCCATAACCAGGCTGCAGAAAAAAGTGCGCGCTGGGCGGCCCGCCGACTGCCGGCCCTTTGGACGCCGTGGCCGTCGTCACGGAGAGGTTGTGGATGCGCGTCAGGCGGGACGCAATGAAGCCCTGTGTCGGCCGAGGCGTCGACAGCCATGCGAGAATCCAGGGGTAGGCGGGATCCTGCTTGCTGATTTCAACATTGACCAGCAATCGCCGGCGTGCTGCTCCGACCGCGACTATAACGCCTTTTCTGGCAAAGGCGGCCGCGGCGCCGAGCGACGCCAGACCAATACCGCCCGCAAAGAGTGGGTTATTGAACAGCTCATTCAGGCTGAATATCGACGTTGGCGATACGTCACCAGACATATCGGCGGCAATAGCATTGTCTGGTGCTTGAACGAAGTCATCTTCTGGTGGATATTGAATACGAAAGATGCTGACATAATACGGCATCGCTTACGTACAGCGACAGTGCCTTTGAAGCGTTTGCGGCACGTTTTAGAATGAAATGTTGTTAGACATTTTGTACAGTCTTTACAGTGCTTAATTTCTTTTTTGACTTTTGAGTATCTAAGTCTAGAATGCAAGAAGGTCGCTATAGACCACGCGGGAAGGCTGTGTATAGTATTTCGTCGGCCCCTACCCGAGACTTGGTGATAAGGAACTCAATCGGTCTAACATCCTTTATGACTATCGGTACGTAGAGGTTGCGGTATTCGGAGGCATGTGTGAGACTGTTTGTTTGCATTAATAATCGTGGATCTACTGCCTTGTTGACCTGCCTGTGTTTCTCGCTGCTCTCGCTGGCTCACAGTCAGCTTGGCTGTATTTAACCAACAGAGCAGCTCGCCCATCTATCCACACAACCAGTGACATCTACTTCGTACACCCGCATGACTGGCAAGAGCCAGGTCCTATCACACACTCCACGTGCTTCCCTCATGCGTCTGGCTCCCGCGTTTGTACACCTACCAAATACTCCTCCCACATCTCCACGCACCAAGCACCCACCACCATTACGAAACTCTATCATGCACCAACAAACTGCTGTGGAGCTATACCTGTATGTATTCAAAAATCTCTCCACCTACCAAGTAATCCGCCACGGCTTCCATAGCTCAGTTGGTTAGAGCGTCGTACTAATATGGACCACATTCCGTCTTTGGTGATGCGAAGGTCGCAGGTTCAATCCCTGCTGGGAGCAAAGCCTCCACTGCCTGAGCGTGTTATTTTTTTGTACTTGTGCAGCTATTTACCTAAGTTACTGCTTCTTATTATTTGTTATGAGTGCAATGTTTATTTAGTTTATGTCGCGAGTATTCACCGTTGGTCGTCTACAGCATGATAAAAGGATCACCGGCCAGTGCTAGAATGCATTGACACTGACTGTTCGTGATAGATGAGATGGTGTTGACGCAGCAAGCGCCCGACTGCGCGTGGTGTGATTACTACAGTCGGCCACTGAAACAGAGAGTGCAAGTTCACAAGCACCGGAACTCAAGGAACCGTATATGATTACCCCAAAAGTTTTTCATATCTCTTTATCTAGCACATCCACGTTTTCCACACCTATTGACATGGTGATTGCCAAAATTCGCGAGGGCGGGCGAGATAGCGTGTTTCCACCCAGCGCGCCCACCATTACCCTAGGTACTTAATATATTGTCGCCTTGTTACTTGCAAAATTCCACAATGGCAGGGTAAACCTTGTCTGTAGCTCGTAAAGAGAGGTTAGCAGGTTCGACAGCCTCAAAGACGGTAGAAACATACTTCTGGCCTTAGTGAAACCACAATTATTGACAACACAGCTGACGGCATTCTTGTCCTTGATCTCCTTGTGGTTGCAAATGCACAGGTAGTCAGTTGCCCTGCATCTGGTGTGCAACTTAACATAAGACTCGATGCAGGACAAGGCGCAGTGAGGGATGATATCTTTGGGCCTCTCGTGCCTCTGTGGCATTACATCAGAAGGGACACAACTGGACGAATTCGAGGAACAGTAGCTGAGATCTAGAGTACTGTCGGTAGAATTTAGGACCGGGGTGGCTTGACCAACGGCAGCGACGGCCAGGGTGACGACGACAGCGACAATCTTCATTCCGAAGGGTGGATGGTGAATGCTGATCTTGTGCAGAGGGACAGGGAGAGAGAAATTTGCTGACATGAAAGCTCAGAAGAAAGGGAAGGCAAAGTACATTTCAAGCGTGACGATTAATACAAAAGGGGCGCTGGCAAGAAACTTTTTCAGTAAGCGCCATAGAGGAGGCATTTTCGCGAGGCTTGCGCCCCGCGTATTCATGGTACCCTCAATTAAATTGAGAAAGGTAAACATCATTACAATGAGCAGATGGCACTGCCAATACACGTGCAGTTGAAATAAGGTGTTGGTTGAGATTACACGGGCCTTTGATTCACTAGCCAACAGCCGGCGATCTCCATGGGTCACCTCTGGCCACTACTCCCGTCCATGTACCCCGGCGTGGCGAGGCCGCAACACTGCTTAACTGCAACTAACATGAATGTATGAGATGGTGACGTCAACATCAGTTACAATTTACCAGATTTGGGTATCTTTTTGCCGGTATGTATGCTACTGACTATCCCGTAGTACATCTCATCTACATCGGGCTGCTACTACTCACGCGTGTGGCCTCTCCGGCACTGTAACCTTGTCCCAGTTGGCTGGACCCTCAGCCTCGAACATGCCCCTCTTGGAGATAACTCTGCCGAGTCCATGGTGCACCTCTGCCTGGAATGGTGCGAAGGGAACCTTTTCGCCGTCGATACTAATGTATCCGTCCTTTTGGTCTCGCGGAATGATGCGATACGCCGATACTTTTTTGTAATTTACGTATGGGCTGTCGAAGAATTTGTTGGAGCCGACGGACAGAAAAGCCTTGAGGGCTTTGAGCGCAGGAATGTCGCCATTCATGGTGATCAGGTCCATGCATCCGTCTGTAGCCATAGCGGCGGGGAAAAAGTGCACGCCCGGCGCCATGAAAGCCATCTACAGCTGTTAGTGCGAATTTGCACGCAAATATTCGGCCAACTTACATTACCGCAATAGACGGTGCCGACATTGTCGTACGGTACCAGTTTCCAACCGACAGGCAAGTCGTCCTTTATCGTCCCGTACTTGAGTTTGGGTAGACCTTCACCCTCATCCAAGTTGGCTTGCTCGGCGGCGGCCTTTCTGAGGTTCGGTACACTCGCATGCCGTTTATAGTGCTCCTTGACATGGGCCTTCTCCACCTCCAGCTGCATAGCAATGTCGCATGGATAAACCTTTTTGCGAAAAACGCGCGAAATGACACCGTAGTCGAAGCGCGCGCTGCCCATCCACCTGAGGTGTTCCGTGGCGAGGTCGCCTTCGGCAATGATACCGAGCGACTGTGAGAGAAACGAAATGATGCGTGTGTCACCCTGGGTAATAGACACTAGGTCGAGCGGCGTGACAACACCCTTGACGAGAGCAAGAGCTGCATAAACTGGCTTGTGTGATCCAAACAAGTTGCAGGACATGGCGTTGCCCGAGCCACAGGGAATGTGTCCGACGGCAATCTTGGACAGGGCCAGCTTGGCGTCGGGTCGTTGCGCCAGCCCGTTAAAGACCTCGTGAGCTGTGCCGTCGCCGGAACAGGGAATGACGATGTCGTACTTGCCAATTTCCATCTGTCTCACCAGCTCTAGGGCCTCGCCGCCACTTTGCAGAAATACAACGTCCATTTCCATCCTGGCTGCGTCAAATAGAGGCTTGACGTCATTCTGCCACTTTTTGACTCCGTTTCCAGGGCCGGCATTAGGATTGACGAGGACGTAGGCGCGCCGTTTCTGTTGCGCCTCGCCATAGGCGCGGGACCGGAGCTCGGTTGCAAATGCTTTAGGCGAAGATTCAGATCGTTGATCGGTGGCGTTGATCGGTAGCGTCCATATTTCCACCGGCAATCTGGACTTCTCGGATAGCAGGGCAAATTCTATCGTCAAGTTGGTGTCCGCGACTTCGGCCCACAAGAGATTGTAAAGCGGTAACGTCTGGCGTCCGTTGCGATCTTGACAAGACATTAGCTTCTACACCACCAGGCTCCGTTTTTACAAACCCTTTTGTGCGTTCTTGTCGTCAGGAGAGTTAGGATCTAGAAACATAATCAGTAAACAACTCAAAATCAGCTCCATGCGCATTACCTTGAAGCACAAGGTCAGAATCTTCGATTGTCAGCGTCCTGCCGCCAGCCAGGTGCAGCGTTAGCGGGGTAGCTTGGACGGCACCGTTGGTGAGCATAGTCGCGACGAGGTTGCGGGAAGAAGGAAGTAGCGCAGACGTGCCCACTCAGTGAGGTAATGAAAGTCTGACCTCTGAGGCCGGGCGAGAAAGAATGCGCCAACAGACAATGACCGAGGTAAGCTTCCAAGTCGAAGCTGGCGGGTGGTAGTGCCAGACGGGTCAGCGTGGCGCGCAAAAACGTTGAAAGTAACGTTTGACATAAAGAAAAAGAAAACTGATAATAGACACCAACGAGACCAGCAGAAGCTAACGAGCGTGGGTTGGCAACGAGGCCGAAGAAGCGGATGAACAATGGTTGAAATGAGAGGCGGCGGACTTTGACCAGTGCTCCGTTTTGAAGCTGCCTGGCTTTCGGCGTGCCGGGCCCCGGGTGGGACGGCGGGCTACTTTGGAAGCGCTAGACCAAGCGGGTGGTAAATCCGCGGCTATTATGCTCTCTTCTATTGACTTCTCTTATTCAGATATAAGAACACCAATCAAAAGGAGTATCATGTCTTCCACCCGATTTCATCATAGTCAAAACAAAGCTAGTATTTGCCAAGCTGCCAACCTACCTAGGTAGTTAGGCAGCTTGCAGTTCGCTGCACAAGCTGACAGCGATCCACGGTGCTCGTATTGGCCGTGTTGAGGCTGATTTCCACTACGTCCGGATTGGGCGCCAGACTATTCAACCGCAAGCTAAAACAAGAACACGAACCAATCGTTCTTGGTGGATCACGCGATGCAAGTTCTACCTGGCGAAACACACGCGATTTATTTTTGGTACCCTAACCCAGTATGCATATACTCCTCAAGTAATTCCCCATGCATGATAGTTTTCAAACTACGTCGACACATTTGTGAAAAGTAACGAGCAGTCTGGCCTGTCATCGTTCGAGTTAAATTCTCATCTGTTGATTCGCCCCTACACCTGCCGCTGTCTGAAGCGCACGGATGCCTAGCCGCCCAAATAACCTACATCATTGTACATCGACGGCGCTCGTGCTTGCCCGCCGTGTATAGTTTGCTTCAGGCGAGCCTGGTAGCCTCGGGAAACTTGGCGCGGGCCGCCTTTTGGAAAGCGTCCGCTTCGCTGCTCTTCCAGTCCCTCAAACAGTCCAGCACCTCGATCGCGTCGGTGAATGTGGTGCCGGGCAAGCTCAGAGAGGCGGTAAGCTGCTTGTCGCTGGCGCCCTTGTTGCCATCCAGGGCGCGCTGTGCGGCCACAAATGACAAAACGTGGCGGATGCTGTGCTTGTGCTTGGCCTGGTAGTCGGCATTGTGCTTGGCTAGATCTGTGCCCACATCTACCACCTTGAACTCGGCCCTGAGAACGTCGATAACCTTAGGCGGCATACCAGAAGCCGTCTTAAGCATTTTGGCGAAAGCGACGATTTGGGCGTGCAGCTTGGGGTGACTGCTGTCGAGTGCAATGGCGGCATTCAAACAGCGGAGGGCTAATACATATTTTTCTGCACATGTCAATAACAGCCCATGTAGATTTGAGATAAACATACCTCTGCGCATAAATATTTCGAAACCAGCCAGCTGTACTTGCATGCTCTTGGGGCTCGCCTCCAGCATTGGAGAAAGTAGTTTCATGGCCGCATCAAGGGGATCAGCGGTAGCTGCCAGCGTCAGGCCCAGAGGATCCTCGTCCTTTTTTTTTAGTTCACCGTCAGGACCAACGGCCTTATTGGGGTCTTGCTTGGCCTGTTTCTCCGCTGCCTCGCGCTCTTGACGCTGCTGTTCTTTCTTGGCCTTCTTGAGGGCTTTCTTCTGATTTAGCAGTTCCTCGGAATCGGCCACGCCATTTCCATTTTCTTTACCGTTAGCGGCAGCAACAGCATTGTCAGCCATGTTCAGGTAGATCTTGATGGCATCCAGGGCAGCACGGGTGTAGAAGGGATGATCGAAAACGTGATCCTCCCAACGCACCATGTCAATGTATGCACGGATCTGACCCTTACGTAGAGAAAAGGCGTGAAAGTCAAACTGATCCTCCTGCCACACGTCGAAAATGGTCGCGATCTGGTGAAAACGCTTGAGTGCTAATGCAATGTTGCCCTGTCTGGCGTAGGCTCGACCGTCTTCTGTGAGGAACCAAATACATTGCATGTCCAACAAATCGGCGAGGGGCCCACCGGCAGTGTCTGCGCGAGTGAAAAGTCCGACAGTCCTGAGAGCCTTTTCATTTTGATTGTTGCGGAGTTGGTACTTGGCGGCCTTGCTGTTGATATAGCGATCCTTTAAGTCTAAGGATCTAGCATAGTCCATCATCTCCGAAGCCTCTTGCAGATTGCCACCGTGCTTCAGGATCCTTGCCTTGGTCATGTGGTAGTCAACGCTCTTGTTGTCCTTCGAGATCGCCTTTTCAATGTATTCCATAGCCTTGACCAGATCGCGGCTCATGTGGTAGTTGTGGTGCTGAGCCAGGTAGAAAAGAGCCGCAGCCTCGCCCTTGTCCTTGCTGTCTAAGTCGGATTTCTGAGAGTGCAGGTACTCTTCAGTAAGCTCCAGAAGGGTCTGCTTTTTTGTATTGTCTGAGTAGAGGTGCTTTAGGTTGGCAAAAGTGGAGGGGACACCTTTGTTCAGCATCAGACAAAGATAGTCGCGTGCAGCTTGACGGAACTCGTCGCCGCTGAGAAAGTCGAGGGGAATTCGACGACCAGCGTCAGAGCGGGGGTATTTGGTTGCATACTCGTCGTATATCGCTTTCTTGGCTTTCCAATCGTTCTCTTCGATGCCCAGCGCTTTAATAAGCTGTGTATAGTATGTCGCGTACTCGCAGTTGCGGTCAATCAAAGTCCGGTAGGCCTGGGCAGCTTCCTCTTTGCGTTCGAGCTTCAGAAGATATTCGGCGCGATTCTCAAGAAAGGCGAGTCGGTCGAGGTTTTGCTTGGCATCAGTCTCGAGATGCTGAAGGGCACGCTTGTAGTCGCCTTGCTCCGCAATTATGGTATTCTTGTACATGATGGTTTCGGAATGCTCTAGATCATAGCGAGAGGGTTTCGACTTGAGTGTATCCTCGAAGGTGGTGATAACGTTCTCCGCCTCGCTCAGGTTGCCGGCCAGATGGTGGGCGAGGGCGAGGGCTATCCAGCTCTGTCGGATTTGCGGGCGAGCCTGTAGCATGGAGTTTCGGGTCTGGATGAAGCCCTGATAGTCTCTCATTTGGACCTGTAGAGCAGCCAGATCGCGCTGTATTTGTGCCGACGTCGGTTCCAACTTGAGCGCAAACTTGTAGGCTTTGGCCGCCTCTTCGAAATTCTTTTTTGCCCGATACAGTATGCCATACACGTGCCAGCAAATATGGGATTTCATGTCGGCAGTGAGGGCCTCTTTTCCGAGAATGAATGCTTCCTCCATTTTCCCTTGACCATTGAGGATCAGGGCCTTCATGGCCATCGTCTCTCCATGCTTCGGGACCTTTTTTAAAATGAGATCCGCCGTCTTGAGACCACGCTTGTACTGCTTCTCCTCATAACTGCGAAGGACTTGCCGAAATTGAGCAGCCTCCTTTGCCGCGAGCTGTTGCGGCATTGTGCCTGATTTATTCTGCACAAAAGGGGCGCAGCGTTCGTGTATCCACGGCTATCGAAGTCGTCGTTTCAGTTGCAAAGGCTGACGTGCGCAATGTAGTCTGCAGGACAGACGGGTGACGCACAAACAAGGCAAATGGCCTTGAAATAAATTTGCAGAGCACAATTGCACCACACAAGTGATTGCGCAACTGTCGAGAATCCAATGTCGAGGTCAGGACAGACCAAGAGCGCAACTGTGTGTGGTGTGGGATAGCTTTGGTGCCCGGAGGATCTTCGGAGAAGCCGTGTGATGGTGGGGCGTGCGGCTATCATGGCTTATAGTTAATGGCTTCATGTGGAATCGATATTTATCAACTTTGTTGCCGATTCGAATATTCGCGTCACTTTGAGTTACAATCTCTTTTTGATCGACATTTTCTTGCTTTATAACCCGCCATGAGTTGTTGCTGCTAACAATGCTACGATCTGGTCGTGACACAGGCAGACGAATTTCTATCCAGATCGAAACAAATATTGTACATATATCCTACCTGAGATTTGATTCCTGTCATTACTAGTAGGCCTAATTCTTCTTCCATGACTCAACAGCGTCTTGCCAGCTTTCGGACGGTGCCTCGCAGCGGTCCTGGATCACCTCCCAGGTGCGGTGGCGAACTATATCCTCGATGACACGTTCTTGGCGAAGAGTCGATGCTAGAACCTCAGTACGGCTCTCACGGGTATAGAAACGACCTGAGTATGGATCCAAACGCTCGTCCACTACTCTTTCGCTATCTCTTTTCTTTTGAAGCTCTCGCAGGGCGGCTTCAGGATCATCGGGATCGGGACTTGAAGCGACGGCAGCGCAATAGTCGAAAACCTGGGCTCGAGAGTCCCACGCGGGAAATAAAAAGTTTTCGAGAAATCCTGTGCATCTCTCGGCATTGACATCTCTCCTCAGCAATTTTGATGTTCTTTCCGCAGTTGACTGGGGATCAAACCCTGCGCGAGCGGGCGTCACCAGAGCGTTCAGATTTTGGCTAATTGGGTCGTCGACAGTCGATCGCGAGAACCGGAGAAATTCTGAATTTGTCAAACCGGGGTTGTAAGACCGTGGGCCTGTGAAATGGTGACGCACCTCGTAATGCACTTGTCGTGAAGCAGAACTGCGGTGACAGCTGCTGTGCCGTGGGGGGTCGCGCCATGGTTGCAGGCTGCTGCGTGGCAATGTTGGGTGACTCCGAAGCCGCCCTGTTCCAGAAAATACCAGCCAGATTTATATTTGTGGTGAAAGTCGGTTGCAGGCGCGGGTAGTAGTCGACAGTTGTGGCAATTTGATACCTTTGATACGATGTAGAGGATGCAGAGGAGGCAGATTATTGCTAACTGGTGAGCTGTGAGGCGCCGGCCCCACTGACATCATCTTGGCTTGTACTCAGCACGAGAGCTACATTGTATGCATCTAGAAGCTCGCCAGGGTACCAAGCGAAGATCGCAAATAGAAACTGCATATACCATCAAGCATATGTAAGTCTTGAGTAACTACTATAGGACTCACATCGACCAAGCCGATCACGCGCTTAGGCACAAGCTCGACGTAGCTCGGCAGAACACCAAGCTGGTGCTTTGCACCCCGCTGGTGAAGCCGCTGCTTCTCTGTAATCAATCACAATAGCAGCGATGCTGGTATGCCGGTAGCCGCGTAGCGTATCTTCGTTTGCGTCACCGATGAAAAACGCCATGCGTTGCGAATGGCAAGAATGAAAGTGGGGAGAGTCGCGTGGGCAACATGCGGTCTAGCCCAACAACTTTGTCCAACTTGAACCTTGTTGCACCGCCCCGTGCATCATCAGGGAATTGATAGCTCAACCTTCCATCCCTTACGGTGCTTCCAGAAATATCTCCCTAAGGACATCTATTGTCGCTTCGCGATCACCTTTAAGCCGGCATTGCTTCACCCTACACTAACATGTCCTCCACCACAGCTCAGGCCCAGGCCGGTAGCGGCAGCTGGTCTGCTTTCCTTAAGGTACGACAGGTGGAAATACCTATGCACCTGCAGTCAATAGTCGCTCAAACATTTGCCAGTCCATTGCTTCCTTCAACGGCGATCTCTCGTCCTTGACGGCCCCGCCCTTTATTCTCTCCTCGCAATCATTAACCGAATTCTCCTCGTACTGGTCTACGCACCCAAATATCCTTGTCGCCGCCGCCTCGGAAACTGATCCTGCGAAGCGCTCCATGCTGGTGCTCAAGTGGTTCTTCTCCACGCTCAAGCATCAGTATGCCAGTCGCAGCGAGCAGTTTGGCAATGAAAAGAAACCCCTGAACCCTTTTCTGGGCGAGCTCTTCTTAGGATCGTGGAATGACGAAGCTGGCAAGACGACTCTCGTGTCCGAACAAGTCAGTCACCACCCGCCTGCTACCGCCTACTGTATCCGTAACGACAAGACTGGTGTTCAGCTCGAGGGCTACAATGCACAGAAAGCAACTTTTCACAGCACCATCATTGTCAAACAAATTGGGCACGCCGTCTTGACTATCCCCATTGGGGTTACGAAGGAGCCTGAGCACTACCTGATTACGCTGCCGTCTCTTCACATTGAGGGCCTCATTTTTGGCGCCCCATTTGTCGAGCTTGACGGCACCAGTTATATAACCAGCTCTAGCGGATTCAGCGCCAAAATTGACTACAGCGGCAAGGGATGGCTTTCTGGAAAGAAAAACACCGTCATTGGCACCATCACCCCCACCGGCAAGGTAAAGGATGTCCTGTACAACGTGACGGGACAATGGAATGAGAAGCTCGAGTTCTATTCTGGCGCGGCCAAAAAAAACTCAAAGTCTACTCTAATCGATGAGTACGACGCTACCAAGGCCCCGCAGACGGAGCTCCAGTTGGCGCCCATCGAGAAGCAGCATCCCCTTGAGTCGCGCCGTGCCTGGGCTAAGGTTGCCGCGGGCATCCAGAGAGGCGACATGGATACTGTCTCGCTTGAAAAGGGCAAGATTGAGAATGCGCAGCGCGCCTTGCGGCACAAAGAAACGGCTGAGGAAACTGCGTGGAAGCGTCGCTACTTCACCGCTGTGGCTGTTGGCACCACCGATCCCGTCCTGGAACAGCTCGGTGCTGTTGGTGGCGTGGCCGTTGACGGCGAACGCGACAAGACTGGCGGCCTCTGGAGATTCGACGCTAAAAAGGCCGAGGCTGCGGATGCCGCGAAGCTCACCGAGGAGCAAATCAGGACACTGGAAAAGGAAGTGTTGGGTCAATAGCCGTCTAAAGTCCACCAAGTCCTAATGATCAATTATGACGTGAGTACGCGAGGGCGGTACGAACCAAGCTCGGTTGTATCGTCATTCATATTTCATTAGAGGCAGATGTTGCTTTGGCATATAGACATTCACTTCGAAATGCATCAGAATTCTTGCCGTAATCTTTTTACGAGCAGTATCGAGTACTGTGTGTACTAACTAGGTGTCAACCCCCAAATGCAATCTCCGAGACTCCCCAACTATGCCGTCAACTCTAGGCTTTTATTTTTATTACGTATCATGTCGTATAACGAGCATTACAGCTGGTTGGCGGTGTTGAAGTCCTTGAGGGCGGTAGTAACACGCTTGGACATGGTCTTTTCACCTTCACGGACCCAGACACGAGGCTGCGCGAGTTAGTTGATGCACGATTCAGAGGGCCGGAAGGACTTACATCAAAGTACTTCTTGTTGGGTTTGTCGTCGCCATCGGGGTTGCCGACAGCAGTGAGGAGGTAGTCTTTCTTGCTAAGCATGTAGTCGCGAATGCCAGCCATGTAGGCGAACTGCATATCGGTATCCATGTTGACCTTGACGACACCATGGCTAATGGCGTCAAGGTACTCTTGCTTTCCAGAGCCGGAACCACCGTGAAAGACAAAAAAGACGGGCTTGTCAATTTTAGAGTCGATAGCAGCCTTGACGTGAGCCTGGTGCTTGCCGAGGAGCTCAGGGTGCAGCTTGACGTTGCCGGGCTTGTAGACACCGTGGACATTGCCGAAACCGGCAGCGATGGAGAAATAGGGAGAGATGGGAGAGAGTGTGTTGTAAATGTGGAGGATATCCTCAGGCTGGGTGTAAAGAGAGTTGTTGTCGACGTCCTCGTTGTTGACACCGTCCTCTTCACCACCAGTGATGCCAATCTCCATCTCGAGCCACTGCTTCATGGGAGCAGCACGCTTGAGGTAACGAGCGGTGGTCTCAACGTTCCAGTCGACGGGCTCTTCGGACAGATCAATCATGTGAGAGCTAAAGAGGGGCTCGCCGGTGGCCTTGAAATGCGCCTCGTCAGCATCGAGCATACCGTCGAGCCAGGGAAGAAGCTTCTTGGCGCAGTGATCAGTGTGGAGGACAACGGGAATGCCGTAGGCGGGCGCAATGGAGCGGATGTAGTGAGCACCGGCAATGGAACCGGCAACGGATGCAGACTGGCCATCATTGGAAACGCCCTGGAAACATCCAGTCAGTTACAGTCTCGGAAACGGTTCAGAAATGGAGAATACCTTTCCAGCAAAAAAGGCAGCGCCACCCTGGGACATCTGAAGAATGATGGGAGACTTGGCATCGCGGGCAGCCTCGAGAGAAGCGACGACGGTCGAGGAAGAGGTGACGTTCTGAGAGGTTAGTCGGCAAAGGTAAGAGATGAGCGTCCGAAACTCACAATGGCAGGAATAGCAAACTGCTTGTCACGGGCGTACTCGAAGAGACGGAGAACGTCATCGCCGACAATGACGCCGGACTTGCGGGACAGAACTTCAGTAGCACCCATATTTGCGGTTGTAGCGGTCGTGGTAGATTGGTTTCGAGGCAGACGAGCTGATTTTAAACAACTAGAGCAAACACCGAGTCAGACACCAAGGTGCTTTTTCAAGGTTCAATTGCGATAAGAAAGCAAAGCAGCCAGTTAGATTGACTCGGCGCACCCACAGCGCGGGTCTTTTTATAGCGGGCTTATCGATACAGTTGTAGCCGGCAGATTGGCGGGGTATCCCGACATGACACAAGGAGGTGTGAGGCTTTTTCGACTGCAATGCCCACAAGTACTCCCTGACTGTACATCTTGTAATGATCGAGCTGGCTGAAAAAAGTTATGCTAGGTGCAGATGCTTGCTGTGAGGTTGACGGTTGCTCGTGGCGGGTTCATTTGACAGCTGGGGGGGCTCACAAGCTCGGTGGCATGGCAGCTTGGGTAGGTAGGTAGGTAGGTAGGCAAGGGAATAGCTCGCTACCGCAGGCCAATGCGAGGGGGGGGTTTCAAAGTTCAAGAAGGCGAATACTTACGACAGTTTAGATAGACGAGAGAGTTGTATTAGAGGAAAAACTCTTGTGAAGGTGAAAGGAAGAGAATGAAGAATGCGTTGCGGGGTTCGTTACTGTGGGCAAGCATAATTAACTGGTTCGACATGCGCTCTACGGAAACATGCGGAACACGGCCAAAAACTTTAGCTGGTTAATAATGTCCGATCGTATCAATGCAGCGACGCCATTTCCCACAGGTGCCTGAAATCATCGTTACGAACAGATTCCTGTCTGCGAGTAATCACAGCTGAGCATGTAAATGAGGCGTGTGAGTCTGATATACCTGTAAGCCGACTGTGAACACTCTACGGCACAATGGCGGCCAGGCACAATCTGAGTCATATTTGACTACGCAGCCAATGACGATTCCGCACTTAGCAAGGTTACAATTCTTCGCCTGGCCCTGCATTCAAGTTTGACGCTGTAGCGTCAAAAAACGGCCCGAAAAGATCGGATACCATCTGATGCGAGTCTGCAGCATGGTATGATAGATTGACGTTGCTTGTCTAGACTGTTAAGAGTTGGGCTGCGACTGACTCCATTAGCTTGCTGAGGCGTTGTGATGATGCCCCTCCATGCTCAGAGCTGATAAGCAACATCCCACCCAGGCGGGTTGTCACCCCACCTGTGTGTGCATCCTGCCTTGGTCGGGCCGAGCACTCGGAGCCAGAAACAAGAACATGATCAAGATCTCATTATATCCAAGAGTATGCCAAGCAAGATCGAAATACTGTGGCAACTTGAAGCGGGATATGTCGCTTCAATTGATAGCGAGGGTGGCTGCCATTTGACCTTGACTAATGCAAACGTAGCATAGCTCCAGCGTTCTTGCATGAATACATTCTATGATGACTCTTGTCTTTCTCCGTTCATCGTTGGGAGATCTTCACATATTGGTCGTCATCTGAAATTCGGCTGTTGCTGCGAGCTACCTATGGCCTGCTTGACATAGTTGATAGATAGGCACATAGCTACAGTGGGGTTCTAAAGTCTGTCACCAGGACGCAATTCACACCTAAACATATCTCAAACACTCCTCTATCTCTCTTCTAATGAATAATTAAAATCTAAATACGGGGTTATATCAAACTAAATACTTAGAAATTAATATTTTAAAATAGAAAATAGTTTATCTAAATTCCTTAAATACTTAGAATTTTTAAAAATAATAAGTTTATTTTTTATAAAAAAATCTTTTTATTATTATCTATTATAAGCCTTTTTTAAAGAAATTCTTTTATTTTTTTTTTATTTTTTTATTATATATTATTAAAACTTTTAAATAAAAAGAAAGAAAAGTTAATAAAGATATTTATTAAGTAAAAAAAAATATTATAAAGTAAAAAAATTTATAAAGATTTATTCTTTAATTAGAACTTATAATATAGAGGAGTGTTAGAGGTCTCTTTAGGTGTAAATTACGTCGTAGTGATAGACTTTTAGAACCCCACTGTAGTTCCGAATTAACGGCGAGCCCCTCGCACTCCACCATGTGCCCGACTACGGAGACTTAACATTAAGAGCCACCCGCATCAACCGGCCGCCAGCGTTCCCAAGGCTCATAAAAATGGCATCTTGGAGAAGCAGAGAGCTCAATGAGCCATCGAAGCAATGGGGTCGTCTTAAGCCCGCGCAGATAGACCCCTTAGAGGAGATGGGTCTGCCATCCAAGAGCGAAACGAGGTAGCTACAACAGCTGCACAGCCACGCGGTCATTCTAACGCGCATATTGATAGGTTGAAGAGCGCCAAAGCGCAAGAAGGCTATTATCAGCTCATTGCCGAGCGGTACTTGAGCTTCTGCTCTGAAGCAGGAGAGCGTGATGAGCTTCTCCGGCGGTTCTCGTCGCTCGGCCTGGAATCCAGCAACCGAAAAAAAGACGACAAGTGCAGCCTGTTAATTCCTGATACCACCAGTGCCGAGTCGCTACGAGAACCGTCCAACACGAAAACTCTGTCAATCATCATGTCAGCCCTCCGAAAACTACGTGAAGGTATTGTGGCTTCTAAGCGCACCGATGACTTTGCCATCCAAGTCTACTTGTTCTGTATCCGCCTCGCAGTTCTCGTCAAACAGCCGGAATCATATCATGCCGCCATACTTCACTTGCTTCGGAAAATTCACCCCAAGCAGAATCTGACGATGATTGAGTTGCAAGAGGTTGTAGCATACCTGATTCTGGACACGGCATGCCGCCGAAGGGAACTCTCAGAGGCTTATTCGCTACGACAAAGATACGCACTCCGTGATAAAAAAGTGAATGATGCGCTTTACGCTTTGGCGCATGACAACTTTATCCTCTTTCATCGGGTGCGCAGAGCAGTGGATGGTCATCGGGCAAGGATCATGGAGTGGGCAGAACCAGAGCTGCGCCTGCACACACTCAAATGCTTTGGACGCGCATACTTGGGCGTCAACTTGAAGTACTTGGAAACGGCAACAAGTTCAGAATGGGACGAGCTAAAACGAAGAGACGGTGTGGGTTGGGAACTAGACGGAGCAAACGTAGTCATTAGAAAGATCAAGCCACGGTAGTACACGTGCGAGAGCCCTGTAACATACAAATACGTAATCAGAATTCCCTCCAATTAAATGGGCTGAAGGGTGATTCGTGTATATCAAACTTCATATCGAGCTCTAGGCTTTTGGGGCTGTGAAGCCACAAAAATGCAGCCTCTGCCGGCAGCGATCAGGTCGCTTGGAGGAAATGACTTTTTTCCTGGAAGCTAGATTATGAGTTCATATTCAGCTGCAATTTCTTCTCAAAGGCAGCTGCGTGCCTGACATCAACAGGACAGACAAACAAAGGCAGCTGCCAGCTGTCAGCTGCAACACCACCTCCATGGCTAGGTAGCTATGTCACCAATGGTGCAGCTCTTCACTTCTGCATCTAACCAAAAACAATGCCTCCGCCGAAGAAAAAGACAAAAACCTCGCATCAGACTGATAAGGCGGCATCAGTGCTACTATCCGACTTTCGCACCGCCTGGCCACTACAGTAAGTTTGTCAACGCTCTCTCCGAGCTTACACTTGCCGTTTACACCCTAACCACGGACAGAACTGGTGACGAAACGGTTTTGATTAAAGTCAAAGACGAGGAATTCAGTGTCCACAGGGCAGTCCTCAGTCAGCACTCGGATTACTTTCGAGCAGCGGGAAAGACGTGCTATGACGAATCCGGAGGCGAAATCGCGTTCGATAACATCGACCCAAAGTATTTTGCTTTATTCCTCGGAGTGGCATACAGCTACTCCTCTATAATACCTCATACGACGCCTGCTCCTGCAGCAAATCCAGAAGCACAGTCCCAAAGAACGCCGATGCGAGATTATGTCGAAGTGTACAAGTTGTGCGACCGCTTCATTTGCCCAACTATAGCCGCTTATATCATACGTTGTATTCATGCGTTGATCGGCGACCGTCACAGAGCACTGTATCGTTCATCACTCGATAAGGCGCAGCAAATATGGTGCACAAAGGACTTTGCCGATGCCTTTGAAGCCCTCGAGCTGAATCATGTCGAGCAACAGAGGCTTGGCAACCTGATGATTGAATATTTCTGCGAGGGGTTGTATCATCGGTCATGGGGAGCGACAGAAAAAGAAATGCAGAAGCGGCCAGCCTTTGTGCTACGAGTCTCATGCTATTTTGCCTCGAAGCTCGCGCTTCTAGCAGAACAACGGACTAAATTGAAGCGAAAGGAGCTGAAGATGCCGACCTCGGGGGAGTGACATGCAATTCGATGAACGGGTAGCTGTCATGTGCTTGCTATGGGCGCGCTTCGTGTGTGGGGATGCACTTAACTACGAGATCTGTATTGGCTTTGAGACATGCTGTGCTCACGGGCTAACTTACGTCGATACCCAGGATTACTAGAACAAGGGAGATTCTTCGATAGCTTTATAATACTCATGAGTGAGAAGATAACAAATATATAGGAAGAGTTTTGTCACGCGTAATGCTCCCAAATAAAAGCAAGTGAAATACCCAGGAGTATGCATGTTCAAATCATATCGACTCGAATGGACCATTAAGACGCCGTGACACCACTAACAAACACTACGGTGGTTTCTAACTCAAATGCAATATACGTTCGTAACCAGAGGCTACCTCTTTCCGTTCTCGTAGAATTGAATGGCCTTTTCCAAGCCCTCGAGGCTTTCGCGATCGCCGTACACATCCAAGAGCATGTCGTTGCGTTGTTGTCTTTCACGATCTTCCTGGTATCGGACATCGAGCATACGCTCGCGCTTTCCCCGTATTCTGTCAACGTATACTTTCGCGCCGTAGCCTACGATGGCGAGGCCGACGACGGTGGGGGCCCTACACGGCGCAAGATGTGAGTTGTGAGATTTTTGGCATTTTGGCTGCGGTCAGGTCACGCGCATGCCTGTACGCATGTGCTGACTTGCAGATGGCTTCCAACTCCAGCAACCAGCCAGTCACAGTATGTTTCAATCGAATACGTACCATCTCATCGGATAGCGCCGGGGTGTGGTGCGCAGATGTGGCAAGATATTGGGGTGAACCCTAGCGGACGTGGAAAACATACGAGGAGCGGCGGGCATTGGTGGCTTGGGATAGATGGCGCGAGGCGGTCCAGCGCTCGCGTACCGATGGACAATCGTCGTGGAGGGCGAGAAACGAGCAATCTCGCTGGATCAGGGACAAATGGCTGCCTGACTCAGAAGGCAGCTGTTCTAGACACCTCGGATCTCTTGTTGCAAGTATGGGTTGTTGTCTCGGCTCACAAAATCCGGGGTAGGGTGACACTTAGACGTCCTGCACTTTTCAGCTGCGCAAGTGTCGCAAGGATACGTTGATGGCCAGAACAGAAAGTCGTTTCGGGGATTTTGAGGTGTGAAGAAAGGAGGGCAAGAGCTGGACGGAATTTGCATGGGAGGAGTGGTAAAATAAACCCCGGACCCCGCTAGCTGTCTAAAACAACTACAGCTACCCGTACGCTTCCCCTCTTACATGAAAGTACACATCTCATACGACTATGTAATGATGAGCATATAAGTCGGGCTACACCCCAGCGCGTGCCCGACTAGCGTGCGGAGCCCCAGTCCATGTGAAAGCAAATCGCCAGCATTTTGTAGCATTGTGGGGTGACTCTGAGCTGGGCACCTCGGTTGGGCCCGGTGTAAGGAGGGTGCAGCGGAACCTCGCGGGCCGCGAAGCGGTGAGGAGCAAGGGACACGCAGGTACCTACCTACATATCCATCGTTCGCATGCATCATCTCTTTCCGTACATTGTGGTACAGTGCATCTCTCCGCTCAAAGACACAAAAACACATTCAATCGCTAAACAGGCGTTGAAGAAGAAATAGCGTCAAAAAGAATTCAAAAATGTCATAAATACCTACTCTTTCACTCGATACATTGTATTTGCGAGAGCAGGATGTAGCCTTGCTGATTTGAAAGAGCTGCAAGCTCAGAACCTTTCTAACCAGCCTCTTGGACGCTATGCTACCCCAATCTAAACAACTCCATCCATATAACCATGTGTGGATAGCAATTGCGGGCCACTTACCCGTGCCATCTCTGCTCTGGCTGCAGACACTACAGCGTCTGATCTAATACAAACATCAGTCGAGTCATTCCAGAGAATGTCCTAATCGCGGCCGCTGATTCGTACCTTGCGGAAGTAAAAGCAGCCTTCTCTGTCCATGTACCAAAGCTGCACGAAAGAGACTGATATCTGGAGCGGCACGTTCAAAGGTCCACAGCCTGTCATTCGTGAGTCCTCCAGTCTCCAGACCTCGGTGCGCACAAGATACTCCAACGCCAGTTCCCGCAGTTTGTCATCGCCAATAGCGCCCTTTGCTTCGTGCCACGACACACACGGTGTCGTACAATCCAGATGTTTTCGATCGTAAGACTGAGTCAGAGACGCCAGAGACACCAGTACATGTATCACTTCAATCTCGAGAGATCCATTACATTCCGGACTCGCGCATTGTGCTCTGGAGTCGCCGAATGCCGCTCTGACCATAGGGAACCAAAGAATAACTGGACGGCGCGAAGAAGATTTCTGCAGCAGGAGCCGCGAAACAACTCATGATCGAGTCTACAAATCGGCCACATATTGTTTTTAGACGTCGAGGACGAACACCGAGGCTCTGGTGAACTCGCAATCTTCGAGTACGGTTGCCCAGCGGCTGCTATTGCGAAACCAGATTCTCAACACTTCTGACTGTGCGTCTTCTTGTCGCTTCTGCCGAGGTCATCGAAATCCGCTCGTTCTCATATCTTTCGTACTTGGTACGTGTAGCCTTGGTTTCCCCGCCTCGCGAAATATGGTTTTTTATATACGTCACGAGCCGGCCTGCTGGCACAAAGGGTTTTCTCGAAGCACCATACCCCCAACAGCATGGTTGTAGAGTTTGCGCATACCACCCCTTCAACAATCAATCCTTTGTTTGCCTCACCAAAGAAACTTCCTACAGTGCGCACTCCCACAAAAGCATTTCGTCATACCCTCCACGTTGCCCTCCAGCTCATCCTGCTCCTCAACGACGCCATCCACGTAATCAAAGGTCAGCTCCTCTCCGCGTGTAATATCTTTGATAGCAAACAGTGCAAGGTCGTGAATATGTTTGTCTGCGTGGTCACCGACACGGGCAAAGATGCGAAGGTTGGGATCACAAGAGTGATTGATAAAACGGGTCGGCCCTGACATGAACTCGCCATCGACCTCCAATGGAGGGCCGTTCAAGCGCGGATCTAGTGAGTCTTTGTCGGTGAACTTGTCGAGAGCAAAGAGATAAACATCTTTTTGTTGAGACACTGCCGAGTTTGCGCGGCGGCGGTCGGCCTCCTCTGCAGTAATAATTTCGCCGAGATATCGGTCCACGAATTGGCCTTGTTTGATGGGTACTTGTGAGCGTACTCCTAGAAACTCGTCAGAAGCTACTACAACATCACATGATTGTGTGCATACCCCATCCGCGATTTTGTGTTCTGAAAATTTGTAATGGCACGGTGCGACCTCGCTCGACAACTCTATTCGGGCATTCGCTGGAGCAAGCACAGCCTTTGTGGCATTCATACAGGGGCATAGTTGATTTTTGCAGTCTAGATCGTAGTGATCCTGCCTTTGCGCCGTGTGTATGGTATGCGTATGCTTTTTTAATGCCGTTATTCATGTCAATGTCGTCGTCGTCTTCCAGATCGGCCAGGCAGAGGCAGCCTGTGAACTGGCAATCGCCGTCGTCTGCGCAGGAGCAGCCACTGCGGAAACTATCCTCTGCGGGCTCTACTCCTTTACCAAGAACCATGTCGTTGATGAATTCGAAGTTTTTGGGCAGAAAAGCGCTGTCTACCTTGTTGACTACCGTGAGTCCAAGCGCGCGTACTTGACACCAGTGACAGCCTGGAGTGGGTGTCTATAACGCATATTTAATTTCCGAGTTCGAAGCTGACTTTCCTGGACGCGTTCGTTTATTCGGAGAATACATACTTTGCCGTGGTTATAGAAGTGCTCCTCAATAGCTTGCTCCATATTGACTGTACTGGATGCCAGGAATTTTCAGGCTAGCAGAAGACTTACAGGTTGATTCCGAAGCTGCTGTCGCGTGCACTGACGCGTGGTGGGCGAGAACTGAGCGAGCGCGTTCAGTAGGTGTTGAAGCCGTGGTTGTAGGAGCGTGAGTGGGCCACAGCAACCAGTTAGATGCTATAACGCCAGCCACTACTTATAAATTAAGATAAGGAAAAAGTACCTACTTTAGCGCTTATTTTTTATATAAAAGTAAATACCTTTTCCCTAAGACCTTAATTTAAAATAAATATAATATAATAAAATTTATATTAATATAGTTAAT